ACTTTAAGGGATTTTTTTTTCCCAGCCTTGGCATTTTCTTTTTTTCTTTTATGCTAGATAAGATACGATACCTCTCCCTTGTTCATACCCATCAAACGCACACTTGCATATAATTCCCTTTTTTTTTTTTTTTTTTTTTTTTTTCTTCCTCTCCCTTCGGTTGATACCTCTGTGATGTACGAACAAAAAAAAAGTAGCATGATTTTTTTTTTTTTTGACCCGCATATAGTTTTTCTTTTTTATCCTTTTCTTCGTTTATTTTAGTTTTTGTTTTCTGTTTTTGCTTTATTGTTTTTGATTAGTATTATTGTATCACTTTAACCTGTACAGATCCTCAATAAAAAAAAATAAAATAAAAAATAAAAAAGAAGACGCTTTTTATTTTAGTCAAATAGCTCCGCTATCCTTCTGGTAATAGCTTGATGGACTAGCATTGTCCTTCTAGGATCCTGTCCCTTGACTTCTATGGACATTTGAACAATTGGACCTGTTGCTGTTCCTGTGGTCATTGACGTCGTTGATGGTTTACTAGCTTCTTGTATTTCCTCCAGTATCAACCATACCAGGCCTTCTGGATCAGATTGGGATAAAGTTGATACAGAGATCGATGGCATGGAGAGGGATAAACCTCGTCTTCGACAGTTGCGAGGGATCAACCCTTCCGGTATATACAAAACTGCACGAAAAGCATTTTGTGCAACAAATGCCATAGTCCTATCTTGCGGAATACTATCCCCCAACAGTGCTGGTAGGCATTGAGTGATCTGAATCTCGTTTATGTCTATACGAAACCGGGATGAATACCTCGGCAAGTGTATCTGTAACTGAGGCTGGACAGTGGTATTGCTGTTATCGTTGTTATTGTTGCCTCTGTTGTAGTTACGGAAGTCCTCAACACATCGCTTACAGCCCTCATCATCCCCACCTCCAATATCATCTTCGCCATTAACGGCTGAACTAGAAACAAAGTCAGGAAAAAACAAACGGCTTCTAGAATTGAAGCCATCATTTTCTCTTTTTTTGTCTGCTCCATTAGATTCACTTATGGGAGTTGTGGTTGTGAAAGTATTATTAGGAGTAGTAATAGAAGCAGTATTCGTAGCGGTGGCAGCAGTAATGTCTTTGTGACGGGCGTGCATAAGGGTTTGAGCAAGAAAAGTGGATGAATGCTTAGAGATGTCCCTAATAGGCTCTGCAAAATGGATCACATCCAGAATAAGGCTTTCGACCACAAAATAGGCTGCTGCTCTGCTGCTGCTGCTACTGATGTTGTTGTTGTTATTGCCACTATTATTTATTTTTGCAGATCGGTAGCCCTGTTGCTGCTGTTGCTTTTGCTCGCTAAATTGAAGCCCAAGTGTGATAGTAAGCGGCAGATCTAGACTTTGTAGATCCACATCCATATCAATCGTCCATGGGGCTCGAGGTGAAAAACCAGTCAGTTTAGAGAAGAATTCGTATTGTCGTTGTCGATGCCATCTTTGATTTTGATTTTGATTTTCATTTTGTTGGTGTCCACAAAGCGTGAAGGCTCGTGAGGTGATTGTAACAACGGCTAATTATTATTATTTATTTAGATTTGAGTTTGCATGCGGAGAAAATTACAATAACATTTTAGGAATATTTTCTTTTTAACATAGACCATGAAGTAAAATGGACATTATTTTTTTTAAAAAAAAAAAAAAAAAAAAAAAAAAAAAAGAAGATACCTGACCAGCCATTATTCCAATCAATATTCAGAGCTGACTCCATTTTCAAGCGAATAAAATAGCGCATAATCTCACTATTACTAGCAGTGATCATGGGTTGTGAAAACGCTGTAAGAGATAACTTTGCTGGAGAGCTGTCCAACAATGAGTCCTCTTTATCGTCACGCTGTGATAAGGCATACTGCTGCAATTCAAAGATTAGCTCATTCAACGAGACTATCCGTTGATTTTCAAGCTACAGGTATAAGAGGAACAAAGTAAAATAGCGGTAAAGAGAGAGAATAAGAAGGTTGAGGAATAGAGCTAAAAATGACCTCGACAGTTTCGGATATAATACGTATAAAATAAACCTTGCTGGGCACTTATTTTTTTTTTTTTTTTTTTTTTTTTTTTTGCTTTACCTGACACCTTGTCTGAAGCTGGTTTGCTTGGTCGGATAGCTTCTCGAGCTCATTAAGAGATTCTGTGATCTTATCTCGGGCCTGCGAAGTCTCTTGTGGTTGTGCCCATCTAGGATGCAAAAAGGAAAAATGTAACACAAAATTTAAAAAAGCTTCTTTGTCCGTGTTCAGCTCTCTTTTGTGTGTGTAGATAAGCGGAGAAACAACTTACCTGCTAAGGTCTGGACCAAACCGAAGGACCTGATCGTCACAATTAAGACCATAGAGCCCACAAAAATCAGTGTAGTGGTGGCGTGAGATGGGCGCCAATGCATTCAAGCGAGGCAGCTCCAACCGCTCCAGATTGTTCAATATTCTATCTGATCTGAGGCAGGACAAAGGTGTCCGCAATACTCTGTGTTCATCTGTCAAAAAATAGATGTATGGCTATATTATGTGGTAAATGTATACATATCATAAGAACAGAATGCTTATTAGACAGCAAGCTCTCGCATCTTTCTTTTACGCCATTGGCCACTGTTGTTCAAGAAGGCTCATTACCCCAGCAAGACACGCATCTTGGATACGCATGTTCAATGATACTTGGTCGCAAGCAACCAAAGACGACAAAGCATTTGTTGAATCAAGATCCACCACAGCTATGTCGCCGATTGTCCTACCACCCATGTGTATCAATAAAAAAATGCTCCGTTATTTTTACGCCTTTGCCTCTCTCTCTTTTTTTTTTTTTTTTTTTTTTAGTGAGAAGAGGAAACATAGGATTCTTACCCTACAACCACCAATGACCTTTTGTGAGTCCCATGGTCGTTTAGAGCAATGGCTAAAAGAATAATAGGTTCCTATGCCAATGTAATACATAAAGTCAGCTGAATTGATCGACTTAATATCTCCATGGACTATATTTCGGCACTATTATTACTGTTGATGCCGTCGTTGCTGTGTTGCTGTTATTACTGTTGCTTCTGTTGAAAGGATAGGTTAAATTGATTGTTCCTGTTATCGGATTTTTTTTTTTTTTTTTTTTTTTTTTTACCTGCAACGAGAATAATCTTTGAACATGCCGCTGCGTCACGTTATGGAGCCCCGACTGAAGTGCTCCTTGGACCCGGTAGATTGCACCAAATTGGGTTGCACCAAATAATACATCGTTGCTGAGGTCGTCTTTGCCCTTACACTCCAGGGCGTGGCTCATGATTATTCTGTCGATCTGTGCTTCTCCCAGAGGTACCACCTGTTTCTCGATCATCATGCCTACACTAAATTGAGTCTGGGATGTCCAGAGGATCGGGTCTGTGTCTTTTTGTCGAATAATCAACAGTTTGGTCGACCCAAGGAGGACCAATTTCGTCGTGCCTTCCTAAACACGTGTAAAGAAGATGTATGAGCAATGCAGTGGACTTTATGCAATGACCGCATAGCAAGCTAAAATCAAGCAGCGAGCCTCGAAAAAATGAATAATACCTCAAACCCAACAAAGTGTTTCGCGTGCTCAACTTGAATAACAGGGCTTGACCGAGATTTTACATGCCCGCTTGATGTTACGGGTTGAAAAGATGCTGGGGATATAGTTCGCTGTCTCTTAGTTACAGGGGACACAAATGTAGATGTTGGAGACTCCAGTTTTTCAATATTATCTACTAATCCGTCTTCATCATTCCACAACTCAACTTCCTCGTCACTGTCGTCTATTTGGATCGGTTCATTAAATATGTTTTGGTTTGTGTCTACCACGACCTTTGTGGTTGTTCTGGGCCTTGATCCAAATTCGATTCTTGGCTTTAATCCCGATTGGGATCCGCGCCTTGGTACTAATGTTGATGCTGACTCTGGTCCTGATGGCTCTGGACAAAGAAGATGGATATTCCAAACATTTCCCTCCGAAGTTGCAACTAGTACACTTGGGTAATATTGATGTTGTGATTGCAATAACTCCTTGTTTGTCCTGATCTCATCAGGTCCAGTGTCATTCCAACAGAATGACACGATATCTTGCGGAAATGACCAAGTGTGCTTTTTGTGTAAACACAAGACAGCATTTTAGATGTGACAGATCCGATATTTGATTTTCTTTAATCCATTGCTTGCTACAGTTATTAATTTACTTTGCTAAATGCTAACTCTATCAACCACTCACCAGTAACACATCGTCTACGACTTCATACAATAGACGAGGCTGACTATGTATCAGTAGGACACAATTGCTATCAGACGACCGAACAGACGGGTTGTCTCCAGCAGAATTGACTTGTCGACAAAGTAGCTTTGGTGTGATCGAGGGTGATTGCAGATGCAAGTCCCCGAGTGTCTTCCAGGACCATGTCTCATCCATGGTAGAGATTTGCTCCAGGAAGTTGAATGAATGAGTGAAACCAATGGAGGTTCTGAAATTGAACACAAACTCACGCAGCGGGAAACGATGCGTCTTTTTTTTTTTTTTTTTTTTTTTTTTTTTTCAGGGTTTCTTGTCCAATTCGCCCTCACAGTCACCTCTCCCCCCTCGTTATCTCTGACCCATTTCCTCTCTTTCCCTCTTTCTCAGACAACCGCTCTCTCATTCTTTTCCTCACTTCTTTGCTCTCTCTTATTCTACTTGCTCATTTCCATTGCATTATACCGTCCTTTCATCGAGTGAGCAAGAGAAACACACAGACACATATTACTTTTGATAATCTTGCCATCTTTCTTACAGCCGACAAGCAGATTGAATTTGCTTGACCCACCCTTTGCTTGACATTGAACGCCACTATTTTACCTCTTTGTTCGCGTAAAGCGCTGGCTGATACTTTGGTCGTCAACAAAAGCTGACACAGAACGACACTGGTAAATAACACATACTAAACTATGCCCATCCCAGTGTCGCCTCACTTCATACCAGGAGCAGAAGATATGTCAGTCCTCTCCGCTACTGTTCGGGCAAGGTCTTCAGCACAATCGAGTAAGTTGCAGAGCAAGGGGCATCTTTTTTTTCAACCGTGTCGAGTGATCGAGCAGGTGACATGACATTCCATAAAAGTTTGTCAGACAAATTAGACTTTTACACTTCAACGCGCCTCTACAACACGCTAACCTTTTTTATGTTCTTTTGGACACCTTGTTACAGCCACAAGGAAGACAGAATCAATAACGCTCTTTTTACCCATCGCTATCACTGCTCTCTTTCTGCTTATTCTGGCCATAACGGGTCTATTGGCAAGATGTCTCCATAGACGTTTTAAAGATATGCGCATCTCCTCTTCAACGTCTTCTAATTCCTGGAAATCATATTATTCATCCCGATCAGACATCAACAGCAGCCATTATCAAGATGACAGCATGAATTTTAATGGCGATGATAGGGAGCAGGAAGCGCTTTTAGCTAGACGTAGGAGTACTTCTTACTATGATGCCAATCGGTCACGAGCCCCTGTTGCAGTGGTTGGACATGATCCCAAGGGTAGACCAATCTCTACCTGGTCCACGGCCAGCTCTGTGGTAGCAGCACGAGGAGAAGAGCTCTCAAAGTGGAGTCAGCGAAGGGATGATTTAATCAAAATCTACGGCAGGAGTAATCTCAATTCAAGTTCATGTGTGAACATGCAGGGTCTCGAGGAAGAAGAGCGTCAAGGATTGACGGAACAAGGGATAGCGGGACTGTCATTGTTAGCACAAGAGCCAAGGGAGTCTGAACGGGATCATGGAAATGGCCAGGACCATAGTCAAGGAAATAACAGTGTTCACTTCCGCCATGAACATGGCCATAGCAACAACTTGGAAGTTCCTAAAATAGTGATGCATGGACCACCAAACTAGCACTGAAATACTGAAACATTGGAAAGAAAATGGAAAGGATGACATGTCCAGAGTAAACATCAAAGCTTTATCTCTCTATTTAATTTCTTACCAAGATCGTTGTCATCGTTATCACAGCTATAGCTTAGATTCCCATGGCTTGATTCCTTTGTGAATGAGATGACTTCTGGCTATCTTGCCTGTCTTAAATTGACGGGAAGAAAAATGTACAGGGGAATGAACATGAACGCCACCAATATAGACAGATATTCCTTTCCTTGAATAAAAATAGGAAAAAAAAACGCGTCAAGAATGCTTTTTTTTTTTTTTTTTTTTGTTGTTGTTGCTACTAACTGGGAACCATTAGGACTGGACTCTATAAATGGCCTGCTCTATTGCTAAGGGCACAAATAACGGTGTTTCTAATGATTGACTCAGTGTCATCGCTGTACTGTCGCTACAGAATCCAAAGTTGGTCAATAGTCCCAGCATAATTTGCAACGATATCACCTTGGTCTGGTCAAAGCCCTCGGTTGCTTGACTTGCGTGCGACAAAGTATCTCTGGGAAGAACGAATGTCCTTATTTCTTTTCCTTTTTCTCATTCCCTTTTTAATCTACTTTGTTTCGTTCCCGTATTCTCGCATCTCCATCCTTGTTCATCTCTTCTTGACATTCTGTTTATTTATTCAGTCATTCCATTCTCTGTTTTCTAACTTCTGTAACTCTCACGCGTCATGCGAACCGACTACCTGTCTAAGGTCAGTGCTACAGTCTTGGCCTTCCTCTCACCATCTTCCTTCCGTCTTTCAAGTGGAGAAGCTTCCCCAAAGGAACTCGTCCCTATCAAGACTGTCGCTATAATTGGTAGTATATCATGTTGCTCTATTTCAAAGATTTTTTTTCTTTTTATTTTTCTTTTTTATTTTTCTTTTTTATTTTTCTTTTTTATTTTTCTTTTTTATTTTTCTTTTTTATTTTTCTTTTTTATTTTTCTTTTTTATTTTTCTTTTTTATTTTTCTTTTTTATTTTTCTTTTTTATTTTTCTTTTTTATTTTTCTTTTTTATTTTTCTTTTTTATTTTTCTTTTTTATTTTTCTTTTTTATTTTTCTTTTTTATTTTTCTTTTTTATTTTTCTTTTTTATTTTTCTTTTTATTTTTCTTTTTTATTTTTCTTTTTTATTTTTCTTTTTTATTTTTCTTTTTTATTTTTCTTTTTTATTTTTCTTTTTTATTTTTCTTTTTTATTTTTCTTTTTTATTTTTCTTTTTTATTTTTCTTTTTTATTTTTCTTTTTTATTTTTCTTTTTTATTTTTCTTTTTTATTTTTCTTTTTTATTTTTCTTTTTTATTTTTCTTTTTATTTTTCTTTTTTATTTTTCTTTTTTATTTTTCTTTTTTATTTTTCTTTTTTATTTTTCTTTTTTATTTTTCTTTTTTATTTTTCTTTTTTATTTTTCTTTTTATTTTTTATTTTTATTTTATTTTGTTTTATTTTTTTTCATTCAGTCGCTGTATCAAGCTACGCGTTCAAACAATATGGATTGACAATTGGATACCTATCATTCCTCTATTCGATGTGTAGGTGCGGGCGCAGGGGGCTCTTCAACTGCTTACTTCCTAAACAAGTTCCTGCAACCTCCTCAAATTAATCGTAAACATGACCACAGTATCACCATCTTTGATCAAGATGACAAGATCGGAGGCCGCTGCACAGTCTTCCGTGTCAGTGATTATCATCCAGACCGCAACGGTACAGTGCAAAAGGACAAATACATTGAAGTTGGCGCAAGTATCTTTGTCAAAGCCAACTACAATTTAGTAGATGCTGCTAAGCAATTTGGACTCAAGACTGAGCCTTTAGCAGATGAAATGATGGCAATTTGGGATGGAAAAACAATCCTTTTCGAAGAAAGTCGGTGGAAGTACTGGTCCGTTTTCAAGGGTTTCAGGCGATGGGGGTTTTCGCCCTTTAAGGTAAACAAATGTTCAAAAAAATAAAAAAATAAAAAATAGGCACCACAAAATTCTTACTTTTTTTTTTTTTTTTTTTTTTTTTTTTAGCTTCGAGTAATCATATTAAATACCGTGAATGACCTATTAGAATTCTATGTATCTCCTGAGACTTTTGACTCCATTTCTGAGTTCGCTCGACGGTTCAAGCTGGATAAGCTCGCGTCTATAATGTCTGAACAGTTTCTTGAATCAAGCGGCATTAGCAAGCAGTATGCAACTGAGGTAATTGAGGTCGCAACTCGAGTCAACTATGGATCTAATCTTCACGAGATCCACACCCTAGGCGCCATGGTCTCTATGGCGGCCAACGATGCACTTCGAGTCCAAGGTGGCAACTTCCAAATATTTGAAGGCATGGTGGGTCATAGTAAGGCCCATGTTCGGCTGAGCACTAAAATTGCACGCGTTCGACGGACCAAACCAGAGTACGAAGGCGCTGATACTAAATTCGAAGTCATTACCGCTTCAGGACAAAAGCAAGTCTTTGATATAGTTGTTATTGCTGCACCTATTGTATGTCTTTGAGGCTACGTATTTCTTTTACTATGTTCCTTTTCTTTCTGCTGTAGTGTAAAAGGCCATCGAAGATAAGTAGATGTCATCTTACACTAATTATTCATTCCCTTTATTCATATATGGTTTTAGCAATCAACCAATATTGATTTTGACCTGGACTTGCCTCCCCTACCCGAAGTGGAGTACCGAACAATCTATGCAACATTTGTCCGCGGCCATGTCAATCCTGCGTACTTTAAAGTTCCACCGACTAAAAAGCTTCCAGCCCATATCCTCAGCACCAATTCAGAAGACGTTGAGGTCACGTCCATAAGCATTCAAGCTAAAATGAGTAATGGTGAGACTGTCACCAAGATTTTCTCGCCCAAGCCAATTCAAGAAGAACACTTGGATCGACTATATTTGAATCGAACATGGGTCAAGAGCAAGATTTGGAAGGCATATCCAAAACTCCACCCGCTTGATTTGGATAATGAAGACAAGGATAAAAAGACATCAGTGGATCCTTTCTCTGAGATCAATACAAACAACGAACAAGTGATCCTTAAGAAGCGGGAAGAAGAGAAGGCAAGAGCTTCATGGGGCCAGATCGAGATTGTTCCGGGTGTATTTTATGTTAATGCGCTCGAGCCTCTCATTTCGGTAAGAGTACATTCACATTCACATTCACATTTGCAAATACAAGAAAAAAAAAAATTAGTTGACACCTAATTAACACTATGACAAACTCTTCCTTGCTTTTTAATGTATAACTATGTTATGGCAGACTATGGAGACAGAGACTATCGCCGGAGAGAACGTTGCTAGACTTGTACGAGATCGTATTCTCGGGTACTGTCCCGTCGAAAAGATAACCAAGAGAATGTAAAGACAAAAAATGCATAGTTAGTTTGTAAATATTCTTGCCATACTGCAATATACATCACGTGGTTATCCTAGTGACTGGCACTCTTGAAATGACTTGTAGTGCTAGTATACAAAAAAAAAAAAAAAAAAAAAAAAAACAAAGCTCATTCTTTGACTTGGCCTATTTACATTCCACATCTCTAAAAACTTTACCATGGTCACCCGCAACAACATTCACAGGCCGAAGTTTAACCTTCAAAAGCTAGGTCGTGTTCGCAAGCAGGCCTTGAAATGTAATCCAACGTCGTACAAATCAGTGACCTCAACCAACATTCAGCATGTTCGTCGTATTTCTAAAAAGAAGGCACAGCAGAAGGAGAAGCAACTTCAACATATCATGGATTCTGCCCTTGTAAAGGCCGGAGGTGTCAAGGAGGCTATTATGAAGGGTAACTCAGAAAAGAATATAATAATAGAGAAGCTTTTGCTAGGACTTGGACGATTGTTATTATTATTATCTGAAAATTCATTTTGTGAATGTATTCCCGTTGACTTACTCTCTTTTTTTTTTTTTTTTTTTTTTGGTTTTCTTTTTTATTTTTTAAAAAAAAAAGATGTTCCTATCCAGAAAGAGGCTGTCGCGGTCAAGAAGGCTATCCCATCAGGCCCTGGAACTACTTTGGGTGCTCCTTCTGGTAATTAACTATAATAAATCTGTGAAGGCTGATTATGATATGATATCAGAAGTGCTCTTTTCTTTTCTTTTAACAATATATTTTTTGTTCATTCATCCTATAACAATGTACACAGCTTGAACTATTAGCGAATTAGCGAAGAAGAAGTGGAGAACATGGAACTAGACTAATGACTATTTTACACAAGGAGAGGAATTATTATTGAATGAGTCGATAAATCAACTGCATATTTTTTGTACTATTAGAAAATAAAAAAAAAAGAGTGAAATACGCATAAAGGAAAAAATAGGATGAATTTTGATGAACACCATAAGTATAATTTTTTCCTTGTATCTCTTGAGAAAGGGAAGCGAGATGATCGCAGGGGAAAGAGAGGATCGCTGTTTGACTTTATGATAGCCAATAAAATAAAAAATAAAAAATAAAAGAGTGGCTTCGGTCTCCAAGGGGGTGATAGGGTGTCTATTTCTGTAAGGCTATTTGCGCACATTCCAGACGCTATAATTGTCAAGGCCATATGCGTTTTTATTGTTGTACTTCGTCTTGTCTTTATAATTGTCGCTTCGATTTTATATACCAGGATGCCGGCTGATTCAGTGATCCCCGACATTCCAGGAGTACCTGTGGATCCTAGGATGGAGAACATGCTTCGTGAAAGCATCTGCCAAGTTGTCGGAGTCCATGGCACTAGGTGCTTAAGAAGAAGAAGAAAAAAATAAATAAAAAAGCTTCAAATGCGCCAAACATGAAATGTATAAAGATGTTGAAATGCTGATTCAGAGTTCTTTTATTTACTCTCGTTATCGCTTTTGCTAGATTCATTGGTAAGGCCTATCAACCAATTTGATTTACAGCGACTTTAAGCAATAACTTCATTGATAACATTCAGGACAGGATTAAGAAAAAAAAAAACAGTTTTGTTTGAGCTATATGACATATGCTTGGAAGGGTTGACATCAAATATCTCTCTCCTTTATCTACACTACTCCTCCATGACATTTAAGGCGCTCAACCCGTCAGTTTTACTCGCAATGCCTTACAGGAACTTCATGTAGAAAAGTAAGTGACAACGGAGGACCTTTTTCTTCTTTTTTTTTATATCTCACGGAATGTAAATTCACATCAACAAATGTTTCCTTCTAACAAGCTATTGAGCTAATGATCAAACTCTTATGATGATAACTTGTTAGCTATTTTGTTGCAGAAAAATCAGATGGTGTTCGCGTTCTATTATACTGCCTGCGACACGAAAACGGTCAGCAGCAAGTGTTTTTGGTAAATGATAGGCTACAGGGAAAAAAAAAAAAAAAAAAAAAAAAAAAAAGAGAGATTTTTCCTTACTCTATTTTGGAAGAATCTATTACTGAAACCTTCAATAATTGTCCCTTTTCTATCTCGGGATTATGACTAAGGTGGATCGCAAGAACAAATTCAAATATGTTCCGCAATTGCGGTTCCCGGTGGCCAACGAGCGTAATGTTTTTCATCACCAAACCATTGTCGATGGTGAGTTGGTTATGGATCGAGAACCTGATGGTCGATTAGTGATGCGATATCTGGCTTTCGATCTTTTGGCATACAACGGCATTAACGTTATTTCGAAGCCACTCACGAGTCGTTTTGGCGTAAGTGTCTTTCTTTCTTTCTTTTTTATTTATATTTTTATTTTTTAACGAATATGAAATAAGTGAAAAATACAAAGAAAAGACTTTGTAAATATCTTTTGTGGAGAAAAATAAAATAAAACAACTTTCACAAACATTCTGTTGCTTTTTTTCTTTTTTCGTTCTTTTACTATATTATTAGAGGTTGCAAACCGAGTTTGTTAATCCTTATAATGAAATGCTCAAGGTTGCCAATCCCGAGTTTATTAAATCACAACCATTCATGTATGTGGACATCCGTGCATGATAAACAAAAAAAAAAAAAAAAAAAAAAATAAAAGATTCAGGGCAACTGCAGCTAAACCCATACTAACCTTTATTATTGTTAGAGTAACTATGAAGGAGATGACAAAATCCTATGGAATTGAAATGATGTTTCGGGAAATTATTCCAAAATTGAAGCATGGGAACGATGGGCTTATTTTCACGTCCTCTGTGGCGCCATACGTCCTCTCTACAAACACGAAAATGTATGCAAAAAAAGAAAAGAAAAGGACAATGAGATGACGGACGAGAAGATATCATTTCATGACAATGTCATTTTGTTTGTATGTGGTTGATTGCCTTGTTATAAATAGGTTAAAATGGAAGCCACCAAGCGAGAATACTGTCGATTTTAAGCTGGCGCTTCAAGCACCGATTTTAAATGGGGTCCCTGATTATAAACAGAAACCACAGTTTATCCTTCTTGAATGGCAAGGTGGACAGCAATACACACCCTTTGGACAAATGGTTGTGGATGATGCACTTTGGGAACAGTAAGTTTTTTTTTTGTGTGTGTTTCTGTGCACCATGTTGTGTACATTGCTGATTTACTCATTATTTTATATTAGATGGAAATCGACTTCGACACAGCTGCAGAACAGGGTCGTTGAAGTGACTTATTCTCCCAATGACCAAAGCTGGCGATTTTTCCGCTTCAGGGACGATAAAGAACACGGTAATCATTCCTCAGTTGTGAGGAAAGTGGTTGAAAGTATCCGAGACGGTGTTGAAGCTGACGAGGTAAAAAAAAAAAAAAAAAAAAAAAAATGCTCGCAGGGTGTATTACAGATGAATATGTTACGAATGGTGATTGGACAAAGATCACATTACTGCCTACTTAAAAACGCACCTATTTTTTTATTGTCATGTTACAGCTGCTACACGCACAAGGCTCTATTAAGGCTGCATGGAAGCAGCGTGAGGCCGCGGAGGAAGAGAAGCGCCGTCAGCAGCGTTAGTAGAATAAAGCATAAGAAAAAAAAACATTTACAGTTGTATAAAGTATGGCCATCGTATTAGAGACCTTGTCTGCCCTTCTTTTACTTCCAGACTAATCAGTTGTAATTTTTAAGAGAGAGCTCTGCGAGCGATTCTGAAGTCATGTTTGAATCCAAGTACTAAGTGAGGAAGAAACGGTTGGACGTGCGCCCTATTGCAGAGGCGTGTGTGTGGCAACAAACAGCAACTAACCACAAATGACAAAAGTTACGCAATGCGCATTTTTCTTTTTTAGGAACCGGCGTAAAATGAAGGTTATTTTTTTTTTTTTTTTTTTTCTAAATATGATCCAGCTTCCTTTTTATTTTTCTATTTGCCATAAACAACACTGGCACAGGACTTGGACCATCAACGCGGAATCGCTCCGAAAAGTTCATGGTTGATTACATATCTTCAGGGCATCTTTGGTGTGGTTTGGACTTGATATGATTATTTTATTTCTATTATTATTTACTGCATGAAATTTGTTTGGTCAATGCCTGACGCGTATTTTTCATGCTGCTATACAAATCTTTGTGCAAAGATGATCACTTGCTAAAAGGAGAAGGACATCTGCTAAAAAAAAAAAATTGTCCCGTCAACACCATCTTTTCTCGCTCCCCTTTAGTATCGGTCAATAAAATAGTGTCTTACACCTTCTGAAAAAGACTAAAAATGCCTTCCAATACACGGCGTGGCGTATGTTTTCGATTCCTTCTCTAAATATAGAGGCGAATGGTGCGCGCCCAAACTTGGTTGAACATGAAAATGCTTGAGTCTGATGCGGATGCGCCGTCTTTGAAGTGAGTGTGATCCCCTTTTTTTTCTTCTTCATTTTTTTTTTTTTTTTTTTTTTTGAACATATAAATACCAAACAACATCTCGTATTTTAGTTCTCCATTCAACATTTTACTCAATTAGTACACAAACAATATTATGTACGCGCGCCCCTTCATCACTATTGTGCTCCTCGCATTGTGCACTCTTGGCACTGTTTTGGCTTCCCCTCCTCCGAAACCTTCCCGAGATATTTTCTCAGTGACTTCGCCCGAGTATGAATCTGTATACAGAGTTGGTCAGTATGTACCTGTCGCCATCTCGATTGTCAATGGTACTGAAGGTTACCTCTACCAGAAAAACCCCTCGATGCGGATTACTATCCAGAAGAACATCCGCTATCCAAATCTGAACGAGCGGGTTGGCGAGATATCCGCTCGCGAGCTCTACCACAGCGGCTTCAGGTTCAAAGTCAAGAAGGCATATTTGATTGAGACGCAGAAGACTGTCCCATTCCGTGTCCGAGTTTCATTCTCTGCTGAGCCTCGTGGTGGCTTCAATGACTCACCCTCATTCAGGCTGAAGCCGAAGAAGGACTAAAAAAAACCCCCTACCATAGTTTTTTTTTTGAAACTACGTAGAAATCCACTATTTGAAAAATAAAATAAAAAAAGCTCATCAACCCAAGACAGTCACTTTCTATTTTTAAGGTTTTATCTTTTACGAATAGTTTTTTTTTTTTTGTTGATTGTTCTCTTGCATCTTTTTCATCATTGATTTCAAAAAGAGCATTTTGATTAATGTATTATTATTTTATTATTATTATTATTACTACTATCAACTACCATTAAATTGGCCTTGCCTCGTACTATTTGCTCTATAATACATATTTTCTTGGAGTGTCACAGATGCTTGTTACATTCAGCACAATATGGCTAAGAGAAGAGAGAAGTTCCTGGAGAAACATGGGCAATGCTGCTATGTACAACAGCAGGCAACTGGCCCTCCTAGGATATCTTTTTTTTTTCTTTGGTTTCTTTCCCATTGAACAAACACAAACCCAGACTTTGTCATGAATATTCCAGAAAGAGACCTGCTCCACCTATGGCACAACAGCTGTAGCACATAAATCCTGTGGAGCGACAATTAAACACTAGGATCGTGAAACAGCCAGGGGTTACAAAAAAAATAATCTGACGTCTCTGAATGAGCCTTCAATGCATGTCTAGCCTTCCTCCATAGTCCTTCTACAACCCTGCCTTTTTGGATGGACCTCCTTCCTTCACCCTGTAATATTGTGACACTCCAAGACGCACAACAAAAATCAAATCTCCTGGATCCACTCCCATTCTTCCTCCTCCCCTCCCTTTCACCCACTTTCTCTCTACCCTCATACATCTTTACACACCCTCGCAAAAGCATCATTTTCTTTTGTTTTAATACTTTGCTTTCATCTCTCTCTCTTTTTTTTGTATTACTACCTTTTTTTTTTTTTATTATTTTTTTTTATTTCTTTTCACCACGAGGGTAAGGCCAATCTTAAAGTCTTGCTCGCTTTATTTTATTTCGTTTTTTTTTGACTTGCTTCTCCCTTGTCGAAGAGTGTGTTTTCTCGCTTATCTCAACCTCCTTATCCTTTCAATTTTTCTGCACCATAAATCAATACACTTATTTGATCAATATGTTCTGCTCATCACATCTGATTCGATGCATTCTGATACTCCTCATTCTTCATTCTTCACATCATTGATCCGATCGCCTCATGGAGCAGGAATATTCCCCTTCATCTGGCATTGAGTACTATCAGATGGCAATCGCTTACACTTCATCGTATGGAATAAAAACGTATTTTCGAGACATACACATGAAGCTCTCCTCCCTTTATTGTTTTATAAACATTATCTGTAGCACGTTCCTCCTCGGAACCCTCCCCCCTCAAGTGTATATCAGCCTCCCTCTCAACGGCCCTAACCTGACCATATTATTTTTCTGCCTACAATAGAAGGTGTCACATATTTTTTTTTAAATCCAATTGATTACGATGCCAAAGGATTATTACGGTCGAGGAGATTACTCGGACGATGAGTCTAGTTCTCGTGGTCGCGACAAATTCAGACGCGAACGAAGCCCTGAGAAGGATGACTTTGGCCGAGATAAGCGAAGAAGAAAGACCTCGGCTTCTCCTGACGACAGAGGTATGGGATCTACCAGAACTTTACCCACTTCTATCTTATTCATATCACATCATGATCTGTATTGCTTTATCTTTCGGCTTTATAACTCGGCTAAGCTCCAACATGTGGCCTATTACACAATATATTTTTATTATTAAAAAAAAAAAAAAAAAAAAAAAAAAAAAAAAAAACCGCAAATCACAGAGAGGCGTCCTAGGAGAAACCGTTCTTCTTCCAAAGATGTCGAAGGTGATCCGGGTGATCGCTATATTCCTAATTATGAAAGAGATGGCTATAATCCAGCTCCTCGTTACAGTCGACCTGATCACTTTAACAGTCGCTATGACAGCCCTGGAGGATATGGCGACTATCGTGGACCAAGGTAAACAGCAACGATCTGGACACCATCATTGAATTGGAATTATTTTTCTTAGGAAATATGACATGACCAGGACCTTCGTATTCAACCATTCTCATTTCCCAATCTTTATTGCTTTACTGAGTCAGGCGTCGTGATGATGGCTATGGAGATATAGATGGACCGGATCCCATGCCCTATGGGGAAATGCCTCCGAACTGGGGAAATGCCGACAGGATTGACGATCCCATGAAGCTTGATCATCTGATTTCGTTTAAGCAGTATTGTGAATATCTCAGAAATCTTGATCGTGCTTCTCATCGATACAAGCGCTATTCAGATGAAGAGCTTCAATCTCGGTACGGGACTTACAAGGAAGAGTTTACAGCTAAACAATATGCAGCATTCTTTGATGTTCACAAAACAGAAGCTTGGTTCCAAGAGAAGTATCATCCAGACTTGTCAAAGTCGCGAGCAGAAGAGGCTCAAACTCTGCGAAGAGCACGCTACAATAAATTTGTTGAAGACCTAGCAGCAGGAAAATACGACAACACTACATGTGATGAGGCTGCTGCCAAGAAAGCGAATGCGGCATCAGCAGAGGCGAAGACAGAAAAATCTGAAACAGATGGTGAGGCTTCTGAGTCAGTGGACAAGGATGGCGACGTCAAACTTGCAAGCGAGGACAGTGAAGAACCTTGGCTATATCTGAGAGCAATTCTACCAAATGTCACTCGATCTTCAATTTTGGAGGTAAGGCTATTCTTACAGGCTACTACTACGCATTATGTGATAAAATAGGTTCAATGTACCTTAGATTTAATAACAATGGCGATGTTTTTATACTTTATATGAATCAAATAGCGCTGCGAAAAAATTGAAGGTTTTGTGATGCTTTCGTTGTCCGAACCTCATCCCTTGAAGGAGTTGCAGAGGATTGGTTGGATCAAATTCAAGCCAGGAACAGATGTTCAAGAAGCTTTGACCACCATAAGCGAGCCTGCGACAGAAGACTTTCAGGTATCCACGACAGCTCACCGACCTACTCGTGCCAGATACACGCATGAAATTGCCAACACTGAGGCTAGGATTCATGCAGATTATGAACTGGCACTGGAAATTGCAAAGGTCTGTGACAGAAACTTGATGGAGTCTGCGGAAGCGGACTCTGGTGTGGCCGTCTATGACGGCGTATCTTTATTACAGGCACGCCTCAAGGATATGATATTAGAATCATCTGATGTTCCTATGGAGGAAGGAGAAGAAGATAGCGCACAGACAGCGATTAATCGCGCAAATGAGGTATGCCTGATAAATCTTATGAACAATCAACAATTATTAAAAAGACTGTTGAAACTTGCAAGTAACCGTGCTGACCGTCTCTTTTTTTTCTTTTTTTTTTTTTTTTTTTTTTTTTTTTTCTAAAAAAAAAAAAAAAAAAAAAAAAAATAGCGCCGCTCCCTTGATTTGTTTATTGAGTACTTGCGTCAGGTTCATTTCTTTTGTTACTATTGCGGAGGTGATAGTGACAATGCAGAGGAATTTACGCGCAAATGCAGCAAGCATTACCGCAATCCAGAGACTAAAATTACCAATTCCAAAGGTAGGCATTTCATTTCCTGATCACTTCATTCGTAACTCGTACTATAGACCGTGGTTTTTAAAATTATATTAACCCGTATACCTTATGTTGTTCTAGGTGCTATCTGGGTTAAGAATCTTGAGCAGAAGCTTAACCTGAAGCTTAAACCTCCCACGGATGAGGAGATTGTTAAACTTGGAGGAAAATCACTCGAGAAGTATGACTTTGGTTTCGAAGCAACAAAAGTTTAAAAAAGCTGTTATGAATATAGGCTTAATGACATGGCTCTAATGTTTTTTACTCCTTCATTTGAATTTGTGCAGGGGTGTTCTGAAGTTTTTGCAGGGCAAGACACAGCAGGATGAACCCACAAAATGGCGCTGCAAAATTTGCACGAAGCCGTTCCGTGGTGAAGAATTTGTACACAAGCACATTCGCACTAAACATCCAGAGGAAATCAAATCGGTTGAAAACAACGTATGTTGAGTGATGAAAATAGTCAAATAGCATAGTTGGATTCGTTGTCTATCTCTGGTGTATTGATTCAAAAGCACTGAGCTGAATGGGCATTCTTATATTATCATATTACTTTGATTCTATAGATTCAACTTTTCAACAACTACATATTGGACCCCAATCATATCAACCCATCTGCACAACAACAACAGCCCCAACCATCAGCTGGATTCGGATTCAATATGCCAGGTCCCATGTATGGTGGACCGCCTATGCAAATGGGCTTCATGTCGGGTGGTCATCCTATGGGCATGCCCTTCATGAACCCAGGAGTATCACCTATGCCAGGATTCCCTCCCGGCTTCATGCCACCCTCTTTTGCAACTGCTGGAGCAATGGCAGGGTCGCCTATGGATCAGATTCCTCGCATTGGCTTTGACTTACCCAAGCGTGGCGGCTCGAAGGATGATGCAGGCGACAAATCAAAGCTTAGAGGGCCGGATCTTATCCCCGCCCGTCCACCATCAATGATGCTCGACCCCAGAAGGTAAGGACATGCATACATTCAAGCATATGGCATTGTATAATAGTGAAAATGGTTCATATCAGTTCGCATGACTGATGAACGTATCTACCCATTTGATCAACAATGCTTACACAGTAGGATGTCTGATCCTCGCAAGGTTAAATCATATGTGGATCTGGATGCCCCAGCTGAGGGCGATTTAGACTCAAAGTACAACCTGTGGTAAGAGGACAGCGAACACTTCGTCCAATGTGGGGAATGTTCCTATCAGATATACTTTGCGGAAGCCCTTCCTTGATGCTCGACCCAAGATCATTGACGTAATGATAGCCACACTACTAATGAAAATGGCAAATAAAAGTGTCAAGTGTTACAGGCTTTATTTTCATACCAACATTATTGAAGTCCTAAGGTTGTTTTAATTTCTCGTCTTCATTGAAGACATAGAGTGCATTGAGCTCCCTTGGGTCGTGCTTGCAAAAGATTGTTTTAAAGAACTTGGTGACACTTTTATTTATTTATTTATTTATTTTTTTGATAACGGGAACCATGTTTATTTGGATGTTAGTTCCATAAATGCATAAAGAATCTAGTGAGACTTATACCGATGTCATTTTTGGTTTGTCCGTTATCAATTACAAATGGTTTATTTGATAGATGAGCTTATAATTGACAAAACCTCTCTAAAAGAGATTTTTTTGATAACACGAGGTCATGTAACCTCTCTAAAAGAGATATCGCTGGTATGAGTCTCTAAATTAGACACGACACTTTTATTTTATTCTTTTATTATTATTTTTTCAAATAACAAAGGTCAGTGGCTTATAAACTTGTAATCCTTGATGTGTGGCTATCATATTTTTTCTATATATATATTATTAAGAGACCACTCTTTATGTCGTAAATGACGCCTATTCATTTACCTAAATATGTATTTCCTTTCAATTTATTTATTTCCTATCATCCTATTTTCTACCATTTTTAAATAGTATTTAAGTAGCTTTTTCCTTCACTGCAAAAACGGCATCTCTCTTCTTATTATCGATGCCCTTTTGCAGCATCCTCAAAATCATTCAAAGCATTACTTAGGATCACTATCGTATCCCAAAACCACGAGGCTCTTGCCCAATTCTTCATTTTTCATCATTACCTACTAGTTTTCAGAGATCACTAGTAGATGCTCTACGACACATTTATAACTGAGACAACATGGCCGAGCGGTTAAGGCGTGAGACTAGAAATCTCATGGGTTCTCCCGCGCAGGTTCAAATCCTGCTGTTGTCGCGATTCTTCTTGTTTTATGTGTCTCCCTGACACAAGGGAATGTGTATTTTTTCCGTGTCAAAGCTTAAATGATCTAAATCAGCAAATCTTTTTATTACTGAAACGGTAGTTTGCTGTAATCGGATTACAAAATGAAATCTTAACAATTTAAATTACAAAATTTGTATTCAATAAGTATATATGTGACTGTGTTTTCGCACCAATTGTAATCCTGCTTGTAACCTCTGCAAATACCTCCCAGGCTATACTGGGAAAAAAAAAAAAAAAAAAAAATGTCTCATGCATTCATGCATTCCTTTTCTTCCTTCTTCATTGCTACACCCAACACCTTTCCAAACCCTTCTAAACCGAGTAAGCTCTCCTTCCCACTCACTCATTTACTTTCTCGGCGTTCCTGTCTCTTGTCCCCGTAACCCCTTTAGAAAAAAAAAAAAGATGGATTCAATAAAACGCAATACCAACACCCTCTAAGAGAGTAGGAGTGCTTCTGAGCAAAGGACCCATTATGTATCCCATTTGCTTAGAGCCGTACGCCGACCCTCTATGGCCTCAGTCTCACGCCTTCTTTCTTTATTTATTTATTTTTTTTTTTTATATCAGCAGAGCTAGAAACAGATTATGAACGTTACTTTTGAACCAGAACAAAAGAACGTCGTCCCAGGACGTTCTGCAACTGACAGTTGGTGCGGGATATCCTCTATCTATGTTCAAGAAATTTATGAAGATCTCGTGGAGCAGGAGCTATAAGCATCTGAGTGCTGTCTCCAGGACACAGAAGCTAGTTGGCGCGCGTAATCGTCTGTGTTTTGCATTTAATCATTTTATGATCACTCGGGGACAAAGTATACGAGATGCCTTAGTGAGCCACTTATTTCCCCACCACTTTGCGACTGCTGGAAATGGACACCAGTTCGCACTTGGGATTGTAATAGCAATCCCTCAAGGAAAAATGAACAATGATCATACGCTCCATTCTGTATTTATTCGTAACAAGGACGTAGAGATTTGCCCTGTTGGATGCCTCGCTTTTTATCTATTCGAGCAGTGGATGGTACGTATTGGCTGCTTCTATGGGTTGCTGTTGAAGATTAACTCAGCATATAAGCTGTCTATTAATATTCATCCATGATTAAAATACCCCTTTACCTTACACAACAGACGAAAGAATCTACTCCAAATTTCCGCATGCATGACTGGAAATCCCAGTACCTTGTACATGCCTCTGACAAATACAAAGCGATGGATGCTGCGACTCTCTACAGGCAAGTGAAATTATCAGAAATGCAAATACGCCATTACATGAAGTTTTTGTACTCTGTTTCCTAACCAATAGCATAGCCATACTCAGATCTCTAAGCGAGGTGATGAAGCTAGCGCATTACACATCATCCAAGGTTACTCATAGTGGCCGTAAGGCTGGGGCGCAACATGCGCAAGCCAATGGGGCTAGCATCGAAGATATTGCCCAACATGGTAATTGGAACCATCGCCGCTTGGTAACGCATTACCTTAGTCCGGTAGCGCAGACTGTACCATTTAAAATGGCCGGATTTCTCCACGAGAATGAGGATTTCTGGCTTCCGCGGAACACCGTTATACCGCCTGTTGAATTACAGAAGCAAATCTTTCCATTCATTGAGGAGCTGTTTCCAGACAATGTCGATTGGGCCAGATGGATGGAGAACGTTATGATGGATCGTCCCGAAGATCTGAATCGTCCTGACAATGAGTCAGTACCTTATCCAGCTGAGTACATTCCAGCCATGCGAATCATGCTTATCCTAGCCCACTTGCGCAAGGTTATTTTACAAGATGCAGTTGCTCTGATGGCGTGCAATGGCGATCCATTGTGTATCTACAGCCAGCACCACGTTTTCACTAGTAACCCTGTGTTTTCGTCGCAACTGTTCCAAGAGTTTTCTTTGCGACTTCACGATGCCATGCAGAAGACACAATCACCAACAAACGACAGTCTCCGTTTCAATGCTCCAGTCATCCATCAAGAGCTTCAAGCCATCAAATCGAGCGTGTCATCTTTGGATCATTACGTACGTGATGATTTTATGGGCGCACTCCAAGCTACAGCGGAGAATAGTAATGCTGGCTGGTCTAGAACATGCAGTCATATGCATCGTGAGATGATAACCATCGTACAAGGGCTTCAAACTGTAATGTCGAACCTTACGAAGACAACCGCCAGGTCTTTTGGGCATTTAGCTAGTGATATGGAGAACGAGCATCGCATTCTGACGCAACAAGAGCAGCGTCAAGCGAAAGAGCAAGAACAACAGTTGAATGACCTTATACATCATATACCTCCAAGGCAGCATCTCCAGGAGCAGCCGCGGGGATTTGAACAAAGGGGGATGGATGCTTTGGAGCAGCAACCAGAGCAGGATGAGCGACCAGGCCAAGACGAGCAACCAGGCCAAAATGAGCAACTAGACCAAGTAGACCCCGAGGTGCAGGAACAAGAGGAAGATGGAGGGATAAATGAAGCCATGGAAACAATGAAGTTGGAATGTTTAGCGGATAAGATTGCAGAGACTTACTTGCAGCTCCCAATTGACCAGGTCAGAGCTGCAGCCCCAAATTTCTCTATGTTGTCAAGGGTCACCCCTCTTTTTCCTCTTTGGGATGAATGGTTTACGGCCCAGGGGGCAAAGCCATCGATTTGGAGTTTGAATAGGTTCCAAAAGGACTGGCGCAAAGGCTGGAATCCTAATCTTAGGAACCAGTATATGCTCAAGCGAAGAATTATCTTTGCTACTCTGGCTGAGGTCCTGAAGACTGAAGGACCAACACTGAACGACAGAGTTATAAAGGCAAAAACGACAATGGATACTGCAATCAGGCAAGCTGGGTCCTCAAACGCGTACTTTAAGTCTATCCAAAAGAAGAAGGGCAAATAAAAAGCTATGGTTTTGATGTACTCTCCAAAGTGCACCGCCGTACGAATTTTTTATACTCATGATAATATATATTTTTGAAAACAACACTTTATTCCGCAACTGGTTTAAAGGTTCTATACACATCTAACAACAGTGCTGCTTTTTCTTGCAAAAGCTTGTTACGAGGCGAGTCCACATTAACTGATTCCAGTTCAGTGAGAACCGTTCGGAGCTGTCGTTCTGACATCTCTAGCGTCGACTCTGGACGGTCAGTCTCTGTTGCAACTGAAACGACAGCAGCCGGTGCACGTTGCGAGGCCCTAGCTAACGCTTCTAACCGTTGCAATTCCGTGTTTTTGATCAGCCTGAGGTCACGACGCTTCAGCTGCTTGATCAGCGATGGTTCATGAAGCCCGAAAATCTCAAATTTGCCACGCGTCACGGGTTTGCTGGACAAATCGCGTTTTAGCACTCCCTCTAGAAAGAGGATCTTGCGAGGACTCCCTTCATCGCCATCCTGATAAAGCTCACTGTCTTCCCGCTCCCTAAAAGTACAGAATGGACCCTCAAGAAAGAGCTTCTGGATTTCGTGTATATTTTTGGTGGGACGTTCCCATGGCACATAGTGGAACGCTAGGGCAGCAGGTGGACCTTCTAGGGAAGGTGAGGTCTGGCGACTTGCGCTCTTGTCGTTTTCCAATTCCTCACGAGCGCGTTTTTTGCCAGCAACTTGGCTGGTGGAAGAGGAAGCAGTGTTGTTAGAGGAAGACATAATTTAAGTAATATGAAAGCGGGTAGATAGATATAATGACGTGGTTTTGTGAGATAGATTAGTTAAAGAGGAATGAAAGAATGAGAAGCAAAATGGACTTCAATTTATTGTTCTCACCTTTCCTTTTGTCAGCTTCATCCTCATTCATTCCTGACATTACAAATCAACCTTTTCTTGCATGGCGTGATCTCATTTGCGCCAATCAGCATTAAAGGTGAAAAAAAAGGTGCCTGAGTACCTAGAAAACTTCATAAAAATAGCCTAGGTATACAGTGCATTTTTTGGGACGCTGAATGCATGATACGTAAGTGGTAGTGCAATATAATCGATGGCCAGTGCACGTGATACCAAATAAATTTATTCATTTGTAATTTCTGTAAAGGTCATGTGCACTACACTGGTTAGTATACAAATAAAATAGAATAATAGTGGCTATGATTGCAAAAACCAAAGGCTGAGGATAAACAAAAAAGATTTTGATTATTGATGATCTATTATTGTGCTGCATTAGATCAGCAACCTGGGAAATTAAAAAAGAGACAAAGGGCCTGCAAGATGATCTCCTCCACTAAAAAGGAGATCTTTTTTCTTTTTTCTAGTTTCGGTTTGCTGCCTTTGGCCAAAGAAAAATGCTAAAAGTCACTACGTTCAATAAGAAAGATAGAAAATGTTCAGTTGATAATGGTCCGTGAGCAAAAGTAGACATTAATTTTTGACGGAAATTGCTGACAATTTGCCTAAAGAAGAGTGAAGTAATAGATCCATCTGGTACAGTCATAATTGCACCAACAGAATCCTTTAGTGAGAGATGAATATAGGTGGCACATATCGTAGTTGGGCGTTTGAAAAAAAAAAAAAAAAAAAAAAAAAAAAAAAAAAACGTAGCAGCATCGGATCTTTTGCTCTAATTGAGCACGCTGAGCACGTTGCTTAATTGTGCATTGGGACTGGCCGAAATATTTTTCAAATCAGAGATTTTCGAAAATGATAGGTTGAATGGAGCTGATGCGAGGCTTGATCATCATCCACTCACTTCCCTCTCTGCGCGACGCGCTCAATGTAAGTTCAATATGACAACAAAGATTTGGACACACAGACAAGTCATTTGAGAGGAGCTTGAATCTATGGAGCGAAATTGCTGAAGTGCTTGAATTGCTTGGTTCTAATAGAGAATTTAGATAAACCGACCTGGTTTTGTACAAAAAAATAAACTATAAGCAAGTTTGATACTGAGTACGAAAGAAAGGTCACCGTTTCCCAGATATTTTCACGAACATAAAAATGAAAAATGTAATCCATCAAGCCTAGACAGCTCGTATAAGCTTACATGCTTCGAAGCTGTATTATTGTGTGTATGCGATATTATCAGAAAACAAGTGAGGATGACAATGATTGGAAAGAAATGAACGATGGACTACAGTACGTCGGATACCATCAGTAAGCAATTCGATTATTCACAGTTTCTTGGTCTAAAAGGTTTTCATAGTCAATCCTCTGGACTGCAAGATCAAATAAATAAAAAAATATGATCTAATTTTCTCACCTCTCTCACTCTTTCCTTTCTTTCTTTATTTCATTGTTTTTCATTATTATTTCTTTCATTTGCATTCACTCTCATTCTCTCTGCTTCTCTACTCTCTCCTTCCCTTTTTATTTCTTCTTTCCCTTCCTTCCTTTCCACTCCTCTCATTCTCTTATATTCCTTTTAGTTTTAACTCGTGTATGTGCTCATTATTGAATATTTCTCACAATTCATAATCCTCTCTCATTGCCACAGTAACACTTAATTCGTGCTTTATCCACAATGAAGTTTGGCGATAATTTGCAAGATTCCATTTACCCTCCATGGAAGGACAATTATGTCCAATATAATGAACTCAAGGAGCAACTCGAACAGGGCCTGTCCAAGCCTGCAGGCTGGACAGAGCGTGACGAGGGCATCTTTGGTGAGACCATTGATGGTGACTTGACAAAGGTATGCTTTGGTTGGCAAGCTTCTTAATAGCTGTGGGTCAATCTGACATATCATTGAATCCCCAACTTAATAAAAACTCTTCCTTCCTTTTAGGTCTTTAATTTCGTTACCGAAAAGTTTGAGGAGCTCCAGGAGAGGACCTCTAAAGCCGAATTGCGTGTTGCCACCTTCCAGCAGTCTTATAACCAAAAGGAATTGGAGTCGTTGACATCAACCATCACTGAGATCACAGATGAAGTTAATCAGCTCTCAAAATATTGTAGAACCAATTATGCTGGTTTTCTCAAGATCGTTAAGAAGCACGACGTAAGTTTTTTTTTTTATGCTTGCTGGACCATCTTGAGACATGTTCAGTAAAGCTTATTTTCTACTATTCTGATGTTTGGATGGTGATATAGAAAAATGTGCCTTATAAATTAAGACCCGTCTTCATGGTTCAGTTGAAGTCGCGCACTTTCTACAACGTCAACTTTGACTCGCTTGTCGTGCGTCTCTCGAAGCTTTATCATACTCTTGGCGCAGACTCCTTTGCATTCGGAACACCTATCACACCCTCTACTTTCACAGGAAGGGCTAACATCGAAGGACTGGATCGCAAGTCATTCAAGTTCTGGGTGCACCCTGACAATGTGATGGAGGTCAAAACCACCGTACTCAAACACCTGCCTGTAGTTCTTTATACTCCTCGTGGGCCTAATACAGCAGAGTCTTTGGATCCCTCGCTTTCATCTGTCTATCTGGATAACTCTGCATTTGATCTCTACAACAATAAACTGGAGCGCAAGGAAGGCGCACAAGCCATTCGTTTGCGCTGGTATGGCAGTCCCTCCAACAATGAAATCTATGTTGAGCGCAAGATCCACCATGAGATCAATAAGTTCGGCGAATATCATGACCGCTTCACTATTAAAGAAAAGTACGTCGATGCTTTCTTGAAGGGAGAGTACACCATGGACCGACAGATTGCTAAACTGAGGGACCAAGGAGCCAAATCTCCTACAGAAATTGAGAAGTTTGAGGAAATGGTCAAGGATGTTCAAAAGACTATTGTTGATATGAAACTCAAGCCAGGTAAGCTAAATACAGAGAAGATAGGATCAACTACGCATTCAAACTAAAGAACTAATCTTTTTTTTTTTTTTTTTTTTTTTTTTTTGACTTTGTGCTGTACCAGTTTTGAGAACTGTTTATAACAGAACCGCATTTCAGATCCCTGGAGACAAGCGTGTTCGTCTATCTCTGGACACTGATCTTTGCATGATTCGTGAGGATAACCTGGACAACACCACGCGTTCCGGCAATCACTGGCGTCGAATGGATATTGATTATCCTTTAGGAACCAAGACGGCCTATGAGAATGATATCACTCGCTTCAATTATGCTATCCTGGAAGTCAAATTGGAGCTGCCTATTGGCAAATCTACGCCAGGGTGGGTCGATGAACTTATGAACAGTCATTTAGTTGAGTCAGCCGAGTCATTTTCAAAGTATGTTCACGGTGTTGCTGTGCTACTCGAAAGCCACGTGGCTCTCTTACCATTCTGGCTCGCCCAACTTGAAAAGGAGTCCGTTCGCACTTCAGAGTCCATGCGTGGTCAGTTGGCAACAGATACATTTCCGATTAGCAGGTCAGGATCCATGGCAGAAATTCATAGTATCAACAGCCGTCGGTCCTCCGTTGTGTCCAGATCGGAATCTGAAAATGGAGCCAGCACACGATCTCTTTCCAAAGGAAAGAACAAGTCAATGGATATTGTGGTCGACTCACAATACGGCCAGAACGGGAACGGGCAATATGGTTCATCCTCAAGGGCCTCCTCCAGACCTTCCAGCATTAACAAGAGGCCTTTTGGTTTTAAGGGTCTCGGGGGTGTCTTCAAGAAGTCTGGTAAAGGCAAAGATGCACACGAGACCAGTCCACTGCTTGGTCCTAATGATAGCCAACAAGATCTTGTCCCTCAGATCAAGATCATTCCACCCAAACCGAAGAAGGTTGTGGGTCCTCTTAAGGTCGAGGCAAAGGTTTTCTTTGCTAATGAACGTACTTTCCTCAAGTGGATGCATATCGCTATTCTTATCGGCACTCTTGGGGTCAGTCTTTACAATGCTGGTGATAACATTGGACGATTCGCTGGTATACTGTTGTCCATCACTGCACTGCTAACGCTAGTGTACTCGATCTGGTTGTATGAGAGGCGTCTAACAATGCTACGTAATAAGGACCCAGGTCCTTATGGTAAGTTGAGATGAAAAATAGTTTTAATACTGAAAAAAAACGGGGTAAACGATTTTGTTACTCATGATTTTTGCACTGTTTACGGGTTTGGCGCTTTGTTCTCCTTTAGATGAGCCTGTGATGCCCACGTTGATGTGTGTATGTATTTTAACAGCTATCTCGCTGAACTTTTACCTCAAGTCGAGCGTCAAGTCGAAGCCATGAAGTAGGCATTAGTCTTTTTCAAGTAGCAATTGATACACCTAACTTTCATTGCATTGCATTTTTACTATTTTACTACTTATTTAACAAATAAATCATGTGATAATGAGCGCCCTTTTTCATTTTAAGTGGCACCGTTGAGCTTAAATTGGCTGGCTTTTTTTTTTTTTTTTTTTTTTTTTTTTTCGGAGGAATATGCATTGGACGAGAGGCGAGACAAAGGTTCCTTATTCGAAAGTTGTTTCTCATATTTGTTGCGCTACTGTCAAGGCGGGAACCATCTGGTCTAGTCTGGTCTAGCTTGGTCTGCAGCTTGAACATTTACTCTACTCAGTGCAGAGTGATCCTCTCAATGCATATACAGATGGTCCGAGCCCATATCCGACTGTTTCTAATAAAGAGGAGACCAGATAATGACAGCATGGGTTGAAAATGCTTTTTTTTTTCCTTGTCGTTCCATATGCGATAGTGATAGGTACCTGAAGGATTTTCGAGACGAGTCCACGTAGATGGGTATATGGATCAATTGATCTATTAATGATTTTTTTTTAAGAATGTATTGTATATTGTGTGATAGGATTAGTTGTAGGAGGGAAACGAGACAATGAAGTGTTTGAATTAATAAGAACACACCAAAAAATAGGGATTGAGCATAAGAGTTTATGTGATACAAGTCCATTTTAATATGTTGAATTGTATGTGAATAAATGTGATGCGTGTGCACTGCAAAAAGTAATCATCATCATCATCATATCTAAGAGGGAAAATGCGAGATGGGATCCCGTCTTTTTGCTCTCACTCTTACTCGTTCGCAGTCAAACAGACTCACTCGCCCCTTCTTTTCCCTCTTTTCCCTTTCTTTTTCTCCCTCTGACACCCCCTCCCTCTCTTTTCTTCCCTTCCCCTCTCTCCCACCATCACCACTTGGTTAATCGCCATCACTTTTTTTTATTATTATTTCCACCAGCCCTCCATCCTATTGCTCTCCCTCTTGGACGCCAGAACACTCACTCATACGAACACACAGACATACAAACATTACCTCGCCAGTGCACACGGGTCAATTCATTCCAACCAGCAACTTGGTCTCTCTTGTCATTTTACTTCATTCGACATACCTCTCTCTTTCTCTCTTTCTTCCTCTCTCCTTCTATTGTTCCTTTGTGCATTTCCTTCTCATTTGGAAACCTGTCACTAGAGATCAGCTTATTGTTTGTCTTTAAAACCGAATTAAACCCGAGGTAAGGGTCAAAAAAAAAAAAAAAAAAAAAAAGACTGACGAAAGACATACTCGCCTTTCTTTCCTTTTGTGCTCTTTCATAAATCCCATCATCTTTCCGCAGCGTTCAAACATGATATTCGAATTCTTCTTTATTGAATACCTTTACTCCCCTCTTTTGTGCTCTTGTCCCTCTATTCTTGTCAATTCATCCCTGGCTCGTTTGCACGTCATATTACTTTTCGACAAAGTGCAATAATCATATTACATAGCGTATGGAAGCCCTTTGCCACCAACTTCATTTTTTTATTCTTTGGAACACATCCATCCATTTCAAACTGTAGCGCCAATTGGTGTCTGTCATTGCACTGCAACTAGTTTCAACGCATTCGGGTGTTACGGTAGTATGTAGATGGATAGAGCACATATACAGGTCTTCGTTCCCCTGATTGCGGTGTTGGCCCCTACTGGGTTCAAGGTCATTTCAGTGCTCCACGAGCCTTGGTTATTTTGACAGCTTTTAATTATTATCACCATGTCCGTGATCAACTAGCTGCTGGCAGGGGTCCTTGTTCCATATCATTTGGCATGGGAATAGACGGGTGACGGAAATTTTGTAGACCAGCTATTTTTTTTTTCTTTATTTAATAATCAGATCGAGTCCCTTCTGGCATCTGTTTTCTGTGTGCTAGTTGTAGCCATGGGTATCTTTTTGTTACTCCTACACTTTTGCTATAGGTTAGTAAATAGCCAACGCTTGAACTCCTGTTCAGCGCTTCCATCAACGATTACAACACCACATATTTTTCACTGTTCCAACTAGCCAGCATCATTCCGGGTACTGGAAGACGTCAGCGTGCCCCCTCTTTCTCCTCCCCAGCTTTAATTTTGTTTGTCTATCTTTCGCGGCATTTCACCTTTCCAGATTTTTTTTTTTTTTTTTTTTTCCTTCATCTTGGACTCGTCATGGCAATCACCACTTTACAACTTTAAAAAAAGAAGAGAAAGCATTCATAAAAAGCGTTAAAACAAAAACAACAAAAAAGACGCGTCTATCTTTCAGCTGAACCGTGCGCTGTGGGGTTCAATCGCATTATACATTTCTCTGTTCCTGGGAGGACTTTTTGCATGTGTTCAAATACACTGATATATATTAGTTTATACACAAATACAGGCACAGAACAACAAACTTAGCTGTTAACGCATCGCTCCATGCAGTACTCATTCTGACTACTGTTTGTTGTCTGACCTGGTTTTTGCTTTGTTCATCACCGTTTGGTTTCAACAATAGAGCTGTCCAACGCGGCCTTCGGTACCATCATTATCTTCCAACATTGACGCAATATCAAGGCATAGCCACTCATTCTTAAGCACTTGTAACGCGTTCATCGCCTTCAGAGCATTTATTTGATTTTCATTTCTTGCGACGATGGACATTGATCCTCAGGAACAACAAAATGATCTGTCAATGAGCAGTAACAGTCAAATGGAAACGGATGCTATTGACACTACAATGACGGACCCTACCGTGTCATCAAAGGGGGAAGTTCGTAAGATTCTTGATCAGACCATCCAGGAAGGCGGTGCTGTTAAGTATACAGTGTTATGGACGAATGGTGAAACCACTGAGGTAAGACAGTTGATAAATCAACGACGCAAAAATGTTTTCATATTCGATACGCCTCTGTTTTCACATAGCCGGTCGGGATCATCCTACATGGCTGTATGTGGATGATTGCTCTTACTTTAAGAAAGAGAGATCTATATTCAACCCATGCAGCTCCAATATATCAATTAGCAGATTTGTAGTTGAAGTAACGTGGTCAGGAACAATGCTTACAGTAATTCTACGAGGCCACGATATCAAGGAGAGAATCGTGTGCTATATGCATTGAGCATACTAAAGCATAAGAGCAAAAATAGGAGAAAGAAATTGACAATTTTTACATCTATAAAAAAAAAAAAGGAGTGGAGAGTATGGTGTTAATTGAAAAAGGACTGGATAGAGAAAAAATAGCCCAGATAGGAATGAAAGGGGAGGAAACCAGCCGTACAACGCAAAGAACATCAAGGGAGGTGGAGAACTAGGAAAAGGGGAAGTGGAGAAGGATCGATCTAACTGTGCAACAACTGACCAAAAAAAAAAAAAAAAAAAAAAAAAAAAAGCATATTAGAACAGTTCTACTAAGCGATTTGCTGATTTGTATGGACAAGTTTGTTACTTCTCCTATGAATAAGCTTTTGCTTTGTTTCAATCTCTCTTTGGAGATCATTTTTCTGGGACACGTCGCTTGCTCGCATTACTGATCTAAAATTTTGACTTTTGTTCAACAGGAATCTGTCGAAGCGTTAGGCAAATGGGATGACCTCGTACAAGAATATGAGCATAGTCAATTTTCGAAATCGGATATCAAGTCTCATACCCCATCGCCACCACCATCACGTAAATCTCAGCAATCCGCTATCAAAAATGACATCGATGCTTCAAAGCGGAGACCTTCAGCGACACCTCGTCCTACGAGAACAAAGGCTAGAACCAATGTGCAATATTATGAAGGAGAGGATTCTGATGAAGGTACAGAGTATTCAGGATCCCGGAGCAAAAAGAGCGCTGGTAGATCAAAAAAAGTTAACTCAAGCGGTGATGATGGTGTGGAACAGGAACAAGATACACCTCCTGCAACAACGCTTTCAGCACGAGGCTACCCACGGAGGGCCCAGGCGACCATCAAGCCTCAGCCTGTCTTGGATTCTTCTGATGGCTCTTCAGATGAAGTGACTCCTTTAAAAGCTAAAGTCGAAAGAAAGACATTGGCGGTTCCAAAGCAAAAAAAGGTTTTAGTGCCCACTTCCACAGAGTCCAACTTTGTTCTGGCACACCATCCATTCTGCACTCGATGTGGCCAGCGTGGCGAGATCACCAAGCGCAAATCCAAAAAGAAGAGCGATGATGAGGATGATGACGAACCATTAGGGTCACTTCTACTTTGTGAATGTTGCTCTGCAGGCTACCATCGGCTCTGTTTGAGAAAGTCTTATACAGATAGCTTGATTGGGACTGGCTTCCGATGTGAGGCATGTATCAAGAATAAGGGTGCAGAGTGTTTAGAATGCCATGGGTGGGTTGGACGAACGCCTTCTCCCGTAAAGGTAACAGAGCCGGGAGAGCCTACCCAATTAAAACCTGATACAGAGAATTTACCACTTAGTACAGAGTTGACAACGACAACAGTGGATACATCCAGTGAGCCTAAAGATACCAGAGAGAGCACTATCATTATCTCAAATTCTGACGCTACAAAGGAAAAGGCCGCTGAGGCGGGCACGACAGTTGATGGCTCAACGTCAAAAGCAGATGATTCTACAGACACAGCTCCAGTAACGGATTCTATCCTATTTAGATGTTTTCGATGCACATATACTGCACATGAAAAATGTCTTCGGGTGCCGTCAGCCATGTCCAGTAGCACGGACCGAGCACAAATTGTGAAGTATTACAGGAAAGAATGGAAGTGTCACCAATGTATTGAATGGGATAGAGAGCTAGACTTGATTCTTGCCTTTAGGGACGTTCCGATTCGCAGAGCAGACTCAACAACTCAAGGTAGTGACGCAGAGATGGCTTCAGCTAGTTCCACCAAACCTGAGACCACAACAACGACTGAAATCAGCACAAAGGATGGAAACATTTTCCCCCAACCGCCGAACACGACACGTGAACTTCTCGTCAAATGGAAAAACATGTCTTATCGAAAAGTAGCTTGGGTTCCAAGCTACTGGGTCAGTCAAGTTGTAGCACCGGCGAAGATGAAGTCTTTTTGGAAAAAGGTTCAGGGTCCATCAGAGATCTCAGATGTAGTACAGCCAGAATGGACACAAGTAGAAAAGGTTCTGGACGTAGTATTTGACGCTGACTATAATGGTAGAGGCGATAATATGGATGCACTTGATCATATTCAAAGTGTATTTGTAAAATGGAGGGGATTGGATTATGATCAAGGTGAGGTATAACTTGATAGTGAGCTAGAAAGACGATGGTAAGAAAATGATCCTGATCAGTCAATACTAATTTTATTATTATTATTATTATTTAAACTATTAAATATCTTCCATAGCTACTTGGGATGAACCAGATGAACCAGATAGTCCGCACTATGCTACTTTCAAGCAAGCTTTCAAGGAATGGGTTGCAGCTCAGAAGATTGATATCCCTGCACGTGCGAAGAAGGGACGTTCAGGCCCTCAGCCTAGGCCATCAAATCAAGCACCATTTGAAGAATTGAAGGAGCAGCCTGCTTACATCAGTGGTGGCACATTGAAGGACTATCAAATGGATGGACTCAAGTAAGCTTTATAGCAAACTCTATTTTGCAGTATGATCTTTTATTGACGAACCATCACTTACTTTTTTTTTTTTTTTTTTTTTTTTTTAATGTCTCAAATGATGTCTCTAGCTGGTTGCGTTACAATCACTGGAAAAATGTTAATAGTATCCTGGCTGATGAAATGGGTTTGGGTAAAACCATTCAAATGGTGGCATTTGTGACAACGCTATTTCACGAACTTCGAGCGTTTCCATGTTTGATCGTAGTTCCCAATTCGACATTGACCAACTGGGTGCGAGAGTTTGCAAAATGGTCGCCAGATCTGCGTGTGGTTGCCTATTATGGCCCACAGACCTCTCGTACAGTTGTCCGTGAATACGAGCTCTTTCACCGAGGAACGCACGATCTCAAGTGCCATGTGGTGGTCACCACATATGAGATGATTGTGAACCCCGTTGATAGCATATGGTTTCGGAAGAACTCTTGGGAGTGTCTTGTGGTGGATGAGGGACAGCGTCTAAAGAATGAAAACAGCATGCTGTTTATCAAGCTCAATGAACTAGTTGTTGAGAATCGAGTTTTGTTGACAGGAACGCCTTTGCAGAACAATATCCGCGAGTTGTTCAGTTTGATGAATTTCTTGGACCCAGTCAAATTCTCTGATGTTACCGAGCTGGAGAAGAAATATGAAAACTTGGACAAAAACGCTGTAGAAGAACTGCATGGTGTAAGTTAATCTCTTTTTTGATCGATTGTGATGAGACTAACAGTACATAATATATCAAATGAATAACCTTTTTCTTTATTTGGTATTATTACTCTCGCTAGCTATTGAAACCCTTCTTCCTGCGCCGTACCAAAGATGAAGTCCTTAAAGATCTTCCTCCAAAGGTACCTCTTTCGGCTGCAGATTTTATCTTTATCGTTAACACTACTACACCTCTTTTCTAATCGGGGTTTTCCGCTTATGTTTGACTCAATATTTAGAGTGAAGTTATTGTGCCTGTGGGTATGTCTGCCCTTCAAAAGGAGATTTACAAAGGGATCTTGGCGCGCAACCACAAATTACTCCAGTCCATCACTAATCGAGGCGGAACAGCTAGCAATCGCAAAGCATCATTGCACAACATCCTGATGGAGCTACGCAAGTGCTTAAATCACCCATATCTGATTGAAGGCGTTGAACCAAGATATCTCGATACTGCGGAGCTGGTCCATAAGAGTTTGATTGAAGCGGGAGGCAAGCTGGAGCTTCTTCACAATATGCTGCCTAAATTGAAGCAGAATGGCCATCGTGTCCTAATTTTCTCAACTATGACAAGGCTTTTAGACATCTTGGAAGACTATCTCAATGGAGAACACTACAACTTTGTCAGATTGGATGGAGGGACAAGTAGCGCTGATCGTCAGGCACGAATTGATAAATTTAACGCTCCAGGATCGGACGTGTTTGTCTTTTTGTTGTCTACTCGTGCAGGAGGTGTGGGGGTGAACCTGGCAACGGCCGATACTATCATTATATACGACGTTGATTTCAATCCTAAGGCAGATATGCAAGCTCTCAGTCGCGCTCATCGTATTGGGCAAAAGAATAAGGTTTTGGTCCTAAAGTTCATGACCCGCAACTCTGCCGAAGAGCGAATTGTGCAGATCGGGAAGAAAAAAATGATCCTGGATCATTTAATTGTGGAGCGAATGGAAGACGACAATTTAGACCCGGTTGATGTAGAGAGTATTCTCAAATTTGGCGCTAAGGCGCTTTTTGAGGAGGATTCTTCGACTAACGAGGATGTCAAGTATGATGACGCTGCTCTTGATGCATTGCTTGACCGCAGTAAGATTGAGCATAGTCATAATGAGAACGACAATGGCGATACTAAGGTGAGCGGATTCGGCTTTGCAAAAGTATGGACGGAAACCAAGGGTCTTGTGGACGAAGAAATACCCATTGATGCTCCACCGGAGAATGAAGAGGAAGGCTTCTGGTCGACTTTACTGCGTGATCGCCTTGCTATGGCCTATGCTCAAGAAGAAGAGCTATTGGGTCGTGGAGCGCGAAGGAAAACCGTTCTGTCCTACGCCGAGAACGGCAATAACAACGAGAGCCCGCCCAATAAGAAGCGCAAAGCAGGGAAGGAGATCCCATCTAAGGAGGAGGAGGATTATGTTGACCAACAGATGGACGGAACTGACTTGGAATCTGCTGAATCCGAGGTTGAAGAGGATCCTACTGTCATTATGGGAGAACTGGATCTGACCAAACGAGCCAAGAAAAGTAAAGCAGCCGTTGACGTGAGTCAGTCACCTATGCAGCCTGGAGATATGGAAGTCGTGGATGAAGATGGCAGGCGAGAGGGTTTTGGTCCTCATGATGGCAGTCCTGCTTCCAGTCAAATCGGAAAGATTAAAAAAGTGCGCATGCAAGCTTCGTCACCCTATCAGATGAACTCTGGAGTAGGTGGAATGCCCGGAACACGAACTATCTCTGCATTGGACGCTAGCAATAAGAAGACAGGACGGAAGCCTCAGCCATGCTTGGTGTGCCATCGAAGCCATCGAGACCGGTGTCCAGAGAGCCAAGATATACCCCTAGTGTTGGAACGTAGACAACAAATCGCTACCAGCAACTATCCAGATAATTATAAGGCTCTTGCACTGGCGACTTTGGATAGGTTTCTACTCGACAAACAGATCACACCTTCAGAGTTACCCAAGGGTAAGGCGGCAAAGAGCCTTACCGCAGCAGCAGCACGGCTTGGTAGTGCAGCGTATCAAGAGAGTCTTCGCTCCATGTCCATTGGTAAAGCGTTTGTTCCTACCATTACACCTGGAGCATGCATTGTTTGCAATCAGATGCCATATCACTTACCTTTCAAATGCCATGAGTCAAGAAATGTTCAGTTCATGCAGGAACGGTGTCGGTCCATCACACTTGACCCCACCATCTCTGATGCGAAGAAGCAGGAGTATGTTTCAACAATTAAAACATTGATATCCAAAGAGTCACCGAGAACGAATCCTCCGCCTGCTACTGCCATGCCTAGTTCACGGCGCCACAGTCACTGGGGAGCATCTGCGAACGCTGCACCCGGACCTGCAACATCGTCTTCTACTCATATGCCGCTGCGAGCCCCCCCGGGACCAATTGCAGCCCACACTAACGTACAGGCTGGTAGTGGACAGCTAAACGCTTCATCTAAGCACGCAGGCTCCGGGCGGCCGGGCCACAGTCTCCATAGTCATAATCAGCACCAGGCATATACAACGCAGATTCCTCCACAATTTATGAGCTCTAGGCCCAAGGAGCAACAACTTGGGTCAATGGCTAGCTCAGGACCAGCGGGCGGGCGTCCAGACAACCAGAGACAGCGTGATTATGGTGGTGCGGGGTATCATCCTCGGGGAGCGCCTCAGCAACATGGACCCTCAGGACAGATGACAAGCGGTGCACGAGAGAGCAGCAATTATCAGCCCCGCAAACCCAGCTATAGAGGGGACGATGGCCCGGCTGTTGCTCCTACACGTGGTGGTGGATTTACGCCTTCCTCGAGCCACACAGGCACTGGCAGTCGTGGCGGCCAGGACTATGGTATGGAGCCGCATACCAGCGACGCTCATTATGGCCGTGAGCGAGATCATGAGCGTTCAAGTTATGGACGGATGGATGGGCCAAGGCATGAAGTACATGTAGAACGAGAGCGAGCATACCTTCATCATGAAGGACGCGCAGAAGATTTGTCTCGAGGCCAACAAGATTTTTCGCGGGCAGATAATGTAAGCCAAGGTTAATGGAATACAACATTTAGTATCTTCTTTTCTATCATCTGTTGTATTGTGTACGGACATTCTAATAAATCTATTCGTTCTACTGGGTTTTTGCATCTTGGATTTACATATAGAACTCGTACAATTCTATGGCATCGAGTAGGTCAAGTCATGATCGCATTTCTCAACATCAGAGTCAGGGCTCTCAAAGTCATGGTTCACAAAGCCATCAAGAGCACCCAAGCCATTCTTCTCAACATTATCGCTATAACCAACTACCAATATCACCACAACAGCATCACCAGCAACAACATCAGCAAGTATCGCAGTCTGGGCTCCACACGTCATCTCAGCCGAGAACAGTCTCCATGTCGCCACGGGATGATAATCGGGCGATCAGTCAGCAACAATACATGAGTGATCGACATGGAGCACAGTCGCAATCTGAAGGAATGTCAGACCTCGTGATGTCTTCACCTACGCCTGAGTCAAGTCAATATTCAACGCGTGACCAAGGACATCAAGGGCAGATACAGAATGGGGAGGTTGAGCATGGGCAATCAGCTATGGTTTCTCCTGGAACAAGTCCAAGGATGAATAGAGGCAGTTTAAATACCAGTGAACAGCCAAATCAGGCCCGGCAGGGACAAGGAAGAGAAACATCTCCATTGTACGCCCAAGGAGGTATGGTAACTGCAGCTGGCACACCCAACGTGAAGGTGGCAAATACAGAGAGTGGAGGGGGATATGGAAGTGCGGGATTGAAAGTAAAGTATCACCCAGTGCGTATGGATGATACAAGCAAGATGAGTCCGTTCACTGAACCACTGGAGGAGACTATGGGACCCGAGGCACTAGCGACAGAGCTGCGTATTAACGAGCATCATGCCTTAAAAAATTCAAGTTGAAAAAAAAAAAAAATAATAAAAAGGACTGCTTTTAATTTGGACAACTCGGATTTTTTTTTTTTTTAATGTTGGTGGTTCGGTGCTTAGACAACAGAAAAACTTTCCTATGCTTGCGTTTTTTCAGCATTCTTTTCGTTCATCCATTCTAAAAACTCATTTCATCTTCAGGTACAAACGCCCCGGCATAATGGCTAAGGTAGTGTGTCGTTGTATTGATTTAAAACAGTGAAGACTAAAAAGACCAAGGTATTCAAGTGTTGCTGAGTCTAGGTCCAAAGGTTCCATTTATTAATTATCATTTTCTCCATTCATGAATCCACACCTAAATATCTTTTCGTCAGATTATTGGAACTCACAATGGACACTTTCACTGCGATGAAGCGCTTGCTGTTCATATGCTTCAGAAGACTAAGCAATTTAGAGGAGCTGGTACTAGACTTTTTTTTTTTTTTTTTTTTTTTTTTCAGCATTCTCCTTCAAAACACCCGTATGAACTTTCAAGAGATATGGAATTAATGTCCTCCTTTTTATTTTCACCGCTTTCTTTCTCTTTGTATTTTATTTTACTTTATTTTATTTTTTTTAGAACTCATCCGCACGCGTGATCCAGCGAAGCTTGCCACCTGCGATATTGTTGTGGATGTAGGTGGAGTGTATGACCCTAGCACACACCGATACGATCATCATCAACGTGGATTCACTGAGGTCTTTGGCGGCAAATTTAATACCAAGCTCAGCAGTGCTGGTCTCGTATACAAGTGAGTTATATATAATGAATAATAGTAGTAATATGAATAATAATACCAGTACCAATAGCAAACAGACTGGAACGTTGCAATTGACTAACACATGTTTGCCTTTGTTATCAACTTCATCATCGTTACTGTTGTTGCATCAAGGCATTTTGGAAAAGAGATCATCGCCTCGTTGTTGAATCTTGAAGAGCCAGACTCGAGAGTAGAGCTGTTATATAATAAAGTCTATGAGAACTTTATTGAAGCATTGGATGCAGGTGATAATGGGATTTCGCAATACCCAGAGGAGATCAAGCCCAAATATCGAGTCGGTACAGCTTTACCTCAACGGGTTGCAGGACTGAATCCTTGGTGGAATCAGAAGGATGTGGATCAGGATGGACAATTTATGAAGGCAGTGGCGATGACAGGTCAAGACTTTACGGATGCAGTTCGCTATTTGGGTCTGTCCTGGTTACCGGCTCGGGATCTGGTAGTGAAGGCTTTGGACACTCGGATGGATATTCATCCCTCGGGCAAGATCTTGGTGTTTGAACAACCTTGTCCATGGAAAGAACATTTGTTCTTATTGGAACAAGAACTTTGTATTGAGGAAAAGGCCCTGTATGTGCTTTATCCGGACGATAATGGTCAATGGCGCGTTCAGTGTGTGCCAACTGCACCCGAAAGCTTTGAATGCCGTAAGGCATTGCCTCAAGAATGGAGAGGTTTTAGGGATGAGGAATTGAGTGAGCGTAGTGGTATTCCAAACTCTGTCTTTGTTCACATGGGAGGTTTCATTGGAGGTAATAGGACGAAAGAAGGTGCCTTGGAGATGGCCGTCAAAGCATTGGAAGCATAAAAAAAAAAAAAAAAAGAAAAGCATATTAAAATTCAATAAAATGAATATTTGTTTTTGATTATATTATTGATATTATTACTGATGCTACTATTTGGTTATGAGATCCCTTTTACATGGATGAGAAATAATGATGGGAGGAAGGTTGAAAGACGAAAAAAGATAAAATTTCGTGAGTGCGCCCTGCGCTTTTTTTTTTTTTTTTTTTTTTTGCTTTTACTTCACCAAGCCATTTTTTTACAAGATGAATTGAAGCTTCCAATCATGCTTCCACGATGGAGCTCCTTGATAACTTCGCCATTGATGATTGTCCTTTCAACAATGGCTTCAGCATGGCATGGCTCCACACGGCCGTACCAGACAGCCATGCCCCCCCCTTCACGTCGATGCACAATCACATTGCCTGCGAACTTGTGTCCTCCAATATGACTGATGAGCCAGATCTCCACATCATCTTCGCAATCGCCATAGATATCCCTAGATCTCAAGATACGGGTGAACTCCTTCTTGAGGATCTGGGCAGTAACGCCACAGCGCTTGTCTCGTTTACGGTGTGAACAAATCATCAATGCGGCTTTAGGTTTCCATTTGTGAGCGATGAATGTCGTCTTACCCGCAGTGACTTCCCGCCTATCTTCTTCAGTCTCTTCTGCGTGGTGATGGAAGTGATGATGACCATTGCCATTCTGGTGACGGTAGTGATGAGCATTACCATTACTATAGCTATTGCCATTCGTATAACCATTACCGTTACCATTGATGTTCTGATGACCATGACCGTTCTCAGTCGAGGATGAAGTTTTGGTGATGGTCGTAGTGGTTGTGATTATACGTGATCCTTCTTTGCGCTGTTCGGTCTTAGTGGTAGAAGATGACTTGTCCCCTCCATTCTGATAATCGTTACCATTCATAGCATAAGCACCATTGGCGCCTTTGACCCCATTGAGACTGCTGACTCGATTTATACCATAGTCCTTATCGACTACAACATTTGAGCTATTGCCATTGCCATTGCCATTGCCACTGCCATTCTGATGCAGATGTTGCTGCTGTTGTGGGCGACTGAGAGCCACAGATCCGACTGGAGGCTTCAAGAAGGCCTCAAAAAAGTCATGACATTGATCTTGGGTGACATTGTTGACGACGATCTGATCCGGCAAGACAATGACTTGCCAGCCCGGTCCCTCCCAATCTTCACACACTCTTGAGGAGTTTGTGAGGACGATTCGAGGAAGGTCTTGATCTCCATTGGCCTCTTTCAAACGTTGTTGTCCCTCATTGATAGCCTGTTGCATATAAGGGGCAAGGGAATCCTTATCGTCGTCAATACTGGCTTCCCAATCATCTTTGCCAGTAGAGATGAGGACATGTCGGCTGTAGGGTTTCGTAGAGTTGAGTAGGGGGAGTTCTTGATCGATCTTGAGATAAGGAGGATAATGAAGGTGATCCTGGTCTGGGCAGGGAGTTGGACATGCATGACAATCTGAGAGAGTAATGTATGGTGTGTTGGGGTCATACTCTTGTGGTGGTGGTGGTGGTGGTGATGGTGGCGCTGGTGCTGGCGGTGTTGATAATATTGCTGATGATGGCTGCTGTGATTGCTGTTGCTGTTGCTGTTGATCGGAAGTTGGTGTGGCCAGGTTCGTAGGTATTACAACGACAGGCGATTGTCTTAAGACGAGGCCCTTGACAATATTCAAGGCAATGGCAGCGGTGATGATCATTCTTTCTCAATTCCTGAAATGAAGGAAAAAAAAAAAAAGGTTAGTATGGCTGTTTTGCTTGTATATCCTTTTGAGAAGAAGAACAACATTCTTCTGCCCTCCCTATTCTCGGTCTTGTGTGCAGTCAAACAGCTGTTTGTGCAACCAAGAGATGGTCAGTGACTTTATGTTGTTGGGGTTCTTTACCAAGAGAACAGATGTGCTTGCAAAGACGAATGGAATAAAAAGGAATGGCAATGAGAAGAAAGGAAGCCGAGGTTTGAAGGAGAGAACAGAGAGAATACAGAGAAAGGAATGAAATGGTGGAGAGAAGTGAAAGGGAAAAAAATAATCCCACGATGCTTTCATTTTATGGGTTAGAAAAAAGGTGTCATCATTGGGCAATCCTTTTTATTTCCCACAGTAAAAAAAAAAGTGCTCTTTGTTATGGAAGGTCAATTGAGCACAAAACGAAGTTTTTCCTGTTATCATGATCATGATCATGATCATGGCAATATGCTAGACCAGCTTGGTATTAAAAAGAAATTGGCGGTTGTTATTGTTGTTGTTGTTTTCATAGTAAACATGTACCAACTGGGTATAGTATCTTTATCTTTTTTACTGCCCATCTCTCACAATCTCTTTCCCGTATAAATGAATGTATGCCCATCTGATAAGGTAAAAGAAGAGAAAGACAAAATCTGATAACATTTTTTACGCAATTTGGATCACACACAAGTCCTGCATTTGCACAAATGCACAGTGTATAATTGTTTCCCCCCTCATCAATGCCCCATGTCCCCATGCCCCATGTTCCTATATCCCATACCTATGGTTCTTTTTTTTTTTTTTTTTTTTTTTAACACAGCAAAATGGATTCCCCATTTGGTAACCTTTTTTTTTCTTTCTCTCTCTCTTTTTTTTATCTTTTCAACTTCTTACATTCCTTTCAGCTCACTTTCATATTCTTTTCCCCCTCTTTACATAGTACTACACATTTTTTTTATTCCCTTGATCATAGCCCATTCATTTCTTAATATCTCTGCAAGGTTATTTGACCTTCACGTCAATCACGAATGCTATGGTGTATCTATCATTCTCTCGTCCTCTCATCGATCCTCGTTCACCTTTTTTTTTAGCTCCTACTACGCATTCCCTTCTAAAAAAGTTGCCAAGTGTTTTTATCCCTGTCATCATGCATAATACAACACTCTACGCCCAATTTTTTTTTTTTTTTTTTTTTTTTAGTTTTTCCCCTGGCAGGTTTACCCATGTGCAATTAGTAACGGTTTTCACTAGCAACGGTTTTTGTTCCAAGCCACAAACACAAGCCTCACACTAATCCACAATACCGGCATTCTGGTGCCACCAATGTGCGCTTCATTTGTAATATGTATAAATATAAACCTGTTAGGACTAGACCATTTTCGCCACGTGTGTCGATGCCCCCAATGCAAGACCTGCACCCTGTGTGTGCGTGTTTTTTTTAGATAGGGACAGTGCTCACACCTTCGCGTGTACAGGTGTATGTATGCTCAACCCTGAGGGATTGATTCTCTGCATTTATTTACCCGATCGACTGGATGTTTGTAATGGCCAAGTCCAAAAGTCGTTTTTTAGTCCTCCTGATACACCTCGCAATCTCTTTATTTGTGAAATGTATAAAAGTGATGTTCAATTTTTGCATGTCAAACGTCTTGATCGACGCGTTTATATACTTCTCTTGACACCTTTTACTTCCTTATCTACTTCTCCTTACTCTTTTTTACTCCTTTGACCTCCATGCTCTGTTCTGTTCTTCTTGGTGTTTTTCCTTTTTGTTAGACTAAGCTAACCACCTCACCCCCTGCTTTTCTGACTTCCTTACCCTATATCGCTATCTCGCTATCTCTCCAATGCTCATCCCCCTATGTAGTATCTGTCTGCGCCTAGACAAATAAAAATAAAGTCCATTTGTCATTCGGCTCATTTGGGTCATTGGGTCATTGGTCTCATGGACATGATGTGATTGATTTGGGGACCCACGCATAAAATTATACCGAGATTGCAGGATGAGAAAAAGACAATTCGAGACGGGTCCAAAAATGGCTCATTCACTTCCTCTATTTGGTCTCTTTCCCAGTCTTGTCCCGCTTGTGTCTCGATTTCATTTCTGTCCCTTCTGTCCCTTCTGTCCCTTCTGTCCCTGTGCCATCTTCCATCTTCTCTTTTCATATCCAGACACGCCAACCTCAACCTGTCAGACAAACAAACAAACAAACACGGGCTCAAGGCTCAAGAACTGCATTCGTTGTATTGTCGATGCAACCCTTTTTTTTTTTCTTTTCTTTTCTTTTTTTTTTTTCCTATATTCCATTGCAACGTTTCTCTTCGGTATAGTACATGTATTCCTCTCTTCTCACATATTTACTGGAGCATTTCTGCACCGTTCACCAAAACCAAACACACTCCATTTTTTCCTCTTTCCTCCTCTACTCTTCAGCTTCATAAACATTTGCTTATCCTACCAATAAATAAAAGTAAAAAATATATAGAAAAAAAAAAAAGAAAAAAAGCATTCACCTTCCTTTTTCTCATTTGAATCTCACTAAAAAGTTATTCTGTTGATGGGAATGTCACAATGGAGCCACTTGACATTGCCGCTTCCCCACTTTCAGAACTAGGGCCTGAAAAGGACCCTTTGCGAGGTAAATATATAAAATATTAAACCCTTTTTCAAAGACATATTTGGTTAGAGATAAAGACGCCTTAGTGCTCTTCTCGGCGTCTTTGTCAATCCCTGAGTGGTTAGTAATTTTTTCTCACACATTTTCTTTTCTTTTCGGTCTTCTTCCCGTACTATCTTACAATCATCACGATGCATATCTCCTCACCCTTGGTAGCAGAACCAGTAACAGACACAGCCAGCATATCCAATAGTAATGATTCTAATCTATCCTCGACTCTCAACAGCAATACCTCAGGAACAAAGCCCACGCTTACCCTACCCCTTTGGCCATCCGCTACATCCTCATCATCACAACCAGACTATAACTTAGGGCCACAACCACAACCACAACCACAACCACAACCACAACCACAACCACAACCACAACAACAGCAACATCAGCAATATATGATGGAGGATGCTACTATCATACCATCATGTGACGAGAATTCGGTTGGGCAATACAATGAAGACCTTGCACTTCATACACAATTACAGCTCCAGCTATACCTCGAGGACCTTGGGGAGGTCGACACTGAAGCTGAAGTACAAATCGAGGCAGTCCTTGCAGCAACACTACAACCCCCTGATGAATTAAACCCACTACATGACTATTCAACCCCATCATCTAATATGGAGGCGAACCCGATTGAGAACTCTACACAGTTTTCACAGTATTTTCAAGAACAAATGTTGTCACTTGAATCGACTGCGCTGGCAGCAGCAGCGACCGCTCCTCAACCTATTTCGCTGACACTGGAGCAAGATGGCCTAGATCTACACGGACATGAAGAGGCTCTACATGCCTTGCAGGACGAAATGGATGACGACGACGAAGAGTGCCTCCCTCCGAGTGAGACCAAATATATTCTGTATGACGATCATGTCTCACCCATTAGTATCTCAGATGCTCTCATTATCCTCAACGGTAGTCTATATGGAGACCTAGTGGATGTAGCTATTACCATGGACGATCCTCTCTGCGACAGCAACAACCCCAAACGCTGTCGAGGCACTTCCCATCATGATCACAACGGGGATTGTCCTATTTATAGTGTCCATTCCTCAACGCCGACCATAATGAGTGCTCATACGCACAATCGAGAGGAGGGAGATAGCATGTTTGATGGAGATAACGATGCGAGTGCATTGGAGGCAATGAGGCTTGAAATGGACAGCAAAGGCACTATACTTTTTAGAAACCAAATGAACAAATATACCAAAAACAATATCAGCAATGAGGATGAGTTGACTTTTAACAAGAATAACAACAACCATAACGACATGGGATCACAGCTGGATTATGAGAACATGGTAGATCAAGCACAGACACAGGAAGAGCAGTTCCTATCGCCACCTACGAGCACGGGCAATCTATTGGGGAATTTTGAGGCGGATGATCCATTACTGGGACGATCTACTCATCCAAATGGAGAGGATATTTCGCTGAATCTGGCTGGAAACATGGTTTCGCCCATTAGTATTCATGACATCTTCTTTAGTCGTTATTATTCCAGGATTGTGTACCTGAATTTGTGGGATACTAACCTGGGCACATGGGGTGCACAGGCTGTAGGTGGCTTGATGGCAGATAGAGCCTGTCGAATCCAGTATCTAAATCTGGGCCGAAATCGGCTTGGTTTTGAGGGGATTGTTCAACTTTCGGGACTGTATAAAAATCAGTCTTTAGTGGAGTTGGATCTAAGCGAGAATCATCTCGGGCCCAAGGCTGTCCACTCTTTACAGCAGGTAAGAAAATTTGTGCGATGGAGAGGCTATGGCTAGATATACCCGTACAGACACATGGACATACACACACATATACGCATATGCATTTGTATAACTCATCGTGTCGGCGCAGGATTTTGAATGTCATCCTGTTTCTTTAGCCTCAGTTGTTTTTCTTATGTATTAATTGCCCTCTCTCTTTTTTTTTTTTTTTTTTTTTTTTTGGTTATGATTCCGGTCTCTTAAACCCATATAGATCATGGTTAGGCTCGAGAAGGACAAACCTTGCAATATTCGGCGGCTCGATCTATGCAATAACGATATCAACGATGTCGGCTGTATTTCCATTGCGAAAATCATTCATAGTACAAAGATCACTCATATCAACTTATCCTTCAACAAGATCTCGGATTGGGGAGCCTCCACGATTTTGGCCGCTTTCGAGTCAAGTGATCTGCCTCTCAAAGACATCAACATGGAAGCCAATCCTTTGTCGTTTGCGGGAGGTGTTGATATTTGTAAGATTTTGGTCCTGCCTCAATCTAGGATCACTCATCTAGACCTTCGAGGCGCCAAAGTCACTGATGTAGGTGTTCCGTACTTGGCAGAGGCTCTCAAGTCACATCAATGCCCTGTTGTTTCACTCAATCTTTATGACTGTCAGCTGACAGATGGAGGTATTCTGAAACTCGCCATCAAGCTGAGTGTCAACGTATCTTTGCGCGTTTTGAATCTTGGCTGTAACTGCATTGGTGATATGGGGATCTTGGCCCTTAGCCAGGGTCTGTGTCTCAACAACCACCTGGAAGAGCTTGATTTGAGCGAGAACGACGTTGCACTGAGCCGTGCAGGACTAGAAGCCTTGATTTCTGCCATGCGGACGAATACCACATTACTGGTCTTGAGACTAGATGTGGACGGCAACCCGAATGCAGGTCTTTCAAGTCACAGCGGAGGTGGAGGACTGTATCCTGAGCTCTTTCAATCAAGTGAAGCTGATACCCACCATCAGCAGTACCTGTCACCACCTCCTTCACGTCAATATCAGCAGCAACAGCACCTTCAGCCTCAGGCTCAGGGCTATTTCCCAGACCAGATTCAGGGGTCATCCAATATCATCGAAAATACAGCCGAGACATTGGCTAATATCAACCCCTTGGAATTCATGGTCCCGACAGAGGCACAGGTCGGTGAAGTATTGGGATCGACACATGCTTCCTCAATCTTTCCTGCACATCAGCCATTGTTTTCGCCAGTCATTCCTATGCCAGTTTTGCAGAGCTATTTGCATCCTCAGCCTCAAGGCTTTTTTGCGCAGGGACTAGGAGGGGGAGGGGCAGGGCAAGCAGAAGTAGGCAATGGCAGAAATGCACGGGATATTGAGGAAGAACGAGCTCAAATGAAAGTGGCGTTGAAAACACTCAAGACCTATGTTCGTCTCAATTTCAAGCGAGCGAGCCGGCTTCACAGATTATGTTTTGAAATACTAGTGAAGGCCAGGATCCTGATGTTTGCCAAAGATGCTGGTGATTACATGATCCCTACTGCTGCTACGAGTACTTGCACCCTGACTGACACTGAAGATAGTGAGACCCTTCATCAAGAATCATCTTCAGCAATGATACCTATCCAAACAGGATTGCCCACCCCCCCTGCAACCCTGGACACAGAACATGAGTTGCAGGATCCTTTGAACAATGGGTCAGGAGTAGAAGGTAACCAAGAAGAAAAAATGAGCACAATAGACAAGGCTGAGACAGTAGAACCGTCCCAATTGCTGCTTCAGTACCCTTTGGAGATCAATAGTCCAAGCCCTCGAGGGACTCTTGCGGGACTGCCATGGGAGATCAAAGAGATGATCCTACGGTTTTTGGATCATGAGGGACTGTTGAGCGAGCGACAGTTCCAGACGATTATTATGTATGCAGGGTCAAATTGGGAAACTACGCGCAAGCCATGGGAACGTTGGGGCGAGATCCGAGAGGCCATTCTGGAAAAGACTCAATGCTATTATTATGAGTCTTAAAAAAAAAAAAAAAAAAAAAAAGAAAGCCCTCCTTCTTTTTTAAGGCTCTGTTCAATGAAAAATCTGTTGCAGACAGGTTGAAACAAAGAGAGGAAAAAAATACCATGACAATTCCGCTATGGAATCTTTTTATTATATACCAACAGAGAGAGGGAAAGGAGGACCCCCCCCCCCCTTTTTTTTTTCTAGTTTTATTAATACGCACTTCTCTTTTTTTGTCAAATCAGAACATTGTGTTTTGAAAGTAAAGGTTTTTTGACGAAAGGAGCCAATACAGAGCAAAACCAAAAAAAAAAAAAAAAAAAAAAAAAAAAACTAGGATGTAAGCTTTTTTTTTTTATTTTTATTTTTTACTTCTGTATATTTGTTATTTATTTATGTATTTATTTTGCGGCAGGGGTTGGCTTTGGCTTTTCCAAGTTGAGAAGTGGGTAGAGTTGATCTCTCAATGGTGTCAACTGTGCAACAGATTGATTCCTATTTTTAAAGAATGGGATAAAATGTCCATTGTTAATCTAACGCGGAAAGAATCCAAAGAAAAAACAAAAAAAAAAAAAAAAAAGCTTACCAATCCGAATTCACCAAGATTTCAGCGACTTTCTCACTTTCGGGGGTAGGATCCTCGACAGAGCTATTCAACATCAGATACATCGAATCAGCTGTAGCTCTTCTGATCTTTGGGAACGGATGGACCAAAAGACGAAGAAGCTCCAACAGGATAGCATTCTTGATCTTGCCGCCGAGTGCACATAATCCACAATAGGTTCGAATACAGGCCGATAGCTTTCGGGTGTCTTTGCATTTGATCGTCTGTCGGCGGACAAAACGAACCATGGGTGCAAAATCATATTCGCCTTCCATCATCAACATACATCCTGATTCGAACAGCATATCCAAGACTTCCAACAGGGGAACGATCACTCGATCCTGTCCCTCATACTTTGCAACAATGTTCATAATCTCCTCTCCAAACTCTACTAATGTCAGCCTTGGATTGTCATCATCTCCCCCTTCTGCTTCCAAATCCTTTTTGGTAATTGGAACGTTGGAGATAAACTCTATCAAACATGCACTCGAATGGCGAACCTAAATTAGACGTTAATAGTAGGGTACATTTAGAAATGAGCTATTAGGTCTGTTTCATATCGCGGATAAAACTTTGGAATGAAAAAAAAAAAAAAAAAAAAAAAAAAAAAAACATTTTTACATTTCCAATAATAATAATAATAATAATAATAATAATAATAATAATAATAATAATAATAATAATAATAAATTCTTACCAAGGATTCTGTAAGACCTCCAGCACTGATGACAAACCCGGTCAAAAGATCTAGCCGATACTCTGGCAAGTTCAGGAGCTGAACAACACGTGGATAGACTTCGGAAGCCTGTAACCAGTTCATATCATCATTCTTTCGAATCACTTCTGTCAATTGAGGACGATGGGATGCTCGAAGAAGATAAACAGGATCCTTTTCCATCTTGTCTGTCTTAGTGGTGTCAGTGGTAGTGACAGTAGCGGCAGCAGTAGCTGTCTCTTCAGAAGTTGTTGTGGTTGTTGTGTCCGTCACTGTGGGCCACTCAGTCTCTGCATAAAGTATTGCCACCATCGCATCTGCAGCACTGGCACGGATTCGATCAATTTTCTCAACACATTGTTGTAGCAACTTTGCCAAAATCACTGCGTGGTCCTCATCCGATAGATACCGCTGAGTGTCCTGAGCATTTTGAGCATGAGTTGCCTCATAGTCCAGACGAGCTACCAAAGGGAACATGACCTTGAGCCCTTGCATACTAGCCTCTCGGATCCAGGATCCAACGTCTCCACGATGGTCAATACTGTAATCATTGAAAACTTCAAAATACAAATTCAAGATGGTCCTCGAGAGCTCCGCCGATACCACTAAGCGCAAAAAGGAGGAAATGAAAGGAAGAATAAAAAAGAAAGGTTAGGTCATGTAATTCTTTTTTTTTTTTTTTTTTTTTTTGACTGTTATCGATCCTATTTTACCTTGACGGTATTTTCTATCTAGGACTTTGATGATATTTGTCACAGAATTGATAGAATTGCGGCGGGCCTCTGCAGTGGTCACATTGGTAGCGACTGCAGTCTTTGCCAAGACATCAATGATCTTGGCGATCCAAGGGGAATAATCCTTTTGTGCATAATCGATTTCGCCCAAGGCCAACGCAAAGCCGCTTTGAGCAAAGCGATCGCTAGCAAGCCCTGGAAGGACCTTGGGGACGTACTGATCAAATAATTCAGAGTTGGTGATCCCATATTGAGCAACCGCAGCCCTGAATGTGTCTGCAGCCATTCTCTGAAGAGGTTCTTCAGTTCGTTCCAGAGTTGTGTAGATGATATTCTTCCATGACTCGAGTACAGCATTATCTGAGATAGGCCAACCTGCCTCTGAAAGGCAGGTGATGTGAATACATAATGCCTGACGGACGTGTTCGCTTCCAAAGCCTGTGAGTGCGAACTCGGGGACAGTTGGTACCACCTTGGAGATACTCTAAAATGAAAATAAATAACATTCAACAGACTGAGCTTTACAATGCTTGTCAAGAGTCTGAAAATAATAGAAACAAAGGAGAGTGTATGTGTAATGACATATTATTACCTCCAAAGTCTCTTTGGAGACTTTTTGTTCAAATTCCTGCCCACATTTCTCTTTGACAGCCTTGCATGTCTTACCAAGAGTGATCAAGCTACCGTGTCGAATAGCAGGATCCAGACTGGAAGTCATTTTTGTCTGTAAATGAAGGAAAAAAAAATGAGTAAAATATTGTTTATAAAATACAAAGTTGAAAGGGATGAAATAAAAAAAAAAAAACCCCCCTTTGTAGTTTATATCCAATTTATGATGAATGCATATTAGACTTACAAGAGTGGGGATAATATCACTGCATGCATAATCCAAATCAAGGACAGCAATCTTGGCCATGGCATCTGCTGCTATTTCTCGGACAGCAATGTCCCAATGTGGGATGACAAACTCCAGCAGATGTTGAGAGAGGTAGCGTCGATACTCGACAAATCTATTTATTATTTTTAAAAAATAAAATCGATAGCAGTTAGTTTAGCTTGGTCAGTGGGAATCCTCTCAAAGGAACAATCCACTATAAGGAGAATGGGCTTACTCAGCAATGGTGGGCGCAATGTTCAAAAACGAATTAGTGATATTGCCGAGAGAGAAATAATCAGCAATTGTGACAATCTCAATTCCATGTGGGAAAATACCCTACATACGTATAAAAGAAAAACGAATGAATGCTTGGATGTAAAGGATTGTTTTCTTTCAAAAGAAAAAAAAAAAAAAAAAAAAGCATACCATACGACCAACATTCTCCTGGAATGCCGCACTACTGGCTCGTCGAATGTTAATATCGCGATCAAAGACAGACACTGCAATTAAGGTATTGGACAATTTCCTGACGTGTTCCTCAAGGATCTCAGGCGTGTAAGCACGTGCGAAGGACCAACAGACATAGCAGGCCGAATCACGGACATTGCCTCCAACCGAGTGAGCTCCACGCTTGACATCGAACTTGAGTGCCAGAATGATCCAAGGAATGAGCTCCTTCAGACGATGAGGTAACAAGAGTCCACGACGTGAGAGCTCTGCGACAGCGAGACAAGCACCATGCCATGTGTGCTCCGAGACTGAGGAAACATCTGGCTCACCATTGGGAAGTTGAAAGACGTCCTCTGAAAAGAGTTCAAGGATACTGCCAACTACATCATCTGCCATGTCCTTGGGTAATCTATTGCTGATCCTTCCCATACCCTTGGCAGCTGACCAGCGCACGATCGTGTCCTTTTTTTTTTTTTTTTTTTTTTTTTGTTTTTTTTGTTAAAGATAAGGTGTCCCAATTACAGTTAGGAGTAATGTACAGCATGCTTAAGCTTTTTTTTTTTTTTTTTTTTAAAAAAAAAAAAAAAAAAAAAAAAAAAAGCACTTACTCTGTCACGGAGACCGTTCATCAGACGCTCGACAACATTCTCAATTGCTTCAGGGACATCAAAGTCCTCATCATCTTCCGTTTCCTCCGCAATAGCGGTTGAAATCTTGTTTGCATTGATGCCTTCACTTGAATTCGAGTTTATCATCAAATTGCTCGCCAAGGAGCGGCTGCCGCGTTGGTACCTCCAAGCAGCGACACGGGGTTTTAATAGGCAGAGTCCCACTCTCTGGGATAGCTTCACGACTAGCTTTTTCAACATGGAGTTGGACATGAACGCGTCTCGAGACTCAATGTAGGTTAACAGGGCCTCTAAGCCCTCTGCGATGGGCAAAAGAACTTCACGTTGGCCCAGTTTGAAGATCCAGCAGAGTGTTCCCATGATTCCAATGGCCTGAAAAACGACAGGGTTTGATCCAAGAGTGGTTTTCGACCATTCTACAAATTCAGGAAGATATACACCGCATGTGTCCTTCCTAGAATTTGAGGGAAACGTTTATAAAGGGCAGCCAGTTTGAAAGAGAGAGCATGGAAAAAAGGGTGCTAAAATTATTACCACCAGGGATCTTTTTTTTTTACGTTGATTAATTTAATTAAAGAAATGGTTCGTACCTTGTCAAAAGACGAGCCAAGAAAAGAGATGCGCCATCTCTGTCTTTGCCAGCTTTATTCAAAAACGATTTTGCAGTTTCAATCATTTGGTCCACAAGGGGAATCTATAAACACACACACGCATATATTTACAGTGGTTATTATTGTTACCATTATTCAACGTAATAGAGTAAATTTCAAAAGACTATTTAGTCGGTCTTACTCTTTCGCTTGTTTTTTCGACTTGGCTATCAATGGTCTTTAGGTCAAAGGGGATCATACACATAAGCGATAGCCAGATAAGGAGCACATAGCCTGTTTCCCATGGAACCCGGCTATTTTCCAACGTTTTCAGAAACTCGAATGCAGGCTCGATATCAGCCACTTCATGAGGAAGGAATTTTACTGTAGCAATATGACAGAAGTATTAAATAAATACAATTAGCGTTTTTTTTTTTTTACATTGCCCTCCGCTTTTTCTTTAAAGGATTCTGGACAGAATTATTTACCGACAGTCTTGTATCCTCTTGTCTTGCTGATAAAGTATAGCATGTAAAAGGCATCAAGGCCATGTTCGTTAATTGGCTGGCCCTTAAGGTCCCCAATGGTGATGTCTTGCACTACCTTGCGAATTGGTGTAATAAGGATCGAAACCATCTCCTCAAGACATGGATCAAGGAGATAAGATTGGTATTGGTATTTACCAATCTATCAAAAATCCAGAATGAGAGGGTGAGAATTGATGGTTTTTTTTTTGTGAGTATAGATATTGGATCAATCAAGTCAGTCAAGTTGAAAGGATCGTGAGAAAACAGCAACAGAAGGTGGGGACCAATAGAATTAGAGCATATCATTACCAAGGTTGAGAGATTCAGCTTGAGTGTCCAACGCTGGCGGAGGTCTAGCTCACATGGCCCCACAAAGGGGAATGAGGCCATGGTCCTAAGATCAGACAGGACCTGAGGCGCATGGAGGAAGTGTGAAGCAGTCTTCTCGATCGGGTTATAGACATTGTAGAGGTCCTCTTCCTGAGCCTGATCAGGGATTGCCTCAATATCAAAGGGTTGTTCTTCTGACATGGCTGGAGTAACGAAAGAGGGTTCGAAAGAAAGAGAGATGAAGATTGACCTTGCAGTGAAAAGTAGTATAAAGCAAACTGGATGATAGCCGCCGACTACAGATTGTTGTTTGTTTTGTGTATATTTTTGTCTGAGGAATGTGAAGTATAGAGGTGTATGGGTAAGAAGGGTCGAGGAAAGAGTAAGAGTTGATAAAAGGGACGACCCGAAAAGAAAACTGAAGAAAAAAAGAGGAAGAGCTGTAAGCCTTTTATACAGACGAAAAGCAAGTCTAGAAAAGTAGTGGATGAAAGGTGTTAAGTCGGATGAATGCCTACTACAATTGAGATGATGGGAACACAAAAAAAAATGATGTGAATGCTTGCAAATAAGCGCGTCTGATTTTCTTTGAGAGCACGCGAAAAATGTACGCAGCACTTTACGACGGAGCAACTTTCTCATGTGTCCATTTTAAGGCATGTCCAAGTTCACAGTCCCATAAAGCCCAAAGCGAAAATAAATAAATGCGTAGCAGATTGCAATGGAGGGTTAATACATGGCTGCATGTGCTTACTTCAAACAAACTATCAAACCTGCATAGGAGCAACAACAACAACAACAACAAAAAAAGAAAAGACAAAAGAGGGCTCACACTATAACTCAATAGTATCAAGTATTGTACAGAAGGACCAATAACATCAGAAAGGAGGAATTTAATAATTACAATGTTTTATGATCTCAATTTACCGGTCTCTGCCACACCCGGATCAGCCCAAGCTGCACAGGAACAGCTCGAAACAAGGAAGAGAGTGGAGCTATTGAATCATTGTAGGTGTCGATTAGTTTATCTAGGACAGAATCCATGAGGAGCTGGAATACCAGAAGTACATTATAATCTCACAATGGCTCACGAACAGCTCTCTCCCGACAGTAGGATATCAAGCCGTAGCTTATAATCACGAAGTCACAGGCAAAATAGGCAACAATCATGTACGTATGATCAACGCATTTTGTGCAATCAGCAAACTCTAGTATATGGGCTCGTATAAAGAAAGTCGAATGGGGTTGTTTGACTTGTTCTTACCCTCTCTTTCTTATCTGAAAACGATAATAACTGGTCTTTTGTAGATCAACCCAATTACAAAACTCAACCTTCCAGGAATCAATCTTAAGCAATATTCGAGGCTGACATTGGTAGTTGACGATGTCTCACAAAATTATGGTCTGGTAAGAGTATCTTTAAAGATATTTTAGCTCAAAAAAAAAAAAAGAAAAGAAAAAATAAAGAAAATGAAAGCTTTTCTCATCTTGGACACGTCTTATTACTGAATGACCACTAGAATACCGGTAACCCCACTATATCATCATACGACATCATTGCAGTGCAGCCCACTAATGAAAAGCTTTTTCAGGCAGCGTGTGGGACATTTGAAGTCGATATTATCTCGTTGGATATGTCTGCAAGGTTGCCCTTTTATCTTAAGCATTCTACAGTTGGATTGGCTATCGAACGAGGTATCTATTTCGAGCTCTGTTATAGCGCTGCCATCAGAGGTAAATAATAATACTAAAGGAACAAAAAGTGAATATGTTCCAATTTTCTTTTTCTTTCTTTCTTTTTTTTTTTTTTTTTTTTTTTTGCTCTATCTGTAGTCCAACATTGACAAACACTTTTTTTTTTTTTTTTTTTTTTTTTTTAACGGTTAGATGCAAGCGCGAGAAGGAATTTAATCAGCAATGCACAAAGTTTGATTCGAGTAACAAGAGGCAAAAATATCATATTAAGCTCGCAAGCAATGAGAGCTATGGAATTGCGTGGACCATACGATATCGTGAATTTGTAAGGAGCCAGGGTTTTCCTCTATGCATAACGAGAATTCATCTCTCAGTCAAAAGTCTGATCATTCGTTTTCATTAACGCTGAAGGCCCTCTTCTCTCTCTCTCTCTCTTTTTTTTTTTTTTTTTTTTTTTTTTTTTTGCAATGTTTATTGATTTTCAAATACCAGTGGTACATTACTGGGTCTAAACCAAGCTACAGCAAAAGACTGTCTGAGTTCACATTGCCGCGCAGTTGCAATGCATGCAGGTAAGCACATGTCATCGTATCGCCGGAGTGTTTTTTTTTTTTTTTTTTTTTTTTTTTTGTTTTATATTAGCGGCTATCCTTTGTCCAACGTTAGAGTGCTAACCTTTTTTATACTGGTATAGAAACGCGTCGGAATACTACGCGCGCTGTCATCTCTGTAGCCCCAGTGTCCTCGTTGACAGAGACTGAGACGTGGAAGTTGGGAAATAAGCGCAAAATCCAAGTCTCTAAAGACACGGCTCAAAAGAAAAAAAGTAAAGAATCCTCTTCCTCCTGAGGTTCATATTGGGAAATAAAGCATTAATCAACTAAAGGAAGGGAAAAAAAAAAAAAAAAAAAAAAAAAAAAAAAAAGTATAGTGCTTGTGTTCCTTGTGTTCCTCGTGGTTTGAAATGCATGTCTCTTGAGGATGGGGCGTTGTTTCACAAAACATCAATAAATATTTATATATATTACAAACATTATACATTATTTATACACATTCTAAATTTTTTTTTGTAATTTTCGTGTGGATATGGACTTTAATGATGTACAGTGTGTAAAAGTGCAGTTTGCTAAAAAAGGATTAAGAAACTACATGGGTCGATCAACACAGGTAAGACAAAAGTAAGACAAAAAAAAAAAAAAAAAAAAAAAGAGTGCGGTGCATTGCAATCCCAACTGGGAACTAAGGTGAGTAATAGATGATGGTGGCTTCGATCTCTTTTAGGGGTGACAAAAACAGAAAAATCTAAACAAAAAAATCAAAAATCAAAAAACAAGGAAAGAACGGAAAAAAAAAAAAGTCAATAGAATAAACATGCAGGAACAGGGATCAATTCCATCTGCCTTCTGTCAGTTGGTAGATCTCCTCTCTTTAGTATCTTTTGGTTGTCGTTATATACTCCATCCGATCGCCTTTGCCCGTGATAACTGTTTTCTTTTTTTTTTTTTTTTTTTTTTACTGAGTCTTCTTGATTTCCTCCTTGTCAATGACCTGACGCTTGTCACGTCCAATGGCATAAGTCCACTGGTAAAGTCCCTTGGCCAAGGACAAGGCTCCGCAAAGCAAAAGACCGTACTCCACCGTCGCAGAGAGAGGCATCAACTCTGCAACTTTGGCAGCGGCAAGGTCGTTGGATGCAGGGAAGGCGTGGAGGCATCCAAGCATCAAGATATCCTTAGTTACTATGACCATAGAGAAGAGGATGAACGCATACGAGAAGGGCTCAAAGACATCATCGATGAACGCAAACGAAAAGGCGGCAGACTCGAGGACAGCAAGAGATAAGACACGGATGATATCGATAGCAAGATGGGCGGCATAAAGTGTCAATTGGGACTGAGACGCAGCCTCAAAAGTCTTGACATAGGTCGAAGGATGGGCCTCGACTGCAACAAGGTCAGCTTCAGGGAACCAACGAGTGAAAGCGACTGTTGCACCGTAAATAGCAAGCACAGTGAGGACAAAGTCGTGGTTGACAAAAGTTGAACGAGGCATGGCTGAGATGAGGTTGTACGAAACAGCAAGAAAAGATGGGCAAAGAAAGAAAGAAAAAAAAAAAAAAAAAAAAAAAAAGAGAAAGAAAGAAAGAAAGAAAGAAAGAAAGAAAGAAAGAAAGAAAGAGATGAAGAGTAGAGCAGATGAAGATGGAGGTGAAATGAGATGATGAAAGCAAACAGAGTGGTACAGTAACCCAATTCACCAATATCAAGCGAACCAGTCAGCATCGACACGTCCCTTTTTAAAGTTGCCATCGGAATTTGAACTCGGCCTCAGCCACATAGTCTAGAAACGCGTCTCAACAAAGATTGGACTCAATTATCTGTTGATCTGTACGGTTTTTAAAGTTAGTCCAGAAATTCAGGGGCAAAAAATTAGGTAGAGAGGATACAGGAGACGAAAATAAACAGAACTTACAAGTTTTTTGTGGGTGTGCCGGCACCCAAATACTTGTGTCTAGCGTCGTGCGCGCTTTGCAGCCGGAGCAGGCGACTCTTCCGTGGGCTTGTACTTTGCAGGCCTCTCTTGCCTCTCAATTTGAGCAAGACCGATTCTTGCGATGTTTTCCGCCCCTACTGCGTCACGGTCGAAGAATACCTTACATGCCCGGCAATATTTAGAGCGAGGGTACACCGTCTCTAAAAAGCTATCGCAAAGAGTCGGGCGCTGGTGTAAAATTCGTGCGCCCCTACAGCGAAGTGTCCTCGTGCTTTGACCTAAGCGTTTCAAATGGCAGTCGTTTATTAGCAAGGATTCTATGGCTTTCCAGCTTTGCTTACTTTTTTAAAAAAAGCCATACCTGTGTGACAAGATGTCTCGTTATAGCAGTGTGCTTGCTGGGAACTCCTTTACTACTTTCAAAGGACCCTAGGCCGACGACAAGTACTCCTTTATCCCAAGCATCTTCAACACTCGCTGTACCACGTAGTCGAACGTAGCTCGTTGAGCCTTTCGTAGGTCCCATTTTTTTTTCAGATGCCATCTGGATTCGTAGAACTCTTGAAGCACATCCAAATTCGTTGATCCTGTCTGTATCCCTTCCAAACACAGGGATGGCGCTCTCAACCTCAATCATTCCTTTTTCACGCTTCCTTTTATTCAACAGGTGATTGAACCAGAGGACGGGAAGGTACAAGAACCTGCTTCTCACCTTCACCGTTTGCCGCAAGTTAGGGTTGTGAGGGTCCAGTGAGGAAAACGTAAGGGCGTTAACAATACCAGGATCACATCCGACAATAGTTGTGGTGTTTGCGGATGGGCATCGCCCTGGTTCGTTGAATGTGAGCTCAACGTTTTCAAGCAGTTTGGAGCTCCTCTTCCAGTTTATGTTTGCGTAGTCTTCATCTGTTAGGTCTTCACCGGCCGCCTCTGAACACGTCGTGTTGAGAAATCCCTGAGAAAGCTCCAGTTCTTGGCTGGCGTCTTCTTCATCTACGTCAGACTGCTGCTGTCTCTTCGTCTGGGTTGTATCATAGGCAAGTAGATTCAGAACAAGATTTTTGGTAGAAATCGTTCCTTTGAGTTTCAACTGAGTTATATCTTTGCCTTGTGACTGCAAGGATACTTTGTCTCGATATCCATGAACCATGCGATCACTTCCAATGTCACAAAAGAGAGCCTGTATCAAAACCCCTTTTGTTCCCTGTACACACTCAAACATGTGATGACAGGCTTAGTGCTTGGATAATGTTGTCTACATCGTAAACCCCAAACTTCCGTCTACGATGTGGAAGGAGTCGCACTAGGATGCAGACTCGTTCGTACGCAAAAAAATCAGAATTTTGGGATATTACGATCCTATCATTCTTCTCATTAGGGCACTCTATGCATGGGTCCGCTTCATATGCACACAGACAGCCATCGAAGACAGAGCCAAGGTCTGTTGACAGCTGATTCTTTCCCTGGACACTCTCAAAGACCCTTCTGGATGCGCCTCATGACTTGAGGACAAGTCCATACCCCACTCCGGGAATTTCTCTCGAAGGTGCTCATATCGTTCTCCAAAGCGTCCATATTTTTTTGTCTTATGGCTTGCCGTTCTGCTCTTGCTTTTTCTATCTCAGTACAAGGTCTCCCATCAATATGTATAGCCAGATTGTCCGTTTTGAAAAGATCCTTTATCTCGATAGCCAGGGACATTCCTACATCAATGATGGATTTTTTTTTTCATATTTGCATGGACGACTCTACGATGAATGTCGTAATAGAACGTACCGAAGAGATCTACATGGGCAGGATGGTCAGGATTTGCCGCCAAGAAACCGCCCACGTCAGTTTCCGAAGGTAAAACCCCGCGATCCGCAACCAGTTTGAAGAAGGACTTCAGCCCCATGGTCAATATCTAAGCGAAAGAGAAAGAAAAAAGGAAAAAATGATGAAAGAGATGAAAAATAAAAAAAAGAGCGGCAAATGTATAAGTGGATGAGCTTTTTTATGGCTTAAAGATCCAAAGTGAATAGATAAAGGATATTGAGGAGAAGATACAGGAACAAGTGGCAGTGGTAAAAGGAATGGGACTTTGGAGTGAGCGAGCGGGAAAGGAGGAAGACAATGATCCCTTTTTATATCCTGGATTGATGATGAATTTTAACATTGTCTCATATAGTTGTGATGTCGATCCTTTGCTTCACAGGCCACATCAATCTTTATTCAGTTCCTTTGTTTGGATTGGGGTTTTGTCCCAGTCAATAGCAGAAACAATAGCATTGAGATACCAAAGTGAGCATTCGAAAATCATCTCCAGATACAGCATACAGTGTCGATGTCGATCCTTTGTTACACAATTTTTTTTTTTTTTTTTTTTTTTTTTTTTTCAGTTTCTTTTGTTTGCACTGGCCCTTGCTTTGTGCTTTGTGAGGAATTTAATGAATAAAAGAAGATTTATAATTTTGAACAGGGGTAATGAATAATACAATACATTGACAGATTTGACTCGGTGTGTAGGAGCTGGTTTTGAAACAGGTGATTACACCCTTGTCAAAACTAACAACAAAAGAAAAAAAAAGTCTTTTGTATGAGAGAATGGGTTCAGATGTCGCTCTTTGCTCCAACAGCTTAAGTACTATTGCATTATAGCAGAGATATTCGTTGGCTCTCAGGTCCCGGCATCAATGGCGGAGATAGGAGTGATGTAGTTGCATGCGCTTATTGCTTGGAGTAAAATGAAATAGCCTAGAAGACGAAAAAAAACGCCGCGATGCAAAATGCATTCTACGTGTGCAGAAACCAAAGAGTTGCTTCAGCTATTTATTCAATAGCCTGGTGCATGTTCGTGTACACACAACTGATAGTGATTGATGAACAAAAAAGGAATCCACGCCCCATTCCATGCATGTACCGCCAAATATTCTCGAAACAATAAAAAAAACTCGCGATGCAAGAAGGCATGTGCAGACAAAAAAGAAGCACGTCAGCTGTTTGATTGTTTGATCAGTATCCTCCAGTTTACTCACGTAGAAAAAAAAAATTATTTGTCACTCTTAGTGTGCTTGTATGTCTATTAAGTTTTCTGTCTGGTTGTATAACACTAGGGACCCCCTACGCCGGAAAAAATACCTCGCATGGTTGGTGCCAGGTCTGAAAACAATAATAATGCACATACCATGCATGAAAGATAGGGTCTTTAATACTATGACTATTGTTATGTTCAACTCATGCGGACTCTCCGGAATCAACTTGCGATCACAACTGCCACTCATGCTCTGTTGCCAAGGTCTTGAAAAGGGATACAAACCCCTTCTTCCTTACTCTCATAATCGCTCACATCCTTTCAATACTTTCTTTCGCCGTAAATGTCCATTACATCTAAATCACGCACAGGCATTTCACCATTCACTTCAACATAGATATATGTATCACCTTGGGTATGATATGTTGGTGTAGTTCCCTCTGGTTTCCACAGGGCCAACAAACTCTATTAGCGGTGGTTACCAACCCAGATATATCAAGGGAACGCAAGAAGACGAGGAAGCAAACGATGTGACAAACCAAGTCTTGCCGAGCTGTACAAGAAAAGATCAAGTTAGTCAAGCTCCATGGCGCGGTAGAATGAATCAACTCAGATTGCCCTCCTTTCAAGTCGAGGCTACGGCGGCGAATATTATCACTGCTATTAGACCAGTCAATAAATAGACAATACAATGGGCTCCCAAGAGGATGCTAGGGTCACGCGAAAGTTTTCATGAGTTTTTTATTTGCACAAATAAAGAAGCCAGGATAGCTCCATGACAATTTAGTTTTCGGTCATTTATTTCGACATTAAAATGAAATTTCAAGACAATGCCAATGGATTGCTGAATTTTAAGCCCATTTATAATGGCAAATTTGCCCTTGTTACGGACGAAGGGATAAAGCGACAACTGAATGGGAAAAGGTGTGATATCCACAAAATGCACACAAGGAGGTGGCTCACCAATTTTGCCCAGAGAAGGAACACGTCATTTATTGTTGTGGTTAGAAAGTAACAGTAGGGCTTTAAGAAAAAGGGTGCACAAAAGAGAAATGAAACCTTTCATTCTGTCCTCATCCATCGAATTTCTACCGACATGACGGAGCATCAATACCAACAATTCCGAAGGGCTGGCATTATTAAAAAAGTTTGTGTCAGGATTGCTTCTACCTTCGCAAGCAATGCCGACTCATCCTGCCATGTGAGTCTGCAAGACATTCGAGACATGTTTCCAGATGCACAGCGATTCGAGCTGGAGGAACTTCCCATCCCATTCCTCATAGACCCTAATGGGAACAGGTATGTAACTGATTATGGTGCGCTCTATCAGTTATCTTTGGAAAGCGAACGAAAAAAATTCAATCTGACGCGATTTACTTTATTAGGGTAGAGCCTCCATGCATTGCATTCTATCCTTACAAGATCCTGGATGTCATTACAGAAGCGCCGCAGTTAGGCAACAGCGACAACATCAGCACCAACAACACCAGCAATACCAGCAATATCAGCAGCATCAATACCAACTGCAGCCGCAATAGCAACAGCAATCATAACACCGTCATCCACTTGCCTACATTGAGAAAGTCGGCAAAGCAGGCCTCTCAGGATACTCTTTTACCATTATCAGACTTGATTCAATCTTTCAATTCATTCCTTATTACCCATGGCAATGCACAAATCGAGGTGGTCAACTCTAACCTTGAGAAAGTTGCGGATTTACTCTTGGAGGCCAAAGAGAAGGACGATAAGATGATTAATCTACTACTGGAAACCAAAGAAAAGGACAGCGAGCTGCTTAAACTGAAAGATAAAATGCTTAACCTGACATTGGAGGCTAAAGAGAAAGACATTGAGATGCTTAAACTGCAATATAATATGGCTAGGATGCAATTGGAAGCTAAGGAGAAGGATGACAAAGTGCAGCATCAAAGCCTCGACAAACTTGCCTTGCTTCAACAGCATGTTGATGGTATTCTCACCCAGAATATCGAGCTTCACGGATATTCAACTCCCCGACTATTTATCATTATACCTGTCGATCACACCAAGTGGGACCAAATGAATGTCTTGAAGAACAAGTTCCGTCTTCATTTTCTATGTGAATGTGGAGACCACACTGAAATGATAAGCAAGAATAGTCAGAGCCCATTCCATATCATCAAACATGGTGGGTATGAGATCCCAAGCGGCACAGAATTCTTCTGCAAGTATGGAAAGCACATGTTCATCCTTTTACAGTGGCTCAAGCTAGGAATGTCCTCGTCTGCATCTCTGGCACCATCCCCAGATTTGATAGATGCCGACATTGATTGTTCAATCGACTATATGGAAGCACTCTCTAAGGAGGACTCAACCTTGAGCAATATTACTACAATCGACGACTCTGATGGACTGGAAGGATCTGATTTTCAAAACGTTGGCACATACCTTCGAACTAATGATGAAGACAAGCAATTTGGGGATTTGTACAGGATCATGACCGAAACAGGCCGTGCCAAATGGGTTTGTCTCGCCCACTGTCGTTCAATATATGAGGAAAAAGAACAAAAAGCATTTGTAAATGCAGTGGAGATGAATAGTGGTAAATATAACGCGCATCTTGGTAAAGTGGTTATCACATTGGCATCCAGAGACAGAGCTAGAGGGTTTTTCGATGCCCTAACCACTGCAAGATGTATTTACGACTTGGATATCACATTCGGTTGGGATTGGACAGAGATCGATCTTGAAGTATTTGAGAATGCTTTGGCGATGTCGAATGTATCGAATCTTCGACTTGGGCTTATACGGACTCAAGGAAACACCGACATAAAAGTACCTTTAACATCCGCGCGATATGAAAGACTTATTCGCATCATAGAGCTCGGTAATATGAAAACAATCCATATTACTCTATCTCTGGATCTCATAAAGCTTCTCAGTTTACAGCCCAGAAGATCATCACACCTTCATAAGCTAACCTATGAGGTGAACGCTAAATCGGCTGGAGCCATTGGATTACAAGGACTCGTAAATTCACTCAAGGCTAGCACGGCATTGACGGCTTTGAACTTGGAGTGGAACTCAATTGGAAAAGAAGGAGCTCTGGCAGCTCTGGCATTGTTAGAAGCACTCAAAACCAATGCAACTTTAACGAATTTGAACTTGGGGAGCAACTCAATTGAAAAAGAAGGAGCTCAGGCATTGTCGGAAGCGCTCAAGACCAATGCAACTTTAACGACTTTGAACTTGTGGGGCAACTCAATTGGAGAAGAAGGAGCTCTGGCATTGTCAGAAGCGCTCAAGGCCAATGCAACTTTAACGAATTTGGACTTGTGGGACAACTCAATTGGAGAAGAAGGAGCTCTGGCATTGTCAGAAGCGCTCAAGACCAATGTAACTTTAACAACTTTGAACTTGGGGCGCAACTCAATTGGAAAAGAAGGAGCTCTGGCATTGTCAGAAGCGCTCAAGACCAATGCAACTTTAACAACTTTGAACTTGCGGGACAATTCAATTGGAAAAGAAGGAGCTCTGGCATTGTCAGAAGCGCTCAAGACTAATGCAACTTTAACGAATTTGGACTTGTGGGACAACTCAATTGGAAAAGAAGGAGCTCTGGCATTGTCAGAAGCGCTCAAGACCAATGCAACTTTAACGAATTTGGACTTGGGATCCAACTCAGTTGGGGATGAAACAGCTTTGGCAATTTTAGAAGCACTCAAGGAAAACGCGGTTATAACTCAATAAATAAAAGTACCTTAAGCGCTAAATAAGGGCGTTAGACACACTCAGGACTGATTGACCAATTTTGTATCGTTTTTTGGGATGCTTGACTGATTTGATGGTTGAAATAGCTCTGGAGTAGGTAAAAAAGAAATAGCTCGGTTTAAATAAAAAGCTTGCTTGTAACAGCCAAGCGGCCATGACAGTGCCGGTTTTTAATCATTCGATGCCAGCTCCTCCTCTCCTTGCAAGGCACTTTTCGCATGCCAGTGTTGGTGAAAGCTCATTATTTTTAATAAGACGGGGCATCAATATCAGTTTGGTAAAGATTCGTACACAGCTTTCTGCAATTCTAAGCTACGTAAAGCATAATTGCAAAATGCAAAGACGGTAGTTGTTCTCCCTTAGGACAGAGACTTCAATTAGGTCAGTCGAGGGCCCAGGGAATGGATTGAGGTGTTTCACTACCAAAGACGGGGTTGATTCGTGATGATCTCTAGAGGAATAAAGCTGCATTTTACCTGCCACTTTGGGCCCGAGAAACCCGCAACTCTAAATACTGGCCATCAGCTTGTGGGGCCGACGGAGAAGGCATACATCTCTACTCCAATTATCAAGAAAAGTTGGTATCGATGGCTTCAAGAAGTCTGTCCTCCAGCTAAAGCAGAGCATTACGAGGGAGATTATCCACTGCGAGGTGCCACTTCACTGAAACCCGCCTATATTGGACAAAGGAAGGCTGGAAATAGTCGGTATAGATGGCCAAGTGCGATTAATACGACTTACTTCTTATAATTTGCACAATCGCACTTGGGATCCACTGATTAAAGCAGGCACGAAAAAAAAAAAAAAAAAAAAAAAAAAAAACTCTTGTGGCTAGTCACTTTCTGTTATGTCCGGATAGAAAAATGATATTAGGGTGCAAACAGAACAGAATACTTCCAAGGCTTGTAACCACAGTAAGTCGGCTTTATGGCAAACCTCAAGTCCTATGGGAAGCACAACAAATCTACGTCTTTCTTATTGAAATTACCATCCTAGAGAAGTCAATAGACATAACATAGATCTTTTTTTTTTTTTTTTTTTTTTTTTTTTTCCCTCCGCAGCTTTGCGGTGCAGGTTGTAGTGTACAATAGGGGGCCGTAGACAATGGTTTCCTTTTAAAGCTACGGATAAGCCTTTCCATTGGTGAGTCCCTAGGAAACCTTCCTACCCAGTCAAGTGCTCCACGGTCTGATGAGCTAAATCAAACCCCCCTGCAAAGTTTTTGTAGCTCAAGGTGATATCACTAGTGGATGGTCCGTGTGCCAACGAGGTGCCATGTGGGAGGCCGAGCTTCTCGCAAAGGTGGAAAGTTCCGTGACAAATGACCAAGTCCTGACCTCCTTGAGGGCTTAAATCCGCCTTTGCAAGACCCGGTTGGTACAGTACGGTGAGCCCAATTACTCCTCCACTTTTTCTTTTTTGATGCAGGGATGCGAATGGCGGTGACGGGATTCGATGAGGTTTTGGATGTGAAATTGGGGCATAATAAACCCAAGATGTAAAAAGAGGCCATTGTGATTAAGGACGATAATGAGCGAGTGGCTACATATGATAGCCATATAGGGGATATTGATAAGTGTTTCTACTGTATATGATGACAAGTATATGGCCTCAACTGATGGTAAGTTTATGAACAAGTCTACAGCTGTTAGATCAATAGTCTCGTCCGGTAATGAGACCCATTTGTAAGGACGATAGTGTACAAACCAAGCGCAGTAGTGCCAGAGGCAAGGGGAGGCCCTGTGCTGGAAGCGATATAAATCTGGTGTACGATAACAGGTTTATCTTTTATGGCCAAGTTCTCAAAAAAATTTCATTATGCTTCTAAAGAAAGACGCGCATTGCCCATCAATACATACTCCACATGCTCGTTCCTATTGGTCAACCATGTCCTAGAAATTAGCATACCATGGCAAAGGCTAAATACGGGCACATCAGCTGATTAATAGTTTCCCTTCATTATAAATGGGCTAAAATCCAGCAATCCATGGGCATTGTCTTGAAATTTCATTTTAATGTCGAAATAAATGACCGAAAACTAAACTGTCATGGAGCTATCCTGGCTTCTTTATTTGTGCAAATAAAAAACTCATGAAGACTTTCGCGTGACCCTAGCATCCTCTTGGGAGCCCATTGTATTGTCTATTTATTGACTGGTCTAATAGCAGTGATAATATTCGCCGCCGTAGCCTCGACTTGAAAGGAGGGCAATCTGAGTTGATTCATTCTACCGCGCCATGGAGCTTGACTAACTTGATCTTTTCTTGTACAGCTCGGCAAGACTTGGTTTGTCACATCGTTTGCTTCCTCGTCTTCTTGCGTTCCCTTGATATATCTGGGTTGGTAACCACCGCTAATAGAGTTTGTTGGCCCTGTGGAAACCAGAGGGAACTACACCAACATATCATACCCAAGGTGATACATATATCTATGTTGAAGTGAATGGTGAAATGCCTGTGCGTGATTTAGATGTAATGGACATTTACGGCGAAAGAAAGTATTGAAAGGATGTGAGCGATTATGAGAGTAAGGAAGAAGGGGTTTGTATCCCTTTTCAAGACCTTGGCAACAGAGCATGAGTGGCAGTTGTGATCGCAAGTTGATTCCGGAGAGTCCGCATGAGTTGAACATAACAATAGTCATAGTATTAAAGACCCTATCTTTCATGCATGGTATGTGCATTATTATTGTTTTCAGACCTGGCACCAACCATGCGAGGTATTTTTTCCGGCGTAGGGGGTCCCTAGTGTTATACAACCAGACAGAAAACTTAATAGACATACAAGCACACTAAGAGTGATATGTATGAGTCTATATGGTGCATACTGTGCTCTTCACTCAATGTTTATATAAGGTGGCGGATGATCTACTAAAAAAAATTGTAATGAGCATGCTTTTCATTCCTTTTGTTCCATTGAGTTACGGTAGATAATGACACCATACCTTACAAATGTATTGAGCAACCATAAATAGAAGAGATGATATTGTTTTATGAAAAACAGAATATAAACCATACCAATAAAGAGCTACCAGACCCTTCGCCCGCCTGCAGCTAAGCAGACAGCTCAGGACGTGCCATGTGGAAGTGATCTGGGGCACCCCATGGTGTAGAGCAAGTCCATCAGGACTGGTTGCACTATTGAGCTTTAGCATCATCCCATATAACATAGGAACATCATGAACAACATCATGAACAGACCACCAGAAGCAGCTAGTTCGTACTAATACCATCCTGTAAAAAATGCGGCGAGGAACTCGAGAAAAGGAGAAGAAAGAGGTGCTTATGTACGTCAGTCTGAGCTTAGAGCCTTGCCTTCTTTTTGCCTTTGTCCTTTTTGCCACCAGCGCTGAGCGAAAAGTAGGTCAGTGGTTTGCTTTTTTCATTCAGATTGCTGTCGACTGTGCCTTAATGGTGTGGAACATCTAATAAAATTTATAACGCCAATCCTACTATCCTGAAAATGCAAAAATGCACTTCGCTTTATTGTCTTTCAGCCTTACCAAGCTAGCTGCAAATAAAATAAAATTAAAAAGAATGGCGATCTTCTTGATTGTCAAGAGAGGAACAAAAGCAGACAGGATTATAGCCATATGGATGCTTATTCGATATCTCACAGTATGAAGAGAAATTTAATGCATTTTCATTCAATAGCATTACAGGGAAAGGGGGCTGCATCTTCTTGAAAGAAAAGATGAAAAAACCTCCAAATTGCGAAGCGCTTTTCGTACGGAAAAAAAAGATCCCACAATCGATGTCAAAGATTGATGACAAATGAAGCCACTAGGTCCTGATAACGTATAGAAAGACCTCTCTTTCCCCTCTCTAACGGTCTCTAAAGCGGTGTGTTAGCACGGTAGAGAGTGCTACCCTTTGTCCAACGAGTTCCATCGTCGGCCTGCAGGACGCTGCGGGCTGAGAATGGCGGGTTGGACCCGACGATGGTGCGTGTTGATAGACTGCCCTAGGTTCCTGGGCCAGGGGGCGCGCAACTAGCCCACCTCCACGTGGTGCGCCTTGGGCTGTCTGCTTCGCGGCAGACAGGCGAAGAGTCTGGTGCCTTTTTATTATTTACTCATTATATTATCACAACTACTCATCAACACCATATCGTTCATCTTGGGAATCAAAATAAACCTTTCTGGGACTACCATGGTTATATCTTTCATAATGAGAAGACAGAGCTTTTATTGTTCTTGCTCTTGAGCTCGAGTCTTGCCTTGGCAGGTGCGCCACCAGATTGAAACATGTACACTCAATAGCATCTTCAGTCTTGTTCAATGTTTTTTTATCCCAAAGTCACTGAATGAGTGCCTCCATTCCGACAAATCCATCGCAACATGCATATTCAACTATTGAACATTTCTGAATTAGCTCAATTGCTTGAAAGTATGAGCAAAAAAAAAAAAAAAAAAAAAATTCGAAAATTGCCTGCTACTTATCCAATATGATACCAAGGCGTCTCTTGGACAAAAGTTGGACGTGGAGTACAGCAAAAAGCCGGTAGGAATGTCGGAACCAGTCTTCTTTAGCCGACCGAATGCTTTCAGGCCATTTCTTCTCTACATGCCATTTTCTAGAGAAGCACATGGTTTTCATGTTGGATCAAAGAGGCACACCAAAAAAGATCAAAGAGCTGCGCCACTAAATTTGGACGTGTAATGCCTGTTACAGACAAAGTAGATTGATCATCCAGACTTGATCCACAATTAATTTTCTTATATTTCACTTATTGCTTTTTTCCGTAGTCGTTCATTTACAATATTTGACTCACATTTCACATTGCATCAGCTCATATTCGAAAGCACATCATAGTGCAACAGTACATCAAGGAAGAACCCAATTTTTTATTAAATGGATCCCCGCAAACTCAAAGTTAATGAGCTGAAGGAACAACTCCAGCTTGCTGGTTTATCCGTCAACGGAAAGAAAGAAGAACTCGTGGCTCGTCTTCTAGAGCATCAAAAGGCTGACGAGGACGTTGTTTCAGCAGTAGGCCCACCTACAGGATCAGGAGAAAGCTTTGAATGGGATGAAAACAAGTTTGATGTTGAGTATGTTTAGATTTACATGGCAGTCAATCAACTTGAAAGATCTTGCAACCACAAAAATATTTAGGCAATCCTGCTGAATCCTTCCAATACAGCGTATTGTACGCCAATCTGGAACTTATATCAGAATAGGTTGCTTGCTCAACAAATTAATCGTTTTTTTTTTTTTTTTTCTCTCTCTCTGATCCGTATCATTTAGTGATCTGGCTCCTCCCGCAGATCCAGTATCCTCAACCAAAGCAGCGCCCTCAACAAACACAGCAGCTGTAGCGCCTGCGCCCTCAACGAAACCTGCTGCTTCACCCAGCAGCGAATCAAATAAATCAACTTCAGCCAACACAAAGGCTGCTACTACACCAGCACCATCATCCACTAATTCAGCCTCAAAACCATCGACCACTGAATCAGTCGAATTTCAGGGCAATGTTGGTGACAAAGAGGCTTTGAAAGCAGAATGGGAGAAACGCAAGAACAGGGCAGCTCGCTTCGGCATCCCATTGACAGAGCAGGATAAAGCTATTGAGAGAGCTGCCCGTTTTGGTGTACCCGTTACAGCCGCAGCCACCGCTTCATTGGCCAAAGCCGCTGGTACTTCCACCAAAGCTGCGACACCTGGCTCAAAAGGGCTCCCTAACAAACCAGGAGCTGTTTCTGTTCAGGTGAGGAAAGCCTGCTCAAGGACTTTATTCATTTTTTCAACAATCAATATGTCATATCTTGTGCACTCGTACATTTTAATATAATGAGTCATAAGAAGAAAGAAAAACGCGTTTATGGTTCATAATCTCATTTTTTAATATATTCATTGCTTAAAAAAATGTCATTGCGTAGATTCCCGAGGATGTGTTGAACAAACGGCGGGAGCGTTTTGGAATCCAGGCTTCTCCCAGTGCCTCTGCAACAGGCAAGAAAGTGATCGCTGGCGTGGATGCTGCCGAAGAGGAAAAGAAGCGCAAGCGTGCATTGAAGTTTGGTCTTACACCAGTAAGTTGGACACAGTAGATCGGAGTCTTTCTAACTTGATTGGCATGATTGGCGTAGATATAATATTTGTTTTTAATGTTATTTATTCTTGACTTTTTTTTTTTTTTTTTTTTTTTTTTTGGTACTTTGTATATTATTTACAGGCCGCAGATGACTCGTCCAAGAAGCAGAAGGTCTAATTGAGGAATGCTCCATCCTCAGTAACACACTGAACTAGCAATAAAAACAATCGGAAACCATGCAAACCTATTAGTCTATAAAGGATAGCTATGACATATCATATAAAGAAAACGATTGCTGGTGTGAAATGAAAGCACATAAAATGGGTGCTAAATCGCAAATGTTGAAGTCTGCTGTTTTTTTAAAACGAAAGAAGGATGACAATATCTATAGAAAGAAGTCTATCGACCAACCTGTCTTCCTATTTGTAACTTTCTCTTTCGTAAAGCCCTGCTCATGATATTCACGATTGTTGTAACCATGGGAAGCATGACTGAACTGAATTAGGAAGCTTGGACTATGATATGTGGTGGTAAGTATTCGCACTTTCATCATTGTTTAGCAACGCTCACTTAAAGCCCATCTAGTTTATATACTGAATGCCCATTAATGTTGTATTTACAATATCTGCTTTACTCTTTGCATAAATATCGTTGCATTGTCTTTTATTAATTATGGGAGTAGAATGTTTTCGTAAGCCGATATTATTTGTGGACGAGTTTATATACAGTTAAAACTCTAGGATTAGAGTCGTCTTTTCAGACCCTTCTCTACTTTTTTTTTCTCGTTCTTTAGGCTTTTCCGCCTCTTTTTTTTTTTTTTTGCGATATCATGCAGCCTTGCCATCAAAGCTTTACATTATTTCACGAAAAGTGTCACTCAGGTCGTGGTTCACTTCAAAACGACTCAGCACGCCCAATCCTTGTAAAAATATCTTTCAGGAGTTTCGGCCGGTATGGAGTCAAGAGAGGGCTACATTTCTGTGGAATAGTCTTAGTAAAGGGACTCGTATGCTTTATGATATGACCAAACTGCTCCGCGTCCTTACAAATCATGTGACTATTATGTCTCTATTTCCCCTTGTCGCTCTTTTTGGATTAGCCCCTTTTCAAATATAAATGGTTTACTTAACAAAACTCTTATAATTGAAAAGGACTAACCAAAAAGAGCGACAAGCTTGACCCTCTGTCTATTTCCCATCTACCTTAATTCACACTAGCAAATCATTATGCAGATATATTCTACTAAGGAAGGGAACTCTGGAGTATTTCTTAATGTCGAATTACAGGCATGTAAACATCACGTGCGATGTCCTTGGCCAAAATTGACGCGGCAGAGACGAAAAAAGTAAGGGCTCCATCATCCCGCTCATCTTAATCTTGTTGATCAAACATCCCTTCATCATTGTCGTTCTGTCACCACGATCGCCTCATTCACATGAAGGCAGAAACATAACCGATTTTGTCCCTGAAAAAATTAAAAAATAAAAAAAAAAAATACAAAAAAAGGAGAAAAGACAAGTCAGTGAACTACATCTGACTTTAGAGGTGAGTTCATTTGACACAAAGTCCTGTGACAAGAAAAAAAAAGTGTGACATCACAAAAGAGCATCATTTACCCCATGGGGGCATGCATCTCCCTCTCAACAACTTTAGCTCTCATCCACAGATACGACTGATATATTGTGCTGCTAACTGTGAACTGTTTATTTGCTGAATTTAGAACCCCAACATATAAACTTGGCAAAGTCCGAGTTGTATCGCCTCATTTACTTGTTGGAGCCTCTTACCTTTTTATTTGTTGCAGCACCCTTTTGGACCACAGCACACCTAATATCTTTCAATCCAGTCAACACAAAACAACCACACAGCTCCTTATACACTGCTCTATTTCGATATCCTATTTCTACGTTTCTATCTGTAACACCTTCCCTTGTCATGGTACGTCAGCGCGCCAACTCAATCACGGCCTATAGAGCCAGCAAAGAAGTACCAGAAACACCACTCACACCTCGTACACCTCGCTCGCCACATCTCCATCGTTCCCGTTTGCTTTCACCAACGTTATCCACACGGACAGCGTTAAAGCGTAGCCATGATGATGACATCGATATCGACGCCGACTTTACCGACACACATAGACTGGCAAGCCTACCTAACGCCAACCCAACACCGTCTGAAATGTTATCCTTGGACATGCATACCTTGGCTTTACACCATATTATTGGCCCTAATAATGGTAGCAGTAGTAGTAGCCGTAGAGATAGCGGTGTCGGCGCGCGTGATTTATCAACACCTTCTGCTAAGCTATCAGATCAAGGAATTGAACACATGAGCCTTAGTCTGCCCTTCGAGCAGATACGTCAGTCTCCCCGTACTTTGTTGTCTCCGCGCAAAACAACCCCCGTCAAGAGCAACAGTAATCTCAGAGATGAGGATGCCATCTCAGCTGTCTCAGAGTCTGCCCACGGGTACGCTGCTCGGACATCCACTCAACAACAATCATCGCCATTACAGCTACTACCATCATCAAATGGTGGCTCGAATAAGATTCAGACTACGCCTGTCAAGGCTCGATCATCCTTCAAGAATAAATTGGCAACACCACCTAATTCACAGCGCTCGACCTTGCTCAGTCCACCTCGGAGCCAGACACGTTCGCAGCAAAATCAGTTTATGACCGATGAGGCCAACAATTTATTTTTGACACAGTCACCACGAGCCATCCGAACACCACGTCGCCTGCAAGGTCAAGCCAATGCTAGTCCATCCACTGCAGGAGCGATAACAGCGGCTAGCTCTTCAACGAGCACTAGCGCAGCTACATCTGCTGTAGCACCTGAATTCGAAGACTGTGTCAGTGCCAACTCTGATGCCGCTATTACCTTCTGGCAGGATGACGGCACTATATCCCATATTGGTCTAGATTTCACAGAGGAGGAACCAGTTGAAACCGAGTCTATCCAAGGCTCTGTTGACTTGGAGAAGGAAAACATTACACCAAAGATGTCCGATGATTCTACAAACCCCTTTTATGTTGGGCCTTCTCGACGCCAAACACGCTCCTCATATTCCAAAACGGATGGGTGCACGACACCTACTGGACCTTTAACAGCAAGTTCAGGGACAATTACTCGTTCCAAACGACTTGCCTTGGGGTCCATCTCACCATGGCGATGGAATACGTTTGCGGACCCAGCGGTCCTTGCATCTTTACTTCAAGTCAAAGGATCCAAGGGACTTGGAGATGTCGCAGGTTGTAAAGGAATGTCTGAATGGGTAGAGTCTATATCGCAGCAAAAAGGTGGTGCCTCTGTCATGATTCCCAACGATCTATCCGGTGCTTCATCATCTTCTGGACCCGGCTCATCATCTTCTAATGCTAAAAACCGAGAAACCGTCGCCTCTAGCTCCATACCTTCATCATCAACATTATTTGGGCCTTTACTCCCTGGCAGGAGCACGAATACAGCGCCCAACTCTTCTACGACTGCAACTGAATCTAAAAAGCTCCCAGCTGACCATCCTAACTCTATGGAATCTGCAGAGCGCAGGAGTGGACCTTCAGCAGCCTTTGTTGCAAAAGTGACTGAGACGGTGATTCAACCCAACTCGGTGGCATTTAACCGGCGTGCACAACGATTAGCAGGACGGATTTCTTATTGGAAGCACGGAAGCACTCAACTGCTTAGTGAACAGGACAGGCAGCAATGGCCAGGAGAGTGGAAGTTTGAGGTCTATCAGGACCCAGAATCGCCAAATTCACCCACAAATTTTGGTGAAGGAAGCAGTGCCAGTGCCAGTCATGCCTTTCCTCTATCAGACAGCTTTAGCGTTGCATCTGCGCCCGTTCCTTACAAAGGCAAGGGTAAGTTGACAGAACGTCAGCTTAGTGGTCCATCTTCAAAAAGAGCTCGGATCCACCGTGAGTCCCTCAGTGGGGGTTGCCCAGAATCCGATCCAACGCCGGACCAACATGATGGGGGGCAAGAGGAGGAGGAAGAAGCACAGCTTCCACCAAGTCCGAGTCATCGAGCTGCAGATCGACAAGCTCGACTTAAGGATCGTTATGATTTCAGAGAACGGCGACTCTTGAACTCTCCTCTCACATCTCAATCGCGACGTCTATGAGAAATCTTTTTTTTTTTTTTCTTCTTATTATCTCTTCTTTTTCTTTCTCTTTTTCCTTTTTTCCTTTCTCCCTTTCTTTCTGGCATATTGCCTGATTGGTCTTTGACTTCACACGTATCTGTAGTTCTAGTGTTTGTAATTTTTTTTTTTTTTTTTTTATTTTTTTTTTCTGTCTTCTTCATTTGTATAACAACCAATACATGTAACACTTTTCACATGTATATCTTATACTTGACTTTTTTCAGTTCGGTTGGACTATGTACAATGTACATTTATTCATTCCAACGATCTTGGAAAAAGTCACTCACTGGGTGAATGTATACCCCTCCCCCTCCTAATATCATGTACATGTACTCTGTGTCTATTTGATTGTACAAAAGAAAACCGAAAAGTATTCAACATATTGTTGCTTAATAAATAAAAATTAATTATCATCATTGTTGCTTACTTCTTTCAGCACACAGCCACGCTTTGTTTTTATTTGAAAATGGTGAAAAAAAAAAAAAAAAAAAAAAAAAATTACAAATTCAGTTGAAAAAACCAAGATTTTTCTTTCTTTCTTTTATTCATTTATTCACCGCGCTCTAATCGATACTGAATCTCTTCGCCTGGTGCATAAATGATTCCTCCAACTTGTGCTTTAGCAGTGGCTCCGTTTAGTATAGCGCCATCCGTCGCAACAACGATCCCCAGACTCGTCAATCTGTCAATTTCTCCCTGTACAATCCCTCTCTGATCCATGGGTAACCATACTGGCTTTTGTACGTTGTAAATGGCAGGATGACAGTAGGCTTGATCTTGTAGGCGTTCCAACTCAATATCTTCTGGACCGCGAGCTATAGGCACACCATCCACTGATTGCTGTTGTTGTTGCTGTTGCTGTTGTTGTTCTTGGCGCTGTTGTTGTTCTTGGCATTGTTGTTGTTGGTATTGTTGCTCTTGAGGTGGGAAGCGGTATCGTGATTGTGATGGTGGTGATGAACCATCGACCCAAATGGATCCAGGTCTATCGACAAAAGATCCCTGCCTCCTACGGTGCATCATAAAGGATGGAGGTCGATCTAGGAACGACATTGGTCGGGCCAGTGACCTTGGGCTGCCGTCATTGAAGTAATGAGATCGTAAACTTGGTCTCTTCGAATCCTCCTGTTGCGTTGGCATCGGCATAGGCATGTATTTCAGCTGTGGTGATAACTGATGTGCTGATTGAGACAACGAAAGCTTGGACGTCTCAGGACTGGACGGATGCAAAGAGTGCTTGAATCCATCGTCAGGTGCACTCATTGACTTGTACAGCGAACGTCGCCGCTCATGATCGGTAGAAAGCGTTGTTAAATGATTCGTGTATGGATGACGATGTCTGAAAGATTGTGTTGAATAGTCAAGCATTGTATCTTCATGTATAACTGGTCTCATAGAGTAGCCGTCTTCAAGCTCATTGTTATCATCCTGTTCCTGTTTATTCGTCTGGATTCGAGGCTGAGCATTGTCTTCAGGGAGAGGAAATCGTTCTGAAGTAAGGTTGTCTCTCGAAAGATTATCCAGACGCATGATTGCCCCATTATTGTCATCATTGGGTCTAACAGCCTCCTCATCGTGGAGATGTCGAGATGCCTTGGTTGCTCTCTCAGTACTATCCGTTACAACTCCATCCTGATCCACATGAAGGTCATCCGAAAATAACGCTACAGGTAAGAATTCCACCAGCGGATTAAATGCCTCGTTCATATTACTAAGCGCCAACGCTGTGCAGACAAATAAAATCCCCAGTAGGACCAACTGTGGAACAGCCGGCCCGAAATTGGCATCGGCTTGTTTCATCAAAAAGATACCAAATAGCGTAATTTGTGAAATAAAAATCCCCGTAAACACTTGCTTGACCGCTTTAGGGAAGGCTAGACCACCAGTTTCGAAAGGTTGGAGGTAGACGTAAAGGAACTGATGACGGAAAACAAAGTAATGCAATGTGAAATATAAAGTCACAAAAGGCAGGATTAGAGGTGCCATGGTAGCGTATACGATGCCGATACAGAACATGAGCGTTTGGGGTGGGAAGAGAATGCCATAGTTGACCGATTCCAAGCGGCCTTGGACACTCCAGATCTGGCGAGGACTCTTGGCCAATATACGAGTGAAGAATAAGTTGAGCAACAGGGGTATGATCTGCAAAAGTTCCAGCGCTGGTCCTGTTAAAGCGCGAAGTAGGACGTAGGTGATAAAGAAGGTGGAAGCATTAGGAAGGTTCTCTGAAAACCGTCTGATGATGGTGTCGAATCTGAAGCTGTCTTCCGTGAGCTTTTCCCATGTCTTGATGATCCCACCAGAAAGAGTAGAGATAAGCAAGACATTAGTCACAAGAAAGAAAAAGTATTTGGACATGACAGAGAGGGAAATATCACTGTAGCGGACATGACCCTCATAAGTCGCCATCATAGTCAACAGAACGGGAAGTAACGCCATCAGTCCTGCAAGCAGCAATGGAGGCAAGATACCCTGGATAATACCCAGTATCCCTGTAGGGAGTTTTTCCAGGAAGGCCAGGAACGAAACCTTTGAAACGATATCCGAGATGGTTGCAAGTGAAGAGATGAAGATGGTGGGGATCGTCCATAACAAGATCATGGCAGTGGACGCGACGAGGATCGTGGTGTAGCGTCCCTTCCTGGCCAAACTATCCAGACTCATATTGTCCCACACAACATTTAATGGAGAGATTTCTGCGTATATAGGTGCCATCATGAACGGTTTGGGGTGGACAACTGTTTGGACAGCACTGTGCGCTGCAAACTGGCTACGAAATTGGATAAATGCCGAATTGAGCGACTCTAGTGATCCGGTACGCTGAGCCTCCTCGATTTGCTGGTTAAGTCGGCACAACCGCACAATGTTGTACTCCACCAAGTCCACTCTTTCACCCCTGCAGGGAATACGGGAGGTTTTTCCGATGGGTCGCTGAGGCTCCTTGATTGGTGGATCGTTTTTGGATCGTTTTTTGTAAGCGGACCGAATGTATTTGTACTCTGCCATCTCCAGTTCCTTAACAACATTATTCCGTTCCTTGCAAAGGTTCATCAAGTTCTTGGTATGCCTTTTTTTTTTTTTTTTTTTTTTTTTTCAGTGAGAATGATTGTTATTTTATGCATTTTTTTTTTTTTTTTTTTTTTTTTTTTTTTTTACTTTTTGCCGTTAAGAAAGTATGTTATACATAAACAATAATAGTTTTGGATTGATCCATGAAAAAATAAATTCTAATCATCGATTATTAAAAAAAAAAAAAATACTGTTTCTTACCTGTTTATCCAGATTTTTGCCACTCCACCAGGGAATCGATTGAAAATGTTGTAAAGGGCTATCTCAGAATTGAGTCCCTTGGGGATGGCAGTGACAAGAATAGTGGTCGCTTGGGGTGTCTTGCCATGCTTTTCACTCAAAAGAAAGGCATGGCGACGGCGAGTGTACTCATGCATCTCTCGCCATAACAAACCAATTGCACTAGCTACCCCAGGATGAGAAAAAAAAAAAAAAAAAAAAAAAAAAAAAACAAAGGTAATGAGTTAGGCCAACTAGACTAGTTTTGAACAGGGATGCCCTTTGACTATTTTTTTTTAAGTTTTTTCCTTTTTCAAAAGATATGTGGCCTTCTAATATTTCAGATCAAGAATTATTTATTAAAAATAAAAATAAAATAAAATAAACTTACCAGTAAAGATATACGTCAAGGTCAGATGGAACCAGAGACGCCATTGCGTGTTGACGTTACCGATATTAAAAAGTTGAAGACCTTTTCCGTTGATACCGCCTTTCATGTTGATTGGGATGAGAATAGGAATAGATAGAAGGGTGCATCCAGCAAAAAACATCCTAGTTGAGATTAAGCAATTGTTTCAAAGTTAGTTCCAACATTCACTTGCTGTTGTTGTTGTTTTTTTTTCCACTCTAGATGCAAGATGTCCCGATTTAGCTGTCCAATGGACATAATTATCCTTTTTGTCTCTAGTCATGAGATTGTTCGACTTGTCAATATACATCTGTATCTCCAACATTCATCACGAGTGACATCATAACATTACTGACTGCGACAATCGACAATCCTGGGTATTAGACCTGTTTTCGGATTATCTTTTTACTTCTTGCGTAACAAGCTCTTTTTTTTCCTTTTTCCTTTTTCCTTTTTTTCTTTTTACATCATAGTTGACCTTGTACTGGAACAGTAGAACAGCAGCTTTTACTTACGCGCTCATGCGGAGAAACCTCAGAAACATATAGGCGTCCAAACCCACTTTGTCCAACAGTTCTGTATCCTTGACCTTGAACGAGGCTGTAACAAAGGTGAAGATACCAGGCGGCAGTTCAGGCGGCCGAAGACTAAATAAGCAAAAGAATAAGACAGCATGAGTACGGAATATTTAAATGGGGGATCAGCATCTACAGGATATAGTAAAGGGCTCTTTTTTTTTTGTAATCCATGACGTTCAACTGCAGTAGCACAAAAGGAACAACTTTAACTCCCTTTTCTCTCTTTTTTTTTTTTTTTTTTTTTTTTTTTGAGCACAAAAGTTGTAAAGAGCTGATCAGATCGTACGGAGGAATAAGTTGAAACTATTCTTTCTTGGCTTGGAGGGATATGTAATGAAATTATTTTCCTTACTCTTTGTTAACAAGATATGTTCGAGGTTGATAGATTTTCTTGCTCCAGTGCCTGACAATACAGAAAGCAACAAAGATGGCGATACCAATTCCAGAGTTGAAGGCTAAGGATGAGGTAAAGGCCTTCACTGATACATCTGATGACAATTGAATGTTGTCTTCTGGTATAAAAGAAGGGGCCATGCTTTTCTACTTTTTTTTTTTTTTTTTTTTTTTTTTTTCTTGGTTTTTGGTTTTTGATTGTGTTATATGGGATATGCTAATGTCAATGAATGATGTTGGACACTTTCGAGATCAGATCAAAGAGAGATTGCTGAGCCCTCAAGAGGGTGTGGAGAGAAGAATGAACGTGTACTGAAAGAGGATAGAGATACAGGTCAAACAACAATAGAATAGAAATACAATAGAAATACAGGACTCAAACAGATGGAATAAAAATGTGAAAGGGAGCGTAAAGAAGAAAAAGAGGAGGTGAGAGTCAATGAGAGAGAAAAAACACAAGGCAAATGGAATTGCGAATTGTTCATTGACCCATGAGACAAGGAGAGAAGTGGAGAATGAGTAAAGGAAAGAGGAAAAAAAAAAAAAAAGTTCTTGTAATTGAACAATTGCATCAACTGCAGCTACACCTTGCACCATTTTATTATGATTATGAGTATCTTCCTGATCAAATCTATTAATCCCAATACTTCATCATGTTTCAGCATTACGCTAAAACATCGCACAAGAGCACTGCATTGTAGCCCTGATATACATCCACTTGTATATACATGTGAGTAGTGCTCAGTTGATCAACCTTCCCTTGTGGTTGTAGCAATAACAGACAGAAGTATAGAACAAACAGAAGCAAGTCAGAAGCAACAGACAGAAGAAACATCCCTAAAAAAGTTAAACCCCCAGATTCCCAGGAGGAAAAAAAAAAAGCTGTTAGTCCTTCATTTTCCTCGATTCGTTGATTGGCTGATCCAGTGCATCACTTTTTCAGTACACACTACACACATGTACACGTTTGTACATAAATGCTGATAAGGCAGTAAAAGCCGAGCTGAGCACACTTCTTTCTCTGCTAACTCTATGGTTATCTGACACGCCATATCCAAAAGACGCTACTCCTCTCATTGATAAAAACGGGTGCCAGATATACTTAAAGATAAAGTAGGACCAATGATAATGGGGTACTTTTATTTTTTGCTCGTCTTAAATGGCGGCTGTGGCTTGAATACTATTGCCATGTGGATCATGTGGATTGATTGCCTTCTTTCCCAAGTGAAAGGATTCAGTAGCAGATTAAGCATAAGCGATCTTATTTTGTTGTATGGAAGGAGGACAGATGTTCTGGACCTTTGAAGAAGTATATATTATATAATGTATTATTGGAATCTTTTCTTTCTATTTTTCTTTAGAGTTAAAAAACTTCTGTTACTGATCACAATCGAGAATAGTAAGCAAAGATGGATAGTTTTTTTTTTTTTAAAAAAAAGAATGAATAGATACACAAACACCGGGAGCATGTCCGAAATCTTAAAAAAAGACAATTCAGAAGAACAGGGCTGTGTTGAGCAATGATGACTGGAGCGAACGCATTGGTTGTATAAATATGTGTACACATGTGTCCCATCGTGTCAAGCGTCAAAATCTGGTCAATGCAGAGAGAGAAAGACAAGGAGTGACTGGATGCGATGCATGATTATGTTTGTCAATACATACCGACATTACCATCATCAAATCAGAAGGCAAGGACCTCTCCCTGAGCTTCCCACGGGTTACTGTTGTACGGGTCAAAACCTAATGTATTTCATTTCATTCATTCAGTTGATTCGATTATAGAAGAGGCAACTTTCTGTTCATTTGTACTACAAAGTATATATGGGGCTTTACGAACCCAAAGCAAATCATAGTTGTAATGAAAGGACGAAGCAACAGGCAATGAACGAAAGCATTAAAAAAGAAAGACCAAAGCGACATCTGGTGGTCTGATGGTCATTTGCTCTTGTCCAATCAATTATAGGCTATCTTTGAAGAGCGTGTGATAGCTTCGGTTTGTGATCCGAATTCTTGTTGATCTCTCTCTCCCCTCTCTCCTCCTTTTGCCATCTCTGGAAGCACTTCCGCGGAAATTGGACGGGGACATACCCTGACCAGTGGAGCAATGGAGAAGAGTAGAAGAGTAGAAGAGTAGAAGAGTAGAGGGAATAGACAAAGGGATTGGGTATAATAAAACACAAGCATTGCTTAAAACATACTCGCATCATGAACAAAAACCTGTTTATCGTATTTTTACACGATCGACTTTAACAAAAGCACAAGGCGAGGGCTTTTTTTTTTTTTTTTTTTTTTTTTTTTTTTTAATTCTTGAAAGGAGCATTGTAGTTGAACGGATGGTAAGAAATACATGTTCCAGAAGATAACTGATCCCATGCGTGTTTATACATCAACATTGGCTGTTCATAGATCGCTCTAATTCATTCATTCAAACTTATCACAGCCTACAGCCAATCCTTTGCATGTTTTGTATATGCAGGTTATTTTGTTTTAGCCAACCAACAGAAGTATATACAGTAGAGAAAAGCCCTTTTTCCTTTTTTTTTTTTTTTCCTTTCTTTTTCTTTTCTTTCTCTTCTCGCATTCATACCTCCAATATCAACAATTTCAACAACATCACTGATAACACCATCCTTTATTGTTCCGCATTTTGTCTTCTGTTTTTGACACGCTTCTTTACTTTTCATCCTTCATACTCCACCTGTCCAAACAGCAAACTCTTGTCAAAGGTACTAAACACTTCAAGTGTATCCATCCTTTTCCTCTTCCTTCTCCTTCTCTCCCTCGTTCATTCAACGGATACAGAAGCCTCCTCAAGTTTTTTTTTTTTTGCCCATTGGTTTCTGTGTTTTTCTGCATTACTCAAACTTACTATGACAGCATACTCTTACTTACTTGCTGAGGAATTGAAAAGTAAAGAAAGAAAGAAATGAATTGTCTATCCAGACAATATCTGCAGTATGTTCATGGGAAAGAGAACAACTACATTAGCAATGCTTCTTGAGGAATGAAGCCATGTGTCTCTGCTCATGAAACTGTAGATGAATGAACGACTCTTCCTCAACGATGACTATGACTGCTGATTATGCTATAACCTTGAATAAACATGAAGTGTGGAGAAAAAGTACAAACTTGTTTCTGTGTTTGCTTTTGTAGTGAGTACAGTTTCTACACGTCCAGGACGTTTGAGGCTTCGCGGATAAAACAGTTTCTTCCGTGTCTACCATGTTTTCATGTTACACCCCAGGATTTCATGTTTCTGCGCTGGAAAAGAAAAAAAAAAAAAAAAAAAACGAACAATGCGCTTTTTGGTGGTGATTGCTCTCTCCTGATACACTTGAGTGCCTGTATCTCAATGACATTAGGACAGATGGGGCATGGGAAAAGACACAGTGAGGGATTGTTGGTTGACGCGGAAACATAATTCGGGTCTAACCTTTTTTTTTTTCCTTACTTTATATCTTTGTCTAATCTAACCATGACAGTCCAACACTGACTCTGAAGCAGGGTTCATTGCCATTCGTATAACAAAGAAAAAGAATAATAAAAAAAAAACCATAAACATGGTTAACACTAGTACTGTTACTGAGGGAGCAAGGACAGGGGACAACACAACGACCGTGTTGGAAGGTCAGCTCATTGACCTAAGCCTTGATGAGCACGATACCAATGCTGCACCGCGCCACGTGTCCGACTCTGGCTCATTTGAGGACGAAGAGGATATTGCTGACAACATCTCATTAGGCTCAATTGACACGGATAGTGGGCCCAACACATTGCCTCCGACCTATGATCTCGCCTCGATTCTAGGAACCCATGCAGCTGCGTCCAATAACAATGGGACTACGACTAGCACCACCACCTCTACTACTACAACCGCTGTCACCACAGGCATTAATGGCAATGCGACAGTAACAAACAGCCGTATCCCTGTCAACATTCCGTCGACAGCTGAGATGGAGAATTTGCCGATTGATGTGGTTGCCCTGATCCTTGAGACCTTAACTATCCTTGAATTGTTTGATCTGCACAAATTATCGGATCGTTGGCGCCAGCTGACAACTCGGGCACTTTTGGACAAATTTATGATGAGCCATGTGGTCCTTTGGATTGATCAGGAAGGTCATCGGACATTCCGTCCAGAGTTTTTGTTTGATTCGTTTGATGAGGCCACGAACCGGATTCGATGGCTGCCAAAGCCTACACACAAACCTGAGCTTCGCGGTCAAGTCTACAGCAAGACGTTTGGTATAACCAAGCCTATGATCCGTATCATTTCTGTAGGTGATGTGGACAAGTACGACTATTTGGATAAGGAGGCCCATATGACGATTGTCAAGCCTGGGACAAGGACCTTATTAGGATCTGATAAGGGATGCCCTTGGGCATTCATCTACAAGGTCTCTTCATTTACGCGTAAGGGCAAGAAGATTGATGGAGAACGCTGGATTGAGCCTATTTCATTTGAGTGTCACCTTGACTTTTTGAACCCAAGACGAGCTCATAAGCTACGTCTGTTGTGGTACTTGCAGAAGTCGTATGCGACCATGCCCATAGTCGGCGATTCTGCACGGAAGCAGATCAACCGATCCAAGGTCGAGGGTGCATTACCAGCACAGCAGATGAGCGAGTTCTTCAGCGGAAGGAGTCAGCCATTGTCAGGTTCTACCTTATCCACGTTCCGTTAATATCCAACAGACCAATTGCTTTTATCTTTATTTTATTTTATTTCTTTTGTTTTATTTGTACATCTACTTTATCCTCATCAGTTTCGAATTTTGTTTCTTCCTTCTCCTGCCTCTCTGTCTGTCTGGATGGAGTGTATGCAGTTTTGTTCTTGAAGCGACTATTTACCATTCTAGTATCACAAAAGAACAAATAAAAAAAAGCGAAAGCAAATCAGTCGTTGCCATGGCATGATGGCATGGGATACACAGGAATAAGGATGGCTTGGCAAACAAAAGGGGCGAAGAAGAAAAAAAAGGACAGTCCGATAAGCAAATTATCTGTCCATGAAAAAAAAAAGTTCCATTGAACACAAACCACACAGAATCCTTTTTTTACTTTTTTTATTCCTTATTTCCACATACACGCATGGTTTAAGTAGTTTCTCTTTTTTCCTTTCTCTATTTTACTCGTGGTCGTAGTCGAAGTCGTAGTCGTTTTTTTTTATTTTTTTTATTACTGTCATTGTTTTTACTATTATCATTGTCAATTGTCAATTGCAATAGCTACACTGCTGCTATTGATATAGTTGTCGTTGCTATTGCTGTTGCTGCTGCTGTTGTTGTTGTTGTTGCTGTTGTTGCTGTTGCTGTTGTTGTTGCTGCTGCTGCTCTTGCTATTACTGCCGTCGTCGCTGCCCTAAAGTCACCGTCGCCGTCACTGTTGTTGGTTTTGGACTTTGTTCATTCCATTACATTGCATCCACGCCTACATTCAGTCTCTCGTTGGTTGATATTGTCCCATTGAAGATCTAGTACAAGACGAAAATCACAGGGAGTTTTCGGAATCAACTGTTTTCAGACAAAAAAAAAAAAAAAAAAAAAAAAAGAGTAAGCATTTCTTTAAAAAAAGATCAGATCAACTTGATTCTTTATATTATTGCCTTTTTTAAGTTAAAAAATAAGAAAAAAAAAAAAAAGTTTTTAGCAGATTTCACATTATCCCAATGGGAATGGGAATGATACTGCACAAGGAAAACCTAACCATTGACCATTGACCATTGGCACGTACTGGACACTAAAAAAAAAAAACGTCTTTCTTGAACTAATTTTTCACAATCTTCTAGATCTCTTTTTATTTTTTTATTTTTATTTTTTCCATTAAGAGAAAAAAAAAGACAATTATCACACACAGGATAAGGTTACTAAAGCTTAAAAGAACAAAAGGGCCATTCATCAACTTGTGGATCCTTGGTTATAAAAAAAGCGGAAAGAAAAAAGCATTGTTTCATTCTCCAGTACCACATCTGCCGTCCTTAATACCACAACCTTTTCACACCCATTCCCGTCCAACTATAAAAACTATTTCTTTTCCAACATCCAACATAAAAAGGAAAACAAGAAAAGAAAGAAAAAGAAAAAAAAGAAAAAGAAAAAGAAATAGGAAGAAAAAAAAAAAAAAAAAAAAAAAAAAAAAAAGAAAAAACGACAATGTCAACACTTGAGCGTACAGAGTTTGCGGTTCGACCCTCGGCACTAGGAGATGCAGGTCGTCCGATTAGAATTCGAGCAAACTTTTTCGAGATTACACGTTTACCGGACATTAACGTGTACCACTACGATGTAACTATTACAAAGGATGTTCCTCCAGTGGTCAACAGACGAATCTTTACCCAGATGTTGAATCTCTTTGGCAGGTCTGATTTTGAAGGAACTAAGCCTGTCTTTGATGGTCGTAAGAACATGTTTGCTGCTAGAGCATTGCCTTTTGAGAGCAAGACTTTTGAAGTAAGCTTTTTTCTATTCATTTTTCTTTTTCTTCTATGCTTTTCTATTGTTTTTTTTTTTTTATGTTTTTGATAATTGTCAAGGGGGAAGAGTGTAGATGCAGGGGCTGGAGGGGAGATGTCTATGATGAAACTTGTCTTTAGTGTTGGTAAAAAGGTTCTTTGTTTTTCTCTCAAAAAACACTGAAGAGTCATGACAATAGGCTGGTCGGCTGGTCTACATATATTCCATCTTTTCCCATCCTCCCCAGAAACATTCCCGCATGCGACTCGACCATATTCATTGCTTTGTGCGAGAAAAAAAAAAAATCCTTTCGATGCATGCATCCAGCGGGAAGAAAGGAACTACAACACAGGAGAGAATAAAAAAAATTTTTTTTTCTTCTGCACATGGTCCCCTGACGCAATTCTTTTGCCATCCAATGCGCTCCGACACATCCGCTTCCCGTCGTCCGTCCTCCTTTTTTTTTTTTTTTTTTTTTTTTTTTTTTTCCGTCCTGTATTTGTGTTGAAGGTTCTATCTTTATTCTTATTCTTATTCTTATTCTTTCTTAAACAGATTTCTTTGCCTGATGAGCAACCCAGAGGCGGAGCTGGTCGACAACCCGATGTGTTCAAAGTCAAGATCAAGAAGGCTGCAGAGATTAATCTGGAAGAGCTTCATCGCTTCTTAAACGGACAGTCATCCTTGACCGCCAATTGTTTGACGGCCATCATGGCATTGGATGTCCTAATTCGACATAAACCCGCTTTGCTCTATTCTACCGTCAATCGGTCTTTCTTCACTCCGGATGGCGCGTCACCGTTGAGTGGTGGCATTCAGGTCTGGAATGGATTCTATCAATCTGCGCGTCCAGCTGTTGGTAATTATATTAATTTTTTTTTTTTTTTTTTTTTTTTTAATACTACGGTTCATGTGACTAAAAACTGAATTTTTTTTTTTTATTTTTTTACAATGGATATGAAACTACGCAGGAAAAATGTTGATCAACTTGGATGTTGCTGCAACCACGTACTACCAATCTGGATCTTTGTTGGAACTGGCTGTCAAGTTTTTAAATAAACGCAGCATTGGTAAGCAAGTATTTGTTTTCTCCTGGGCTTCCTCGCCTTCTTTTTTTTTTATTTTTTTTATTTTTTTTATTTTTTATTTTTTTTCTAGGCTTGAAGCAATACACTGACACGAGTCTTTCTTCTATTCTATTCTATAGATGATTTCCGTCAAGGATTTACAGATCGTGATCGCGATAGACTCGAAAAGTTTCTCCGTGGACTGTTGATCAGAGTCATTCACCGCGGTGATGTCAAGCGAAAGTTCAAAATTTCCAAGCTGACAGTTACTCCTGCTAGTCGAACAACCTTTATGAGAGATGATGTCAAGACCGATGTTGCGACGTACTTTAACGAAGTTTACGGCCGTCGATTGTCATTCCCATTCATGCCCTGCGTGGTCACTGGACGTGAGGTTTATCTGCCCATGGAGATCTGTAGCGTGATCGAAGGTCAACGCAATATCAAAAAGTTGAACGAGAAACAAACAGCAGACATGATTAAATTCACGTGCCAACCCCCTCATATCCGTGCCAACAAGATCAAAGATGGTCTCAAGCTCCTGAGTTTCCAGGATAATGAGTACATGAGAGATTTTGGCTTGAGAGTTTCCACGGAGATGATTGAGATTCAAGGTAAAATTAATGTTTTTTTTTTTTTTTTTTTTTTTTTTTTGTGGCTAAAGAGAGGAGCACCATCATGTTCGTTCCTGAGCCTTTCTAGAGAGAGTCAATCCTGATTATTAATTTTATTTTTGTTTTAAAAAGCGCGAATATTGCCCCCGCCCAACATTTCCTATCATCCTTCGTCGCGTCAGGCCAACTTCACTCCTGTGGACGGTGCCTGGAATCTCAGGGACAAGAAGGTTGCCACCGGTGCTACACTTGGCTCGTGGGGCGTTCTCATCTTTGCACAGGAACGTGAAGTTCCTCCTCCTCAGGTGGAGGGTTTCATTCGCGAGTTGATTGTTACCTGTATCGATACTGGCATGGTTAGTCCAATGACACCCTCTCTATATGATCTCTTGTCCTATATATTAAAAAACCATCGTACCTTACATAGCTTGATATTGATAGGCTCATTCACATGCCTCTTTCTCTCTCTCTCTCTCTCTCTCTCTCTCTCTCTCTCTCTCTCTTACAATAGAACATTGTGAACAAACGTCCTCCCCTCATGTACGCCAACCCTGAAGGCGATATTGAGGGTAGTCTCAAGACAATGTGGCTTCGTGCTGGTAATGCTGTCAAGTCACAGCCTCAATTATTGCTCTGCATTTTGCCCAACAAGGGCGTACCCTTATATGCGGAAATCAAGCGTGTGAGTGATACTGTGATTGGTATCCCTACGCAGTGTATCCAGATGAGTCATACTCGAGTGCCCAAGAAGCAATATTGTGCCAATGTCTGCTTGAAGATGAATGTCAAACTAGGAGGGATGAACTCTTTCTTGTCGCCACAACAGACACCATTCTTGGCGCAGAAACCAACCATCTTGTTTGGAGCTGATGTCAGCCATCCTCGCCCTGGTAAAATTTGCAAAAAAAAAAAAAAAAAAAAAAAATAGTGATGGGCATGAGATACACAATTAACGGAACGGATGAACGATTTCTATTAAACTTGTGCACCTATAGGTGATACAACTCGCCCTTCGATTGCCTCCTTGGTGGGCTCGATGGATTCAAAGGCTGCCCGGTACGCAGCAACGGTCCGTGTTCAGACCGCAAAGACAGAGACTATTGCGGATCTCGGAGGCATGGTTGTAGAACTTCTCCGAACCTTCTACCAAACCTGTGGTCAGAAACCAGAGCGTATTTTGTTCTATCGTGACGGAGTTTCGGAAGGTCAGTTCGCAGAGGTGCTGCGATCCGAGGTCTCATCCGTCCGAGCTGCGTGCAGGAACTTGGATGCCAACTATAATCCTACAATCACCTTTGTGGTCGTCCAAAAACGCCACCATGCCCGGTTTTTCCCCATGCGACGCGAAGAAGGAGATCGTGTTGGAAACTGCATGCCAGGAACGGTTGTGGATAAGGGAATTGTGCATCCAACCGAATTTGACTTTTATCTACAGAGCCATGCAGGTCTTCAAGGCACGTCTCGTCCAACGCATTACCATGTGTTGCTGGATGAGAATGAATTCTCAGCCAATGTGCTGCAGGATTTCACCTACAAGCTCTGTCATTTGTATGCTCGATGCACCCGATCAGTCTCGGTGGTACCTCCAGCATACTATGCACACTTGGTCGCAATCCGTGCTCGATTCCACTCCAGGGGTGAGCATTGGTCTGACACTGAGGGGTCGGAGGTGAGTGAACGTGCTGTTGATGAAAGCTCTTATCTTGCGGTCAAGCCAGAGCTCTTGCGAGGTAAGATTTTTTTTTAAAAAAAAAAAAAAAAAGCTTTGTTTTGCCTTTTTACTTTTTTGACTTTTTCAATTTCTAACTTCATTCCTCTCTGTTATTTCGTCCTCCTGTCTCGTTCCAATGTATAGTCATGTACTTTATGTAAAAGAAACCTTCGCTCTTGTCAATCTGACATGTTCAGAAGGATTTTACAATATGGAACTCTCTTTCTCTCTTTCTCTCTTTCTCTCTCTTTCTTACCTTTTCTCTTGGTTCTTTTATCAATTCTTTCTTTCTACTGTACTTCTTTCTCACAACACTTTGTCTTGGATTTAAAGCCTCGGCAAAAAGTCAAAGAAGGTTATACGAGGTTATACCAATGTTTTGAGATCAATGAATTCCATCGCAATAAAAGAAAAAAAAAAAAAAAAAAAAAAAAAAAAGCTTTATCGTTTTTTTTTTTTTTTGTTTTGTTTTCTCCAAATTAATCTGGAACTGAATTATTTGAATTTTGATCTAAACACCAAGAGCTTTGGCATGATGTTCAATATGGTCATTAATAAATGTGCTGATAGTATAGTATCCGTGGCTGTAACCGTCGTGGAAACGGATGTCAAACTGACTTGTCAATCCGAGCTTCTTGACTGTTTCAACCAAGTCATAGGTGTGAAGGTGATCTGGGTTCAGATATTCGTCTCCAGTACCCTATAAAGGAAGGAAAGAAAAATAAAAAATAAAATAAAAAAAAAAAAAAAAAAATTGACCTTTTGTTTAGTTTGCTCCGCAGTGGAAAAATCAGAGAAAAAGAAGGAGAAAGAAAAAAGGGAAAGGGATAAAGATAAAGGAGGGGAGGGGGTGAACTGACCTGATCAATCAAAAAATTGACATCGTTTCGTAACTTTTTCTCGCCTGCAAGGTGTTTCAACAATTCGACTGCGTCATATTCGGCCCAGGTGGAGCGATCTTCACCCAGGTAACGAGACAAGGCATGGAGACCCCAAGGAGACCTTGAAAGATTCGTAATAGGAGCAAAGGCCGAGACAGACTGAGAATAAAAATAAAAATAAAAATGAAGATCAGTAAGAAAAATATCCCTTTCTAAACCCTACCAAAGTGCAGATTATTATTATTATTATTATTATTATTATTATTATTATTATTATTATTTACCTTGTAACGATCTTGATTCTTCAAGAAAATAGTCAAAGCACCATGTCCTCCCTAAAGTAACAACACCATGCGGATGAAATTTTGACGATGTGTTAAGCGCAGCCATAAGAAGTAATTAACAAGAGAAAAATAAAAAAAGGAATATCGATATACCATTGAATGACCCATGATCGAAGTGCGCGAAGGATCCTATTTATATATATATATATATATAAAAGGGAATCGACATATACCATTTCATTAGTTTTTTTTTTTTTTTTTTTTTTTTTTCTTCTTGTCATAGCTGAATAAATGCAAGTTGCTTAAAAGAGAGTCTTCTTTACAATTGGAAAGTTATTTTCAAGGAGTTGAGGAAGTTCCTTGACAATGTAATCATACATCCTCCAGTTCTTCTCCCAGGGAGCCTGAGTAGCATTCAAGTAGAATCCAGCGCCTTTTTTTTTTTTTTTTTTTTTTTTTTTTTTTTTTTTTTAAGAAAAAAAAAATTAGAATTAGAAGCGTGAGAAAAAAAAAAAAAAAAAAAAAAAAAAAACATTTTTACTCTTTCACATACTGTATCCAACGCAATTATCGTCTTCAGCTTCAGCAACTCCAACGTTGCCTAAATGCAAATGGAAAGAGACATGAAAATGAGAAAAGAGTTAAACTATATATATTTTAGACAACAACAGCAGAAGCAACAGAGGCAAATCAAAAGAATATAGACATTACGAGGCGAAGTGTCAGGGAAGACCAAAGCTATTCCATGCTCAGCAGCCTTGGCGCCAAATCCTGACTTTTGGGGGAAATTATCCTCGGTCGCAGTCAATCCTCCAAGACAGTAAAGCAACTTGATGTCCAAGAAGGAAAAAAAAAAAAAAAAAAAAAAAAAAAAAAAGGTATTAGCGACATTCACAACCAACCCGAGAGAAAGAAACGTAAACAAGGGAGGTGGGGTTTGACATACAGGAACCTTGGCATGTTGTTCAACGGCCCTGGGCAAGAAGAGGTTGAAGCGCATAGTACATTGAGTCGTACTGGACTCGTGCGAATACTTGGTGAGCGTGCCACCAAAGTGCTTGACCTGTTGGACAGTAGTGAGGCTCATGGTGTGTTTTTGAATCGAATGCTTGAAGAAAAGAGATGAAAGGCAGTAAAGAGAGAAGGGAAGGCAATGAAGTAAATGGAGGAAAGGAAATGAATGGAAAAAGAAAAGGTTGGAAATGAACTTTGTTCGTATTTATACAAGTTTGGAATAGCAGTAATAAACAGTAACGTAGTAACGTAGACCCGAGTTCTCCAAGAGTCTTTGTCAGCAAAACCAGTAATAACAGTGACGATCAACTTGCAGATCAATTCAAAAGTGGCGTCTTGTCGCAAAACCCGCGACGCATGTCCTTTGCGCGTCTTTTTTTTTTTTTTTTTTTTTTTTTTTTGAACCTGCGAAGACGCGTCGTTTTCTTTTCTTTTCTTTCTTTTTTTTTTTTTACTTATTTATTTTGCTATTACTGCTACGCCTATTTGAATACTTGGTTGAAGGACAATGTGACAATTTTAGAGATGATTCCTAATGTTTGGAAACGTAATACTTTTTTTTTTTTACTACCTTCCACTTTGCTTAGAAAAGAAGCGTCATCCTTTTTCCCTCGGATGGACTTTATTTCCCACAGCTTTAAAAAAGTGAAGTCACTCTTTTTTGGTTCGAGGAATGTTGAAGAATTCCTTTGGCCTCGTGACGATGCGGGCACAGCAAAAAAAAAAAAAAAAATTCCTTAATGCAAAAAAGAAAACCCAATAATAGAAATGTAATAATATATATATATATATATATATCTACATACATATATACAACGTCCTTTTCAACTTCTAATACTGTTACACCTTACAGGAGCTGGCTTATCCTTTCAATCCTCAGCTTGCTTGTTTTGACCTTTGTTGTGATTCTTCTCAAGAGTAAAAAGCATAGGAAAGAAGTGAGAAGAGATTTTTATATCTCTGAACTATATCCACTCTTTTGGGAACAGCACCAACGTCGTTCGTTTTCGTATTTTTTTTTTTTCTTCTTCGTCTTCTCCTTCCTCTTCTTCCTCTTCTTCCTCATTAGATTGTTTGACTTATAGGGGGGCTGCATTCATTACACGAAAAACGGAGTTGCCGATCCCACATTGGGTGCACGCGTATTCGCTCAAGGAAAGGGAAGGGCTCCAAACATGAATATTGCAATAATAAAAAGGAGCAACGAAGTATAAATCATAGATAGTAGGACAGTCTCGCCCCTTCCTTTCTTACCCTTTATTACCTCTGCTGAAAGGAAAAGGATATGTATGAAAAAAAAAAAAAAAAAAAAAAAAAAAAAAACGGGAGAACAAAGGCCTGTATCCTGCTACTTGTTTCTAATTGGTTTTTTTGTCTTTTGGAACTGAACTGCAACCGTACATGTATTTACAATGGGGATGGCATTCAAGTTTATTTTTATGCATGGGGGAACTCTAAACAAGGAAAATGAAATGAAAGAGAGCATCTATTTTTTTCCCTTTTCCTTTTTTCCTTTTCCTTTTCCTTTTTTCTCTTCTTCTCTCGCGTCCATGGTGAATGTATAAATACACCGGATAATAACAAGAATTTTTTTTTTCCCCTCTTAATTCTCGATTACTTCTCTACTCCGTTTCATCTCTCTTCTCATTCCTCTCTATCAGCTTCGGTCAATAAAGCCACATTCGTTCCAGCGTAGATACCGTTAAAAAGAACTCTTCTTACATATCTCAATCGATTCGATCTCAATACTAGCATTATATATATATATATATAAATATATATAAAAAAAATGAAGACCACAGCCACAACATTGTTTATGCTGATGTCGTTAGTAGGCTCAGCCACGGCACACATGGCCATGCTCTACCCTACACCTCGTGGTGGCTATGGTACTAATGAATATAACGGTCATGTCCATGTAAGTATTTTTATCTCAACCTCCTTGCAAAAGTATAAAATCTTGAGTTGGTGGCAATTATTACTACGTTTTTTTTTTTTTTTTTTTTTTTTTTGTTCCGTTACGTTCCGTTACACCAAAAGCAAAGCAAAAAAAAAAAAAAAAAAAAAAAAAAACTATTTCGTGCTACGTTGTACACACAACTTGGTGCATATTCGTCTATTCTCTAAGAATCATCTTATACTTCCTATATTTATTAACTTTGCCTTTTCTTTTTCTTTTTTTTTTTTTTTTTTTTTTTTTTTAACCAATACTATTTTTACAGACTTTTATTGGTTATGAAGACGACACATGGAAGGCGCGTTTCCCATGTGGAGGCTTTGCTCCCGGACCCGTGACAGAGCTCAAGGCTGGGGAGGTCGTTCCTGTGCGCTTCTTAGCATCCTCGATGAAAAAGAAAGATATCAAGACCCAACCAAGGCCTACAAACAGCAAACATCGGTTCAAACAAGCCCGCCATGGCGGGGGTACTGTAAGTCATTTCATCCTTCCTTTTCTCGTGTTAAAAGCCCTGAAACCGAGAAAAGAAAAAAAAAAAGATATATTTATGTTTTTAACATTTGTATATGCTAATAATGATTATATATTATTATTATTATTATTATTATTATTATTATTATCATTATTATCCTCCGTTTAGTGCGAGTTTTCACTGTCGTATAATGGTGGTCGGACATTTCATCTGATCGGACGATATACAAAGTCATGTCCGGATGGTAAAAAAGAAAAAGCTCATTTTCCACGTTCAATAGGAGAAGGGGAACTTTATGCATCTGTCCCTGTTCACAACATTAACTTTATTTCATTACCTCCTTGCCCTGAAAAAAAAAAACTTGTTTATATATATATATATATATATAATTACTCTCTTTTTTTTCAGCATATTATGAGTGGCCAGTCAAGATCCCGAGCAATGTCCCATCATGCAATAAGAAGAACCAATGTCTTTTTGTCTGGTCGTAAGTCCTTTTTACATTTATTTATTTATTTTATTTTATTTTTTTAATTTATTTTGTTTGAAGTAGCTTGATCTGCTTTTTTTTTTTTTTTTGTTTTTTTTAAAAAAAAAAAAAAAAAAAAAAAACTAATCAATATTGCATCGATTACACAACTTAGATGGACAGCGAATATTCTTCCTCAGTATTATCAGAATTGCGCGGATGTGATCATCAAAGGCGTAGCTAACGGAAAGTTGCCATCGAAGGGTATTGAGATTGTAGACTTTCCAGGACACAAACAAGGCGTCAAAGCACCTGGAGATGGAGCAGGCGAGAACATGGGCAAAGGGCCAAATAAGCACGAGATTAATGCTAATCTGAATAATCCATGGGATTAAAGAAGAAGGGAAAAAGAAAAAGAAAAAGGAAAAGAAAAAGGAAAAATATAGATACACATATATCATTCACTAACAAGTAGTTACAAAAAAGATAATCATCATCAATAATGTAATATATATAATATAATTGCAACATCCATAAAGACTTTTTTTTCTTTCAACATGGAAATGTGTATACATCTACACTTTTTTTTAGTAAATAGCTCGATGTGGTTATTTATCGGGACTTTTGGAAAGAGATTGCTTTTTTCGCGTTTTTCTTTTTCTGTTCTTTTCAGGTGGCAACAACCAGCCAACCAATGCAAAGAAATGAGGAGCAACGTGAATTCGTCGAACGAAAGAGGGGGGGGGGGAGAGAGATGGTTCCAAACACGATTATTGCAATAAAAGGAGAAATGAAGTAATCAAAATCAGCCTCCCGTCCGAACCCCCTCCTTTTATATTAACTTTTAAGTTGAACCAGAGAAAATGAAGCAATGGGAATAAAAGTAAAAAGCAAAAAAGCAAAAAAAAAAACAGGAGAACAACAGGCTTGTAATTCCATGACTTCATTCATTCTTATCTCTATGAACTACACATGTTTCATGAGGGGAAAGCAACCTGGTCTTCATGATGATTGTATAAATACCACGGAGGAAATCCAGACAGTTTTTTTTTCTTTTTTTCTTTTTTAATATTAAATAATTGCTGCATTCGTTCCTGACAAAGACACCACCTCAAAAAAAAAAAAAAAAAGAATTCTTTATTCGTCTCCCTTTGATCCGATCTAAAAAAAAAAAAAAAAAAAAAAAAAAAAAAAATGAAGACCACAGCTGCAACATTGTTTATGCTGATGTCGTTAGTAGGCTCAGCCGCGGCACACATAGCCATGCTTTATCCTGTACCTCGTGGTGGCTATGGTACTAAAGAATATAACGCTCGTGGCGATGTAAGTTTCAACCCAAAGCCTCAGGTTGTGATACGGTTGTTCATGTAGTACACCACATCTACACATTATATCTATACACTTACTAACCTATTCACCTGTCTTCATCATCCTTTTTGTGGTACATGTGTGCTTTTTATAAAAAAAAAAAAAAAAAAAAAAAAAAAAAGACCCCTATCGGATACAAAGACGGTGTGTGGAAAACACGTTTCCCCTGTGGAGGTTTCGCCCCCGGACCTGTGACAGAACTCAAGGCTGGGCAGGTCATTCCTGTACGCTTCTTAGCATCATCCATGTCAAAGAAGGACATCAAGACCCAACCAAAACCTACAAACAGCAAACGTGGATTCAAACAAGCTCGCCATGGTGGCGGTACTGTAAGTCATCCTTATCTCTTTTATTCTCCTTCATCCTTTTCGGTTATTTCTCCCTTGTTCTTGTTAGTTTAATGAATACCTTTTCTGATTGCTATTATTGTCATTACTATTGTTCTGTTAGTGCGAGTTTTCATTGTCGTATGATAATGGCAAGACATTTCATCTGATCGGACGATATACAAAATCATGTCCAGATGGTAAAAAAAAAAAAAAAAAAAAAAATAGTTTACATTCCACGTTCAATAGGAGAGGACTATGCAATCCATCCCTGTCCACGACATTAACTTTGTTTCAATCATTTATGACTCCTTGCACTCCCTTTTCAGCATATTACGAATGGCCAGTCAAGATCCCGAATAATGTCCCATCATGCAATAAGAAGGGTCAATGTCTTTTTGTTTGGTCGTAAGTCTTTAAAAAAATATATATATTAGCCAAGGTTGATCTGTTCTTACATAGTTTTTTTTTTTTTTTTTTTTTTTTACTAATTAAAACCACATTCATGCACATTTAGATGGATATCAAGTTCTATTCCTCAATATTACCAAAATTGCGTGGATGTGAGTATTACAGGCGTAGCTAACGGAAAGTTGCCATCGAAGGGGCTTGAGCTTGTGAACATCCCCGGGCACAAACAGGGCGTCAGAGCGCCTGGAGATGGAGCAGGCCGGAACATGGGCAAGGGACCGAATAAGGACGAGGTCAAGGCCAATCTGAATGGTCTATGGAAGTAAAATAGAACAGCCGTACTGCAGTAGCTAAAAGAAAGAAAGAGAGAAAGAAAGAAAAAAATATATATATATAGATAATAGTGTATATAAACAAGATGTATAGAATAAATAAGAAAAAGGAATTTGCAAGATGATGCCGCTCATGGTCAGAGTAAAGTGATCAAATTGATACAAGCATAGACTATGTATGAGTTTGACTTGAAGATTTGCTTATCACATCATGTATACACGTATATGTATATATATATATATATATATATACAGCATGTCTCTTCTATTGATGGTCTCTGTTGATGGTCTCTGTTGATAGTCTCCTTTGATGGTCTCCATTGATGTATATAATATGCGATACTGCCCCTGGTGGGGGAAAGAGAAACGATCGGAGCGCGACACTTAAAGAGATTAGGGCCAATCAGAGTCTGAAAATCAAAAAAATGAATCCAAGTCAGACTGAGGTATTTCCCGCCCCATTCACGTACGGATCTGATCTATTAAAAAAAACTAAAAACTAAAAGCTAAAAAAAGGTGTACATCCATGGATTAGCAGTCTTTGCATCTTTCAGGGTCAGAATGACAACGTGTACATGTAAATGCATGTGTATGTGATGTGCGTATATGATTCCTTCAACATGGCATGGAACATGTATGGATATCCCATTGCTTGTCAGGTAAAGAGGTAAAAAAGGTAAAAAAGGTAAAAAAGGTAAAAAGGTAAAAAAGATTTATATTTGCGAAAAAGGATACCATTGCTGTTACAATTGCTCTTGCTGTTGCTATTGCTTGTTGCTTGTTGCTGTTGCTTGTTGCTTGTTGCTACATAATATACCGTTGCCATTGAGGGATTTAAACCAAGGACAGAGGTTTATCTGATTGGATGGTTTTTTGTTTACATTGATGGAGTGTTGATCCATGCTCCGGCTTGACTGTTTTGCCTGTAGTCAAAGTCTTTTTTACCTTGATTGCTACTCTTCTTCTTCTTCTTCACCTCTCTTCATCCTCTCCGCCATCAGTCAATTCCTCTCTCTACTCTTCTCTTCTCTTCTCTCTCTCTTTAACTTTCCTCTCCTCCTCCTTCTCCTTGTGCAGACTTGGGCCTTTTAGGTTTCTCTCTGTTCCCATCCTTCATTCTTTTTTTTTTTTTTTTTTTTTTTTTTCTGATTCATAACCCTTCATAATGGGCAAAGGATCCCGCTCTGCGCTGGCCTCATCTCCTATCAGCCTCAAGGCCACCCCACTCTCCTCACAACACCATGCAAAGTTCCAAGAGGGACTGAGCGTCAAGGAGCCCAAAGAAAAGCTTTACTGGAAGGGCTTCTCTTCTTCATCCAAGAACAGGGCCTTGTTCAAGACTTCGTATGATGATGAGATGGAGGAACCTCCTTATTTCTACCTCATCACCACCTACCTCTCCTACATCATCCTCTCTTTCTTTGGTCATGTCCGCGACTTTTATGGATTCCGTTGGAACAAGAAGGCTTATGCTCATCTGATGCCATCGAACGTAAGGGATCCTCCATTCTCATCATCATCTGAGCAGTTTCTTATTTTATTTTATTTTATTTTTTCTACTTTGCATATTTTTTTTTTTTTTTTTTTTTTTTTTTTTTGTTGTTGTTATTTATCATTCACCCCTGTCCAATTCCGTTGAGATGATTTATTTTTATTTTTATTTTTATTATTGCTGAATTACGATTTGGCCTACATTAGTTTTGCTGCGCTGTGGCTCTTGTGTTTTTTTTTTTTTCTCTTCATTGTCTGGCAATGGCATGTCTGTGCCAAAAAGAAAACCCAGCATTTATTAATAATTGATCTTTTCTTTTTTATATTTGCCCCTTTCTACTTGACATTTCATCTTGTAGGGATATGCGGCCCTGACCTCGGATTGGGACTCATTCTGGACAAGAAACTTGAAGATGCGCATTGAGGATTGCTTCTCCGTGCCTACTACTTTGGTCCCCGGTAGGACCATCAATATGTTGGAGCGCGTCACCAACGATTACTGTCGTTCCTTCCAGTTCACTGGACGTCTCAAGGAGGCTGTCAACCTGTCATCCTATAACTATCTTGGCTTTGCACAGTCAACCGGTCCCTGCGCCGATGCTGTTGAGGAAATCGTTAATACCTATGGAGTATCTTCATGTGGAGCTCGTTTGGAATGTGGCTCACTCGATTTGCACACAAAGACTGAGGAGTTGGTTGCAGAGTTTATGGGTAAGGAGGCAGCTCTCCTTGTCTCGATGGGATATGCTACAAACAGTACGACAATTGCAGGCTTGGCCTCCAAGGGTTCTTTGATCATCTCGGATGAGCTCAACCACAATTCATTGGTCTTTGGTTCCCGTCTCTCCGGTGCCTTCATCCGCGTGTTCAAGCACAATGATGTGGAGGATTTGGAAGCCGTCCTCCGTGATGCAATCTCTCAGGGTCAGCCCAGAACTCATCGTCCTTGGAAGAATATTTTGTTGATCGTCGAGGGTCTTTACTCCATGGAGGGTTCCATTGTTAAGCTGCCAGAGATCATTGAGCTCAAGAAGAAATACAAGGTATTTATTACAATATTTCAAAAACAAAAAACAAAAAAACAAAAAACAAAAAGCAAAAAGCAAAAAAAAAAAAAAAAAAAACAAAAAAAGTTAGAATGGTTATGGTTCCCAGAGTAATTTAGTTGATCAAATGTTTCTGATATCTTTATATCTTGCTTTTTTTTTTATTACTTCCTCTGACAGTTCCATTTGTATGTGGATGAGGCCCATTCGGTTGGTGCTCTTGGACCTCGTGGACGTGGTGTTTGTGATTACTATGGAGTTGATCCTAAGGAGGTTGATATCCTGATGGGTACTTTTACAAAGTCTTTTGGTGCCGCTGGAGGATATATCTGTGCTTCCAAAGATGTGATTGATCACTTGCGTCTCGTGAACCACTCTTCGGTCTATGGAGAATCCATGTCACCCATTATCCTTCAGCAGATTTACACTAGTATGTGGTCGATCATGGGTCGTGATGGCACCACAGCTGGTCAGGAGCGCTTGAGCCGATTGGCATGGAATGCTCGTTATCTTGGAAGTAACTTGCGCAAGTTGGGATTCATCATTTACGGTGACCGTGACTCTCCGGTGATTCCATTGCTGCTGTTCAATCCTGCAAAGATTCCTGCGTTCTCACGTGAGTGCCGAAAGAGAGACTTGGCAGTGGTTGTGGTTGGTTTCCCTGCTACATCCATTGTTGCATCCCGTGCTCGTTTCTGTGTCTCTGCCTCACACACGAAAGAGGACTTGGACTTTGTTTTGCGTGTTGTCTCTGAAGTCGGAGATATCCTTGGACTCAAGATGAGCAGCCGTAGGGCATTGGAGATGGGTATGGAGGTTTAGAAGCAACCCCTTGTGCAGGTTATACATATATATGTATAAATGTATAAAGCAAGGAAGGGGGGGAAAAAAAAAAAAAAAAAAAGCTTTTTTCTTTTTCTTTAAACTAGTTCATCCTTTTACTAATAATATATATATAAACTATTCATCGTAATACAATTTGCATAAACGTAACGTTGCTAAAGCATCTAAGCAAACAATGGATGATCCATGTGTCTAAAACACGTTCTGTACATGTATATATGAATGTTGGATATGAAATGGTTAAAAGGTTAAAAAGAAGAGAGGATAGTGTTGGCAAAGTGTGGCATAATGAATAGATGTAAAAAGTAATAATATAGCAATTGCCGGCCCTCCTAGTGCAGGATCCCCCACTCGACTCTGTGAGAAGGCAGAGGGAAGCACTAAGAATGGGCACTAAGAAATTGCAAAACCTGGCAAGGTCTTTGCTCTTGACTGCGAATTGACGCTCGAACAAAGCGATAGAGTGGGAGACAAATCCCAATCACGCGAGGTGAGCAACACGGTGATCCGAGACGTAAATGCCGCACAAAGAAAAAAAAAAAGACTCTTCGTATGGGACAGTTGGCTTTATTAGGGCCCGTGACTGGGGTTTGGGCTGGGAAGGATATTTTATAGAGTCATGTCCCTGTTGCACAAGTGTGGGGACTATATCGATCTGTTGGAGGACCATGAATTTGGGAAATCTTTTCAAAGGAGCAGAGTGACTTCTTCCTGTCCTTCTAACCGATTATTGTAAAGTCTATTGTTTCCCTATCAAGTTGACACTTTTGCTCCTATCCTTGGAGAATAATAAAAAAAAAACCCCCCCGAGAAAGACCATAATATCTTGGATAAACGTTTTGTTTCTTCTTCCTTTCACCATTAAAGAAGTAGGGGAATGCGAGAGGGATAAAAGATCCAGAAGAGTGGTCCAGGGACGTTTGGACGTGAAATAAGCCACACTGATCGTCCTGCTACATGGTTCATGATAGATAGACCTTGGTTGGCCTGGGTAAAATTGGTCCGTACGCATTCCATTGTGGTTCATCCTCTTTTTTTTTTTTTTTTTTTTTTTTTTTTGAGCATCAGCATCAACCATTGTTATTTTCTGCTAATTTTATTCCTACATCAATTCAAAAGGAGCATTGTCTCTCCAACGGTTCGACTGGTCCAGCAGAGAAACGGAAACAACAGGGGTCAGGAGAAAAGAACTTGCAAGGAAAAAATGATCAGTCTGTCAAAGGTCGACCTGACATTTCGACAGGTCATGGTGGCCAGTATAGTGTTGCATGGGATCTTGCTTGTCTATGGTCATTGGCAGGACACTCATCTGGTCGTCAAATACACCGATATTGACTATGTAGTCTTCACAGACGCGTCGCGCTATTTGACTCAGGGTCGATCTCCCTATACGAGAGCCACGTACAGATACACACCTTTATTGGCCCATCTGTTGACACCCAATATATATGTTCATGAATCATTTGGGAAATGGATCTTTACAGGGGCGAATCTGTTGATTGGAGTGCTGATTCAAAAGATCCTCCGACTTCGAGGCATGTCCGAGTCAAGGGCGGTCAAGTTCAATGCCTTGTGGTTATTGAATCCGATGGTGGCGAATATTTCGACTCGAGGCAACGCAGAGAGTGTGATTGGGGCCATGGTTCTGGGATCATTTTATCTGATCATGAAGAAACGGATCGGATGGGGCGCATTCTTGTATGGGCTGAGTGTTCATTTCAAGACGTATCCTATTATTTATTCGATTGCTCTGTTGGTCATGATGGATGATGACTATTTTGCTTCAGGATTCAACAGATCAGGAGGGCCATTAGGATCGGGGGCTCAAGCTATTGAGAAGCAACGGGAAAAACAACAACAACAACAACAACAACAACAACAACAACAACAACAACAAAAGCAACACAAGGATGAAAACATTGTTGTGAGGACAGTCAAAGGTCTTGTTGGCTTTATTACTTGGCGTCGTGTACAATTTGGGCTGTTGAGTGGCGGATGGTTCTTCCTCATTACAGGGCTGATGTATTACTTGTAAGTCGAGGGAATTTTTTTTTTTTTTTTTTTTTTTTTGTCATCTAAATGAAAAGAAAAAAAAAAAAAAAAAAATCTGAAAGAGAGATATGATCAAGTCAAGGAGTTGGAGATCATAATAAGGTATAGAAAGGAACTTATTCTTTCTTTCTTTTTTTTTTTTTT